GCTTGTTGGCCCTTGATGAGAAGACCTTCAATGTTATAGCGCTCAGCGAGAATGCACCAGAGATGCTTACAACTGTCAGCCATGCAGTGCCAAGTGTTGATGATCCCCCAAAGCTACGCATTGGCACCAATGTATGGTCTCTTTTCACTGACCCAGGTGCCACAGCACTGCAGAAGGCACTGGGATTTGCTGATGTTTCCTTGCTGAACCCTATCCTAGTTCAATGCAAGACCTCAGGCAAGCCTTTCTATGCCATTGTTCATCGGGCAACTGGTTGTTTGGTGGTAGACTTTGAGCCTGTGAAACCTACAGAATTTCCAGCAACTGCCGCTGGGGCTTTGCAATCTTACAAACTTGCTGCCAAGGCAATCTCTAAGATCCAGTCACTGCCAGGTGGAAGCATGGAGGTGCTATGCAATACGGTGGTCAAGGAACTCTTTGACCTCACAGGATATGATAGAGTTATGGCTTATAAGTTCCATGAAGATGACCATGGTGAAGTCTTTGCTGAGATCACAAAGCCTGGTCTTGAACCTTATCTTGGCCTGCATTATCCAGCTACTGATATCCCTCAGGCAGCCAGGTTTCTTTTCATGAAGAACAAAGTCCGGATGATTTGTGATTGCCGTGCAAGATCTATCAAGATTATCGAAGATGAGTCGCTCCACTTGGATATTAGCTTATGTGGTTCAACACTGAGGGCACCACACAGTTGTCATCTTCAGTATATGGAGAACATGAACTCGATTGCATCCCTTGTCATGGCTGTTGTGGTTAATGAGAATGAGGATGATGATGAAGTTGGGGCTGATCAACCTGCACAACAGCAGAAGAGGAAGAAACTATGGGGACTCCTTGTTTGCCACCATGAGAGCCCCAGATATGTTCCTTTCCCATTGCGGTATGCCTGTGAGTTCTTAGCACAAGTGTTTGCTGTCCATGTTAACAAGGAGTTTGAATTAGAGAGGCAAGTACGCGAGAAAAGCATATTGAGGATGCAAACAATGCTCTCTGACATGCTTCTCAGGGAATCCTCTCCTCTGAGTATAGTATCAGGGACTCCCAACATCATGGACCTTGTGAAATGTGATGGTGCTGCTCTTTTGTATGGGGGAAAAGTGTGGCGGCTACAGAATGCTCCAACTGAGTCTCAGATACGTGATATTGCCTTCTGGCTGTCAGATGTCCACAGGGATTCCACTGGCCTGAGTACTGATAGCCTACATGATGCTGGATATCCAGGAGCTGCTGCTCTTGGTGATATGATTTGTGGAATGGCAGTAGCTAAAATAAATTCCAAGGATATCCTGTTCTGGTTCAGGTCACATACAGCTGCTGAAATCAGATGGGGAGGTGCAAAACATGATCCATCAGACAAGGATGACAGCAGAAGAATGCACCCTAGGCTGTCCTTCAAGGCATTCCTTGAGGTTGTCAAGATGAAGAGCTTGCCTTGGAATGACTATGAGATGGATGCTATTCACTCATTACAACTTATACTTAGAGGGACACTGAATGATGACATCAAGCCAACAAGGGCCGCTAGTTTAGATAATCAGGTTGGTGATCTCAAGCTTGATGGGCTTGCTGAATTGCAGGCAGTTACAAGTGAAATGGTTCGTCTCATGGAAACAGCAACTGTCCCAATCTTGGCTGTAGATAGCAATGGATTGGTCAATGGATGGAATCAGAAGGTTGCTGAGTTGACAGGGTTGAGAGTAGATGAGGCTATTGGAAGACACATACTTACCGTTGTAGAGGAATCTTCTGTACCAGTTGTCCAGAGGATGCTGTATTTAGCTTTGCAAGGTGGGTAAATTAGCTATAGTGGTTTTTGTCTATTCCCCCAGTATTTTTCAAGTTTCTGCTTATTTGGCAATTCGATTTATCAAAAAAACTTTGGGGTTGCTTTCTAATGTTCAATGCCTAGATATGCTACATTTGATTGTCATGCTCATACATTAATACTTGACATTCAGCTGCGTTGTGGGTTGATTGATTTCTAAACATTTCTTTGATTGATCAGGCAAAGAAGAGAAGGAAGTGAAATTTGAGGTGAAAACTCATGGCTCCAAGAGAGATGATGGCCCTGTTATCTTGGTTGTGAATGCCTGTGCCAGCCGGGACCTTCACGACCATGTTGTTGGTGTGTGCTTTGTTGCACAAGATATGACTGTTCATAAGTTGGTCATGGACAAATTTACTCGGGTTGAGGGAGACTACAAAGCAATTATTCACAATCCAAGCCCGCTTATTCCTCCCATATTTGGTGCTGACGAATTTGGATGGTGCTCTGAGTGGAATGCTGCCATGACGAAATTGACCGGGTGGCATAGAGATGAGGTGATCAATAAGATGCTTCTTGGTGAGGTGTTTGATAGCACCAACGCCTCCTGTCTTGTGAAGAATAAAGATGCATTTGTAAGTCTCTGCATTCTTATCAACAGTGCATTAGCTGGTGATGAAACAGAAAAGGCTCCATTCAGCTTCTTCGACCGGAACGGGAAGTATATCGAGTGCCTTCTTTCTGTTAACAGAAAAGTAAATGCAGATGGTGTCATCACTGGAGTATTTTGTTTCATTCAAGTTCCTAGTCATGAGCTGCAACATGCACTACATGTGCAGCAAGCCTCACAGCAGAATGCACTAACAAAGTTGAAAGCTTACTCCTACATGAGACATGCAATCAACAACCCTCTCTCAGGTATGCTTTACTCTAGGAAAGCACTGAAGAACACAGGTCTGAATGAAGAGCAGATGAAGGAGGTCAATGTTGCAGATAGTTGTCACCGCCAGCTGAATAAAATACTTTCTGACTTGGATCAAGATAGCGTCATGAACAAGTACTTTTCTTACCAAGTATTCTAAGTTACTCTCTTAGGCTCTTGTATTTACTTTCAGCTACCTTTGTTCTTCATCAATTGTCAGACCTAACAGGTCGATGGTGTTGCTCTTATAGTCTTATGTGTTTGTATTATCTTCAAGTGGTCAATTTTGCTCTCTCAAAATGAAAGAATTTGTTGCACCAAGTCCCAGTGGTTTTTTACTCATTACTCAGTACAAACCTTATATATATATTATTAGTTATTATCTTCAAACTAATTTCCTGCTGCTGTGTTCACAGGTCTAGTTGCTTGGATTTGGAGATGGTTGAGTTTGTATTGCAAGATGTGTTTGTGGCTGCTGTAAGTCAAGTACTCATAACTTGCCAGGGAAAAGGGATTAGAGTCTCTTGCAACCTACCGGAGAGATATATGAAGCAAACAGTCTACGGGGATGGTGTTCGACTACAGCAGATTCTCTCTGACTTCCTATTCGTCTCAGTGAAGTTCTCTCCTGTTGGGGGTTCTGTTGAGATCTCTTGTAGCCTGACCAAGAACAGCATTGGGGAAAACCTTCATCTCATAGACCTAGAACTTAGGTATGTTAGTCATGACATTTGCACGCTTACTCTTCTTTCTGTTAAGACAGTCTTGAAGTATAAAATGATGTGTATTAACTCTTGTGGATCAATGTTTTTCAGGATCAAGCACCAGGGCAAAGGAGTCCCAGCAGATCTGCTGTCACAAATGTACGAGGATGACAATAAGGAGCAGTCGGATGAAGGCATGAGTCTTGCGGTTTCTAGAAACCTGCTGAGGCTCATGAATGGCGATGTCCGACATATGAGGGAAGCTGGCATGTCAACCTTCATCCTCAGCGTCGAACTTGCTTCTGCTCCAGCAAAATAATCATGAAATGGTATGTGAAATTACTTAATTGACTGTTTAGGCTGCTCAGTTTGTTTTGCTTGAGACCCTGTTTAGATGGGACTAAAACTTTCAAGTCCCTATCACATCGGATGTTTGGACACTAATTATAAATATTAAACGTAGACTATTAATAAAACCCATCCATAATCTTGGACTAATTCGCGAGACGAATCTATTGAGCCTAATTAATCCATGATTAGCCTATGTGATGCTACAGTAAACATTCTCTAATTATGGATTAATTAGGCTTAAAAAATTTGTCTCGTGAATTAGCTTTCATTTATGTAATTAGTTTTGTAAGTAGTCTATATTTAATACTCTAAATTAGTGTCTAAATATAGGGACTAAAGTTAACCCGAGTCCACTGCTGAAACTGCGTCTTTTCCTGACTCGTGCTCTATTTAAGCGGCTACAAGAGTGCCTATAGAACCACCATGTCCTGTAGGCTTCGCTTCTTCCATTCTGATTTTTTTTAGCTACAAACATATTTTTCTACCATTTCTGAAATACATTGGCTTATGACATCCTCTTAATCTGTACACTTTGTCACTTGGTACAGATGACTAGCAAATATGATTTATCTAAATTGCTGTCCATTTTAGAGATAAAACTACAAACAATTGATTTCATATATTTATTTCTCTTGCGAACAACTTCCACTTTTTCAAAGTACCAGTGTGATACTTTTGCTAAAGAGTTGTGTTTTCTGCAGTTCGTTCGTATAGCCACGACGGTGGCTTGTGCTTAGGATTGGACGTACTTGCAGACTGAAGATTCACTGGCTGCAGATAAATGGTTGACTTTACAGATAAATGGTCGTATGGCACATTTGGTTATGTACTGTCGTCTTCTTCACCATGCTAATGTCAGTATGTGTAATCTTCTAAGTTGCAAATGCGTGCTGTTGCTCGCCTGAACTCATTAAGATTGGAAGTGAAAACACCAATCTGTAATATGCTGTATCTTGATGCTGAGAGCATTCAAGTTACTACTACATGAATAAAATATGGTTTGACTTTACTCACTAGTTCGAAAAGTAGAATCTAATAAAGCTTTTCTTACTTAGGGCCTGTTCTTGATTAAGGTACGGATTTCACATTGGTTTTCGTTAGCACGTTTTCTAAACCTGCTAAACGTCGTGTTTTTTGCACAAAAAAAAATCTATATAGAGATTGCTTTTAAGTTAAAATAATTAAAATTTTATTAATTATGCGCTAATCTTCAGTGAACTCAAATGGGGCCTGTAACTCAAATGGGACCTTTACAGGCCTAGTGCAACTAGGAAGTAAGGGCCTGGTTGTGGGAGCTTCTGGCAGCTGAAGATTCTTCTAGAAGAAGCTACTGCCAAAAGCTCTCCCCCCACCCCTCCCAAAAAAAACAGTTCTAATTTTCACTTAGTTTGAGAGAAACTGTAGCTGCAGAATCCAAAAAATGAATTAAAAGCTAGAAACAAGCTAGAAACTGGGTTTTTCAGCTTCCCTATCTTCTCTCCAGCTGTTTCTCAGAATATTAAACTTTACAAACAGGACCCAAAGCAGAATAGCAGATGTACCTGAAATTGAAATTTGGTGTCCCTCTTTTCTGCACTTGCTGTACGGTTGTCTGGTTGTACGGGTGAATGTTCATGAGCCAGCCACCTCCGTTGGCAGGCACCACTGGAACAACACTCGCTCAGCTGCCTCCTACTCCAGCCTGGATCTGGATGTGCTTGTAGCCCAGCCCTTTTTTTTTTCCTCGATGATCCCTCTGTTTCTCTTTGCTGTCAAACTGCTGGATCTGTGCAGAGAAATTAGGTAAGGGAACAGATGAATGGATAGATGATCAGGACAGATGAATCCCTGCAGAATCGCGACGCGACGCGGGGCAAAAGTGTCTCACTCGAAACGGTAATTAACAATCCCGGAGCCGGAAGGCGACGTGCGCCGCGGGCGGTAGGGGTAGGGCCGGCGATCGCCGTCGGTCGAGCCACGTACATGGGGCGCCGCGCCGGCCGAGGAGGCAGGGCAGGAGGGAAGGAGGGGGAAATGTGAAAAGGAAAAGGCAGAGGCGGCGCGTCCGATGCTCCTTCCTTGGCCAAACCGCACCACCACACCCCTCTCCTCGCGCCAAGCGCGCCACGCCCCTCTCGTTTTGGGCCCGAGGAGGGCCAGGGCTTTTCTTAGCCCGCGCCTGTTCATGCAGGAGTGCCAGGCGGCCCGGCCCGGTGCTATGCAGTACTCACGGATGATCGAGTGTTTAAACTATTAGGGTGCATTTGAAGGAAAAAAAAAGGTGTCTTTAAAAAATTTATAGAAAAAATGTTTTAAAAACATATTAATCCATTATTAAAATTAAAAATAATTCATACTCAATTAACCATGTGTTGATGATTCATCTCCTCTCAAACACAACTCTAATAAGCAAGGTGCCCGTGAGTGCATCTTAGGCCTCATTCACTTTGTAATGCCATCGTACGAGCTAGTTTGTCCAAGAAATACCATTGTTGTCGGGTTTCCATCTATTTTTCTACGTTAACCCTATCACATTCTTACATGGAAACACATGGTGAAATGGATGGAACCCTGATGATGATGGCATTTCTAAGATAAGTTTGTTGGTGCGATGATATTTTTTGGAATAGAGCCATTATCAGTAGTATTTGTTGTATTTTCTCTAAATTGAAATGCCTATCACTGATGTTAGCACTACGTGCTGAAACCAGGGCATGAAATTTCGCCGCCCTCCCGAAATGCTCATATCTCGCCCCGAAACTTTCAGTTTTTTACAATTTTTTGCGAATTTGGTAAAATTTTATTCAAATCCATTCAAAATCAGTCAAAATTTCAAAAAATGACGTATGAAAAAAATCCAAAATTTCTAAAAATTCGGAAATTTCGGTTCTTTCGCCTCCCCCCGGGCAGAAACCCTAGTTTCAAAATTTGAAACCCCGGCTAAAACAAACCTCTTATTCTATTAACATGAAATAGTAAAGAATTTTTTATAAGCTTGCTAAGGTCGATGGAATGTTGATTCCCCCACCATACCACATAAATTAGGTGACAGGAGATGCACATTCTAGCGAACTATATCCTACTATACATGTCATAATCATTTATGTGAATTCACCATAGAAATGGATGGGTAAGGCATGGGCAACTCATATTTCCTTTTTTTTCCAAAAAAAAGAACTAATGGTTTTTAAGACATGATGGCGTGTATCAATGAAACTACCACTTCAATAAAGTTTGATACAAACCTATAACATGGCTTTTATATCTTAGTTGCGGTAGAGGCTTAGCTTTTACATCTTAGTTGTTATAGAGCCGAAAGTAATATTTGCACTATCTTATTGTATGTATATGAGCCTATAACTTACTCCCTCCGTAAAAAAAAAAAGCCAACCTAGGACTGACTGCCTGTCCAAATCATGTCCCATCAAAGTCCTAGGTTGGCTTTTTTAGGGACGGAGGGGTATATACTAAAGTATACTAACAGCTAAAATACATTCGAAAGAAAAACTTGTATACATAAGAGAATGCTGTAGGAATAGACATGTTACGATAACTATGCCCTACCCATCAGTCCAATTGAGGTTGTGAAAGAAAAAAAACAGTATAAAACCAAAAAAAACCTTATCCATGAACCAAAAACTAAAACCATACTATATGATTATAACAATGTTTTTATTAGCGGATAAACAACAATCCATCCAGCACCAGCACACTCCCCTGGCCAGCCGCGCCGCATGGGGGTTCATGGACCGTTGTCGCTCCCCCGCACCCAATTCAGCCACGGCCACCGGGTCCAAAAAAATTTTGAACGCCCCAACCAATTGCAACGTACCCTAGCTTATCTGACTGTCGATCCATCCCCCACTCCCCACGACGCCCGAGCGCTAAACACCAAACGAGCCCAAACGATAGTGTGAGAAAAAAAAAAAGAAAGAAAAGGAAAAATCCCAGATTGTAATAAAAAACCATTTACTTTACTTTTTTTTTCTTTTGGGGCTCAACCCTTTCCGTTTGTTTTACCACACCACCACCACCGCCGCGACGCGACGCCCCCACCACAGCTGCGCGAATATGCTGCCCCCAGCCACGCCGGCCGCGCCCTGATCCCCCGCACCCCGCGCCTCCAAATGCTTCCCCGCCTCCGCCTCCGCCTCCGCCGCCGCCCCCTCGCCGCCGCCGCCGGATCCGCTCGGCCGCGCCCCGCTCTCGATCTGCCCCGCCCCACCTCCCGCTGACCTCGCCCCACGCGCGCCCCCGTTCCTCATCCCCTCCGCGGCCTCCCTCCCTTCCCACCCTCACCCCCCCTGGGTTCCCCGGCGTGGGGTTGGGGGGACGCGCGGCTAGGGTTTCCGCGATTCGGGTGGTGAGGGTTGTCGGGCCCGTGCCTGCTCGGCCTCCCCGGGCCGCCGCCGTCTCGGCTAAGGGGGTTGGGTTGGTTCTTCCTGTGGTGCTTCGGAGGAGCTGCGGGGCTCGATTCGCGGGGATACGCGCGCGCGCGCGCCGCCGATCTGTGGCTGGCTGCGGCGCGGCATTGGGAGGGCCTCCTGAGTTGGGGGGAGGTTGCTGAAGCTTCGATTCGGTTGACCCCGTGGCTGGGGTTTGCCACCTTTTAGCTCGTCTGGCGGTTTTGGGTAAGCATTTCGGTGGGGTTCGGCCTCTGGGTTAGCTGGTATTGGAGGGAACCATGGCGGAGAACATCGATCTGGTGCTGGAGTTCCTGCAGAAGAACCGCTTCGCCAAGGCCGAGGCCGCGCTCCGAGGGGAGCTAAATGGCCGAGGGGATGCGAGCAACGGGCCGACGGTGCAGAGGCGTGTAGCGGAGCCCAAGGAGGACGATGAGCAAGATGGCTCCGAGGCAGGTTCCAATGCAGGGCCTAGAGGTGCTGCATCGGTGAGGAGCGCGGACTCGTCGAGGGAGTTTATCGTGAAGGAGATTGATGTTGGAGGCCTGCCGAATGGGTCTGATGGGAGGAAAGGGTTGGGGATTGGCCTGGCTCAGGAGAACAATACAGGGGATCTGTATCCTTGGAATTTTAGCATTGCAAACAGCACTATGGAGCAACTGGCAGAGCTATTGGTGTCGGAGGAGGTGCCAAGACATCGGCGCGGCGCCGTTGTAGCTGAGAAGAGAGATCGTGGTGTTGGGACCGAGCAACCTGGTCCTGTGCTTGAGCAAAAGGTTTCTTTTGGAAGAGGAAAGGGGAAAGTGGATGTTGCAGGGACAGGGAGAAATGAAATAAATGAACCAGGCCATTCCAGGGATAAAAATCTTGTTCCAGAAAAAGAGGAGCTCTTGAATGGATGTACAGTTAAGACAGTGCTTCCATTCCCTGCAGAAAATCCATCATCCAGTTACCATACAGCACACCATGATGGAAATGAGAGGAAAGACGCTAAGAAAAGCATTGATGCGGACTGTGTTGGAAAAGCAACTAAGGGGCAGCTTGATGAGGGGAACAGGCAGTATTACTCAGGGAAGTCCCAGGAGAACGCAGATCAGGTTGCTGACCGTTGCTTCGATCTGCAGCTTATTGGAGACAATCAACGTGAGGAGCTTCCAAAGTTACCTCCTGTGAGGCTCAAGTCTGAGGACAAGCTAGTTAATATGAATTGGGAGGAAAAGGTCAACCATAACGGGTCAGGAGCCAAGCACCCCAGTGCTGACCATGCTTTTATGATTGGGTCTTATCTTGATGTTCCCATCGGACAAGAAATAACACCATCAGGTATGATAACATTTTTAGTGGTCACATGGAAACACAATATTTTACTTAGAACACAAGGTGGATGAAATATATTCTACCTTCCCCTTAAGCAACATGGTACATTGCTCCACAGTAGTCTGCTTTGAATTTACATGCTCATCTTACATCAAATTATCTGTAAAACCTACCGCATACTTGTGCACCCGCCCCATGAAACTGACATATTATTAGTGAATTGAACTATGGATGCATGAATGAAGCAAGAAAAAACAGTAGCGGTACTGACTCCTGCTATACAGCTATAGTGTGTTGAATATGATTTTTTTTTCTCCTTCTGTTGTGTAAAATGGAACAATACAATGGCTTTAGACCTAGTTGAATTGTTCTTTTTCTCTGCGTAAATTCCAAAAAAAATCTACGAATTGGAAATGTCTCATGACTTGAGTATCTCTTTGGAATTTCAATATACTTGTAAATGTTGTATGTTCTGTTGCCTAGGTAAATAATTGTTCTAACACCATTGTATTTTAGTAATTCGATTTTCTATAAGCTGTATTTCATGTTGGTAACTCTCCTAGACCTGGTCACCTGGTTGTTTTCTAGACCAGAATTTTGACATATGTTCTGTAGGACAAAACTTGAAATGGGCTAAATCTACATGTAATCTGCATCATATGTATTAGGTGATAGCGACAACAGTCGAGCAGTCCGCATTATGGATTCCTTCTGTTGCAGGTTTTGCATCAAGAAAAAAAGCGAGCATATTTTCTCACCTTTCAAAATCATGGGTGCATTGGTATCATGAGTTTGTTATTTCTACTCAAGTAGCTGTAGTTGCAGAAGCGCATGTATTACTTTTCATTTGAATGATACATAATTAGATGACTTCTATCGGGCACTGAAGTAGGCATTGCGAGGCCATTTTCATGTGAGCAAAATATGGGATTTTTCATTACTGAAGTTTCACGGACACTGAGTAGATTCCAGGATGTGTTCTTCCTTGTGTACTGTGAAACATTTAGCATAATGTCACAGTGTTTTGTTTGTGTTTTTGACCTTGCTTTCCTAAAGGAATATTTGACGTTGGCTTATGCCTTTTCTAATTGATGTGCTTTTTAATGTTTTATGGGATTTTTTCTAACTCTCAGTTGATAATTTTGTCTTTTTATAATACAGACATGCAAACTTTTAAATAGTGAAATTATATCAGATTGTTTTCCATGATTCTTAGCCTCTCTGATGTTTGATGCTACATAAGTTTTTGACCTTGAACTATATGTTTACAAATTCAGGTGGAAGACGCACAATTAGTAATAACTGGTTCTCTGTCAGTCAAGGTATTGCAGAGGATACTTCTGACTTGGTATCGGGCTTTGCAACAATTGGTGATGATTCACTTGAATATCCAAATGAATACTGGGATTCTGATGAATACGATGATGATGACGATGTTGGGTACACCCGGCAACCAATTGAGGATGAAACCTGGTTTTTAGCACATGAAATTGACTATCCTAGTGACAATGAGAAGGCAACTGGTCACACAAGTGGGCCTGATCGGCATGATCGTCCCACAAAGGATGATGATGATGACCAATCATTTGTTGAGGAGGATTCTTACATATCTGGCGAACAATATTTTCACGGGAAGAACATTGCACAAATAGGTACTTCGGAGGGGCCAATGGGGCATGGAATTCCTGATAATGATTTGATTGCTCAGTATGATGGCCAGCTTTTGGACCCAGAAGAACTAAATTTGATGCATTCAGAACCAGTCTGGCAGGGTTTCGTTTCACAGAATAGTGAATTAGGCATGTTAGGAAATGGAAAATTCCTTAATGATTCTGAACGTCCTCATCCTGATGACCCATTTGTGGAGGATGATCAGCATGGTTCAGTTAGGTCAATTGGTGTTGGCATTAGCAGTGATGCTGCTGATATTGGCAGTGAGGTGCGTGAAAGTCTGATTGGAGGAAGCAGCGAAGGAGATATTGAATACTTTAATGAAAGTAATCTGAGTGTTAGTGGAAAAAGAAATTCTCAGCAGGAAACAGAAAAGAAAAGAATAAATGCGAAAGGGGCAAAACAGGAACAATTGAATTTTATTGATAATCAGAAGGGCGTTTTACCACCAGGTGCATCATATGCTGACGGTGGATTCTCCTTTCCTCCACCATTGCATAGTGGAAAAAATGTTGAATCTGATGTTAAACCGTTATGGTCAAAGAAGGTTGATATGTATACCATCAATGATCCTGATGACTTGCAAAACGGCATGGTATCAGATGATATGCTTGCCACATGGAGGAAAAAGAATAGTGAGTCTTCCCTAAGGAGCTCTCGAGATGAAATGGCTTCTGATGTTGTTAGGTCAAGAAATTCAAGTGCATCATCTGCTTTGAATAATACTTATGATGAAATAGATGACACAATGAATTCTCGGCATCACAAGCTAGACGACGCTCAAGAAGAGGACACTGGAACCACATTGGATGATGAGGAAGCAGCAGCATTGCAAGAGCAAGTAAGGCAGATAAAGGCCCAGGAAGAAGAATTTGAAACTTTTAATCTAAAGATTGTGCATAGAAAAAACAGGTGCTCTTTTTCTGGTCCTTAATTACTTGGCATTTCTTTATTAGTTCATTTGTATTAAAATGATACTTGGTATCATGCTTGGTGTTTGCGTTTGTTAATTTGTTTATCTCTAACGATATTTTTTAACTCCATTATATCCTGCTGACAATATAACAGAACTGGTTTTGAAGAAGACAAAAATTTCCATGTTGTTCTCAACTCTGTCATTGCTGGACGTTACCATGTCACAGAATATCTGGGTTCAGCAGCATTCAGTAAAGCTATACAAGCACATGATTTACACACAGGAATGGATGTGTGTGTTAAAATCATAAAAAACAACAAAGATTTTTTTGACCAGAGCCTTGATGAAATCAAGCTCCTGAAGTATGTCAACAAGCATGACCCTGCTGACAAGTACCATCTTTTACGTCTGTACGATTACTTCTATTATCGGGTAAATATGATATTTTGTGCTCCTTCAAACCTTTCTTATTGTCATTTAGTTCCCATATAAAGCTTTTAGTTTATCACAAGACATATTTATAAATATACAATATGATCGAGTTTACTGAAACATCACTCATTAGCATTGCATTGTGGTACATTTGATATTTTCATTTTCTATACATTTGTTATACTTCCCCAAACTGTTAATTTGAGGGCTTCCTAGGCTACTAGCATAATTTGACATTTCATACGTATGCTTTGCTCTGGTTAATGCCAACTACTATTATAATATTCATCTGTTGAACAAAGACTATAAACCTTCTGGCCTAGTTTCTTGACTGTTATTCCAGGCCTTTTTGTGTAGGCTAACATATCTTAGTTGACCCTTCTATATAAACCAGGACAGGAGATTTTTCTACAGATTGATCCATTAGAATGGCTTTATTTCGTTGGCTCAAGCATTAGTGTTTGTGAACTCTATGCAATTACATCTTTTAATGAAGTCTACCATGTTTGGTTGGTATCAATTATTGCATGCATTATTTGTATTTTTGTTTGTTGTTAGTGTGTTTAAGTTCTGCAAGTTTAGCCTATCTGACATAATAATGTTCTGAGACTATTCTTCAAGCTGATGTATTAGGACTGTCTGATATCTTTCAAATTTATGTCATTACATCCTATAACAAATTTGAAGCATTTGTTTGCAGGAACATTTGCTTATAGTCTGTGAGCTTCTGAAGGCAAATTTGTATGAATTTCAAAAGTTCAACAGAGAATCAGGAGGCGAGGTCTATTTCACAATGCCAAGACTGCAGGTATTACTAGCTAGCTAATAGGATCCAGTAATGGTGATTAATGTTTTTACTCTCAGTAAATGGACACAATATACCAATTTTTGTGACAATAATTGATTTTCCTTTTGCGTACCCTTTCTGCAGTCAATAGCTATTCAGTGTTTGGAGGCACTGCAGTTTTTGCATGGACTTGGTCTTATACATTGTGATCTGAAGCCGGAGAACATATTGGTAAAGAGCTACAGCAGATGTGAAGTAAAGGTCATTGACCTTGGCAGTAGCTGTTTCGAGACAGATCATCTATGTGCATACGTACAATCACGATCTTACCGTGCACCTGAGGTTATTTTGGGTTTGCCTTATGACAAAAAGATAGATATGTGGTCACTTGGATGTATACTAGCTGAACTTTGCACTGGAAATGTAAGTGGTTACTGCATACCGGTTATTGCACCACTTAATTGTTAAATCCTTTCATCTCATGGCTTTCTATTTTCTTTTTGACTGAACTTGTCGCTGTTTTGTTAATGCATATTTCATAGTACCATATGGCTTTACTAAAACAAAAAAGGGATCTGTCTTTCTGTACATATATGATATATCCCTGTGTTCTTTTTGAATGATCTCTATCATATTAAGAATCCTTTAGTATTAGGGCGATTAAAAAAATGAAACTCATTAACAAGTGTATTTAGATTTTTCTTTTTTGATCTTAGCAGGCAATGTTTGCAATTTATCTATTTACTGTTATACATAGAGAATGAATATGTTAGTTCATCTTGATTCACCATGGTCTATGCTCTTCAGGTTCTTTTCCAAAATGATTCTCCTGCAACTTTACTTGCACGTGTGATGGGCATCATTGGTTCGATAGAACAAGCTATGCTTGCACAGGGACGTGAAACATACAAATATTTCACCAAAAACCACATGCTGTACGAAAGAAATCAGGTTTGAATTCTTCTATAGATGTTTTTTTTGTTTTCCCAGTCACACAGATGTAACTGAATTTTATAGCAGATTTATCCTTAAACTTTAGCCCTTCTGTGTTAACCTTTCAATTCATTGTTCCCCAGGAAAGCAACAGACTGGAGTACTTGATTCCAAAAAAGACATCTTTGCGGCACCGCTTGCCCATGGCTGACCAAGGTTTTATCGAGTTTGTTGCATACCTTCTCGAGGTAAACCCAAAGAAGCGACCTAGTGCCTCAGAGGCATTGAAACATCCATGGCTTTCTTTTCCGTACGAGCCAATATCTTCATGACACAGTTGCTACTGGATGGTGATGTTTCCAAGCACTACTATATTGAGTGCCTTAACATTTTCTCTTGGCGCTAAGCAACATGAAGTTTTGATTGATCAAGATGAAACATGTTCTACCACGACTTGCCCACAGCACGACCAAAGTCCAAATCTCATGAAGTGTGCTGCTGCTGCTGGGACGGTCCTCGCCCCCCTGTACTACCAATGCTGCCCTGTGTTGTGATGTAATATAACCTTCGGTTTTGTCAGTTCCTTGGCCCCAATGTAACAGGCCATTTGGTTAGATACTATTGCGACCCCATTTTTAGGAATAGGGCTGTCATGTTGTACATGGTGTTTTTATTGTTGAACCATGTGCCTTGTTGCGCACTTCCATTTGTGGTTCTAACCCATTCTTCTGTACATCTCGCACCTCCAAGGTGCTTAGGAACTGCTTGCCCCTCCAGGCTTGTTTTGCCGAGAATCGTTACACTTTGCTTACCTTCTCTTTTTCTGAGTCCTTAACATGAGCCGGTGCACCTAATCTTCATACCTGCCGTATCTGAAAATTAAGGTAGAGCTGGGCTTAAATTTTCCATCAATGTTCAACCATGTCAAACTGCCAAAGGTTCTGCGTATCTCGGCGTACAGCCGACTTCCATCCAACCTGACCTCGGTGCACAGCTGCGCCTGCACGCGTCAGGTCCGCACAACGCACATGACGTTGCGTTTTGCACGATTTGGTCCACTGTTTCTTTTGCGTGGAGGATAGCCTCATCAATCATCCAAGTGCTTTGCGCCGCGGCACGGAAGTCGAAGTCATCATGTGTACAGGTTGTACTCGTAGGAGTATCTTGCAACTGCAGCTCGTTCATTAGATCCTGTGTCGCCGATGATTTTTGCCGTGTACACAGAATTTTGTAGTGGAACAGCTTGGCTCGCTCTGCTGAATTTCGTCCATCGCCTAACCGGGCCAGATATTAGTGACGCAGGTCTGCAGCTGCGTCATGAAGAGAGATGCATGCATTTCCATTCAATGCTGACGGCTCCGCCGTGCTGGACTCGCTCGCGCTCGCCGGGCGCCGATCGAGTCCACTCCGGTGATGCGAAATAGAATACCGAGTAGCAAGATACCACGTATATAGCAGCTGTTTCCCTCGATCCAAATACTACTACCCACGTTACCTAATATAAGCCAAAACTGTTTATTAAGAAATACAAATTAATTTATAAGTAAAAATTTTGTTTATATGCGGTTAGCGATTTAAAAGTCAAAACTATACTTAAAAAATACTGAGTGGCAAGATACTTCGTACTAGCAGCTGTTTTCCTCGGTCCTGAGCATTACCGGTTGCTCATATTTTCTAATAAACCAAAACGATTTATTAGGAATAGAAACTAATTTATAGATGAAATTTTTTGTTGAAAATATCTTAAAGTTAACTTCAAAATTAGGTTTTCTTTTTTTTTCAAATTTTAGCTTTAGCTTTAGCTTACTAGCCCAACCGTGAAAGCTCTAAGGCTGACGCCTAGTTTGATAGAGCAACTTTACTCCTTTTTCATTATCAAGTTTTCTATACTGTTAAACGGTATGTTTTATTAAAATATATTTATATAGAAGTTTTTTTAAAAAAATAAATAAATTTATTTTTAAAATTTATAATGATCATACTTACTTAATCCTATGCTAATGATCTGTCATATTTTATGAGACGCCATCAACTCTAGCCAAACCATTCGTTTAGGGTGTTGCGTATGGCAACTCTGTGTCACATAAAACAAGATAAATCATTAAAACGTGATCAATTAAATATTAATTATTACAAATTTGAACTGAGCTTATTTATTTTTTAAAAATCCTTTATCAGTTGGAGAAGTAGTAGCAGCGGTCCAAGTCATTTCCAGTGTGCCCTCCCTAGTCGGGTCTCCCCCTCCCGGCTCCGCCACTATGGAACGTGTCACGCACGCGCATCACAGAACGGTCTCGCTTGGCGGGAGCGGGGAGCACGGGGCAAGTACTAGGCGGGCTAATAGGGCATCTGCTGTTAATACGGATCATATCAGTGGTTGAATTCCTTCCGGTTTTACGTCAGATGAACCAACAGAGTCCACGAGTACGCGTGCATCAATCAGTACGAGCTCCTCGCGAGAAAACATTAACATGTGCTTGCGTATGTGCAACGGATCGATCGCCTACTCTTGTATTTAAGTATTTAGAGCAGGTACAATAGCAGACTATTAGTCAGCTACAAACATATTTAATTGAGATAAAAGATGAGAGAGAAGAGCAGCAGACTACAGATCTGTAGCCAACTGCAGCACGAACTTCAAGACACAATGTGTGTATGACAGGTGGGACCATATATTAATAGTATAATAAACAACTATTATATGAATTAGCTATTAGATTGGTTATAGATGAATTAAACTTACTCTTAGGCTGCATATACTGTAGACATGCTGTCAGGGCCAGAATCATCCTGATTCTCCCTCGATAATAAAATAGATTTCTTTTTATGAGATTTTGATTTGGACTTAGTTATACTCAAACAACAAAAGATGCATGTCTAGTAGTAGGAGCACCATAGAATTTTCACATGTGAGATTTCCCAAGATCAAAAAATATATGGTACTTTGATAAACTTTGTTAAAATGAATTGGTTTTGCAATTAAAGTGTGTATCACTTGATATTGGGACAAGGATAGATAGCGAAACTTTTGGCACTTCTTCGAAATAAATAAATAGCAGAAAAAAATCCATGCCACCTCTGAAATTAAGAATAAATCAATGCATGATGTTTATTAATTAACATACTACTCACTATGTAGTACTAACAACTGTTTAAGGAGGGGGATCAGGGTCACTCAATATAATCAGGTGTTTGATTTTGGCCTCAACATATCTCTCATGAAAAAGATTCGCTTGAGAAGAATCAGGACCGTTTCATGTAATTGGTGGCTGATTTTGGTCTTTACAGTCGCTGTTAACTGTGTATATGAAAAGATCCGTTCCCCGACAGTGTGATGCACGTGCATATGCGTGTTTTGAAAAAAAAAACACTTACAACAAAAATGCATTTGTCCATTAGGTCAGAACCTGTCGACAATAGAACCCTATAATAACTTAGTTAATTTTAATATATGTGTATGTTTTATGAAAAATATTCATAAAAATAGTCCGTAGACGATTTATAGGAGTCAACATATAAGTATAATATGTATACGTATATAAGCACTTGCATTGGCATCAGTTTTTAGGAAAAGAAAATGTTTTCACCGAAACACAATGCTCTTTATTACAAACTAATTATATGGTTAGATTCATCGTAGGGAACCTATCAACCAAGTTTATTCCTAAATTTACACGGACAACTATATCTACGACTAATTATTTTTTAGGTAAATATATATCTTTCAATAACGATACATGTGTGATGACTGATGAGGCGGTTTTGTCAATATCAAAATATATTATGCTAATGTGGCTAGGTTGGTAGGCTATGTAATAGATGTCGATAACGAAACATCTGTAATTGTTTCATCAATTTTACGATATATTTGTGTAATTTAAAAATATGTCTAACGATATATCAGCTCAATTTAAGAATATGGTTTTGGTGATAGGGTGTGATGGTGTGATAGTGTGCGTTGTTGTAAAGTAAACACCGAATTATTTATTTCTATCTACTCCCTCAGTTTTAAAATGTAAGAACATAGAATCAGGTGTAATGGGTCTGTTCGGCCGGTATTTTTCACAGCTGCACGGCTGGCTAGCTGCAGTAGCGAGCTGCAAGCCGCATAATACAAACGTTGCAGCCGTAGCGCTGCCGCGGGAATGGCAGCCGAACCGGTCCAATATTTCATACTATAAATCTGGATATATTCGTATTATTAGAAAATATATTCATTCTGATCTTAAATTATGTCCAGATTTATGATACTATGAAATGTTACATTTCATATGTTAGAGTAGATAAGGGAGTATTTGGGGGAAGGTGTCGAGGGGCAAAACAAACGTGCTGGAAATAGCACAGGAGGAATAAACGAACAGCGGCACGCCTCCATCCTGGAGGTTATCTGTATCGTCGCCGCGAATGGCCGAGATAACCTACCTCACCTTTAACCTAATCCGGATTTCCGGATGGCTCATGGGCTCACGGCTGGCCGCCCTTTGCCTTCGAACTCGATTCTCGAGCCCGAATCAACAGGCACACTCGTATATCCTCCCGAAATTTCTAGACCCGACCGTGCGACTACGACCCCGCCGTCCGATCCGATCACCCCGATGCGAGCAGGATAAGGGACAGCGACCGGTCGCCCCTCTACCCGCCTCCCACTTCCACGCTGGCCCCACCGACCCCCGACCGGCGGTGGGCCCCACCTCCGCTCCCTCGCCGCCACGCGTCCCCCTAGCCCCCACGACGCCACGTCCCGAGACCGCCACGTGGGCCCCACCACCCCCCCCCCCTCGCGCCTGCCGCGGCGAGACGAGGCAGGTGGAGGTGTCTCGCCGCCTCCGCCTCCATGGGCGGCTATAAAGCGGCCGCCTCCACCTCACCTACACCTACGCCTACGCCTACGAGGATTTTATTTAATTCTCTTTGTGTTTGTGTGTTATTTTTTTCTCATTTTCGAGCGGCCGATTAATGCGCGGAGTTTCGAATTTTTCTACGTCCTCGTTGTTGCGCGAGACGAGGCGATATACGGCACCGAGCATCTGGTTCCAGGATAATTCGACCGATTGATCGGCGCGAGGCAGCGAGAGAATCATCCGCCTTTTTTTTGTTTGGTTTTGCGGATTGAGTGATTCGCTTTTCTCTTCGTTGGTCGCGGGAGGTTGGATTGGAGAGGAGGTCCATTTTTAGGGCGGTGGCGGCGCGATCGATCCGGGATTGGGAGAGGCATTTCTAGGGCGGGGGGAGCGGCAGCGGGCGAGACCCACCACCAACGACCTCGCGACCGCGCCTGCGTCGCCGCGCGCGCGTGTGGAGGAGGAGGAGGAGGAGGATGGCGGGGAGCATGCAGGCCGCGGAGGCGGCGGGGCGGATCAGCGCGCTGCTGTCGCTGCTCGCGCTGCGGCGGCTCATCGCCTTGCTCCAGCCGCTCGCCCTGCTCCTGCTCCTGCCCTTCCGGTGGCGCGGCGCGCGCCCCGGCGCCGCCGCCGCGGCGGCGGCGGCGGCGGCGGACGCCGTGGCCGCCTCGGTCGCGTCGGGCGGGAAGAAGGGGAAGGCCGCCGTCGTGCTGCGGGTCCCCGCCGGGTCGCCGATCGTCGCCGCGAGGCGCCAGGCGTCGGCCCGCCGGGAGATCGCCGCGCGGCGGGCGCGCGAGGCCGGCCGCGAGTACGAGCTCATCCCCACCCACCGCGGCGAGACGCTGTTCACGCAGTGCTGGTGGCCTCACGGATCCTCCTCCGCCATTAAGCCGAGGTGAGACACCACCACGACGATGACGACCTTCCGTGAAAGGGATGAATTGAATGAATTCAGGGGGGGATTCCCTCTCACACACGTGCTTGAATTTTTTTTTTGTTCCTATCTAAATCATTTCACAAAAAAAGGTCTCGTTTGGTGCTAGTGTCCTCATCAGATTGTCCGTTGATTCTTCCGCAGGGCGCTCGTCGTAGTCATGCACGGGTTGAACGAGCACAGGTAATGGATTTACTCCAGTTTCCATCTGATATTTAAAGCCGGTGGATTGTATTGTCCGGTAGTTGATGGTTGGCCTACCTTTTGGTTCATGTGGCAGTGGGAGATACGATCATCTAGCTAGGAGGTTGAACGACATCGGTGTTAAGGTTTATGGGATGGACTGGACTGGTGAGTCTTATTGCAACGCTTTTCGCTTATGCAACTGCCTGTTTTTGAGTGTTATGTGTTCATTTTCCGTACTGACCTTAGCTAACTACTCATATATTTACTGGCTTGAGTATACTTTTTTCTTTGAACGAATGGCTTGAGTATACTAGAAATTAATAAGTAGTCGATAGAAAATTGGGTGACTGGAGCCTCTCACGAGGCTTCAAAATTCATCACCATTTCAAGGACATTGATGTATCTTCAAGTTCTCAATGATTTTAAGCCCGAAGGCCTGCTGAAAATATTGTCTGTGACCTGGTAAAGTAAGGATAGTTGGTGCAAGTTTTGCCCTACAAAACTACTATGTTATTGTGAGATGAATATATGGGTTATCAAACTTCGGTAAGATAGTATTTTGATGGAGTTGTTTACTTTGGTTAGTTTTGGTAGGGTAGCAAGCCAAACTAGCCTAAGTCCTGATTGTGTATCAGCTCCTATTCCTGCTTAATTATCTTCAAATCCCAATGGTTCAAAACTAATAGGAAAGAGAGGAAATTGGCACGTTGACTGATTCTCTCTTAGGGGGTACACGGTGCCATTTAAACATCATTTAACAATTCCACTTTACCAATTCCTCTATTGCCAGTTCAGTATCAGTCCTTTTTGAAACCAACCATATAAACTGATACCTTCAATTCTCCACTTTGTTTCATCTGTATTTCATACCTAACTTGGAGCGCATAGACATGTAACTGCAATATTCTAGTAGTTAGGAACCAATGATAATGGTATTCTCAGAGAGTTGGACAATGGACCACCTGGTATTCAGAATTTGTCAAATTTTATATGGGCTAAATTGGGTGTTCTGTAATCAATCTACTATGATGGCCCTTGGTAAAATACTCACTATGGACTGGGCTGTAATGTATTTGGTTTTTTGGTATAGGCCCATTGGTCTTTCTAACCTACATACACTATTATGCAGGTCATGGTGGAAGTGATGGTCTTCATGGTTACGTGCAATCTCTTGACCATGCTGTCAGTGACTTGGTACGGGCAATTGAACTTATTACCTTTGGTGTTGTCTGAGACCACTTGTATAAAATCTTATTGAAATGCTTCTTTCAATGTAGAAAATGTATCTCAAGAAAATTTTAGCTGAAAACCCTGGTCTTCCATGCTTCTGTTTTGGCCACTCAACTGGTGGAGGCATCATTTTGAAGGTAACTTCATTGGTACCATAGGAATTGTACTGGTGTGGTGTTCACTTCTACATTAGCATGTGCTTGTGAGTGCACAAATGCATAAGCTTAAATTTGTTGGTGTGTTTTGTTATTGGTAGGCTATGCTTGATCCAGAGGTAGATTCTTGTGTTGAGGGCATCTTCCTGACATCACCAGCTGTTCGTGTTCAGCCTGCCCATCCAATCATAAAGGTAAGCTGATTGTAAAAATGCTTATCTGTAAGATCTAATCGGTGTGCTTGTTAAGATAAAACATGATACATAATACGTCCCAATTAGCTTTATGCTAACTGGGGCAGAAACTAGAAATGAGAGCTGATGTGTTCTCCATTGCTCTGATTGGTGAGAGGAGAACAGCTGCTAGTTTCTGTGTAGACTGGAGTAGCATGCATGGAACAGTAACTGGCTTTTGTAGACATCTCAGAAATATTTTCTGCTGTCTATTTGTAGGTCATGGCCCCTGTGTTTGCCCTCATAGCCCCAAGATACCAGTTCACGGCTTCACACAGGAACGGGCCACCGGTATCACGTGACCCGGAAGCCCTGAAGGCTAAATATTCAGACCAGCTTGTGTTCACCGGTTCCATCCGAGTTAGAACAGGGTACGAGATCCTACGCCTGACGTCGTATTTGCAACAGCACTTGCACAGAATCACTGTCCCGATGCTGGTGATGCATGGTGCCGATGATATGGTGACCGATCCCCAAGGATCACAGAAACTGTACGAAGAAGCTTCATCCTCGGACAAGTCCCTCAATCTGTACAACGGTCTGCTTCATGATCTGCTCATCGAGCCCGAGAAGGAGAAGATCATGGACAACATTGTGGATTGGCTGAGCCCGAGGATTTGACAGCTGATATCCATTCATAGGACGCAGTCTGATCGTCCGCGGAGCGCGGGGGCAGGATGAGCATCCCGGCCTCCCGATGGTGATGACGCGGTCTTTGATCATCTGCAGAGCCGAGGAGGGCGAGCGTTGCTGCAAGCCTGCGATGCTGCTGGCCTCCCGGCGTTGGTAACATCATACCACGAGCATTGCTTCTATCTATATTACGTGTTGCTGTAGTACCAGGCGATGATGGGTCGGCTTACTACTGTCGCCTCCCCTTGGTATCCCGGAATCCTTTTTGTTTGCAGGGATACGCCTATGTAAGATTGTTCGTTTCGCCCTGTGTGGCTGCATGTGTGGTGTCCAATAATTTAGATGCCTTTTACCCTCCGATGAGAGGAGACGTTTTCTGCGTTGCAATGTAATCAGATTTTGCAGCAGAATATATTTGCCTGGATTGTCTGATGTGTAAATATGTTCTCCTGCGTCATATCGTGTTATTTTTGCCTGGATTCACTCAGATGTGCAAATCTTGTTAAGAAATCTTGGGTGATCTCGTTCACCCGTAGGAATAGGACAATTGGCAGAGAAGGAAACGCGGCGGTTGGCGGCGTCCCTTCTCTCCTCTCTGTGCTCCTGGACAATGGGCGCGATGGATGTATTAATTCAGCATACGATCAATGAGAAATCTCTCATCTCTCATCTCTCGCTCAATTCTTCTGCACCGTGTCGTGCTGTCTGCGTAGTCTGCGGCAAGCTGTAAACGGTTCCGACGAAGTTGCATAGTGGCAGGGACGAAGCCAGGATTTGAGATTAGGGGGGTGTGGGGTGAAGATAAACCATGAGACCGAATAACTAGTCCTTTAAGAATAGTCACCGTCAATAACAAGCAATGCGTAAACTAGTCCTTTAAGAAAAACTTAAATTTTAGCTCTTTAATAATATCATTGGAAATTTAAAACTAGTCTTTATTGCTAAATTCTTTTAATATAAACTATTAAATAATCTCACAAATAAGTATCATCTATTTTACTTTGAAAAATATGAGAAATCACAAACTAATTTTATAGATCATGTCTCTTGCTAATATTTTTAGACTTGCTAACTAATTAAATTAATAATACTTTCAAGCTACACAAAATAAACTAAATAAATACTTATCTTAGCTAACTTAATATAGAGTAAAATACATGAGGGTGTAGTGGTGGTAGTGTTTGGATAGGGGGGTGTTGGCACCCTTTGGCACCCCCCTTACCTTCGCCACTGCATAGTGGGCAGTGGCATCTCATCGTCTGCTTGCCTGTTAGTTCATCTGCCCTAGCCAAAATTTGACGTTTGAAACTTAAATAAAGTACATTTTTGAAGTTATTTTTATCAATCTTCTTTTTTTTTTGGGCTTCGTTCATTTATCCGAAGGTATCCACTTTTGAACCTGATCAGACTTGTTGCAAAGCGGACTAATCGAAATGTTGAAACCTTGACTAGGCCATCGCGCGCGTTCGGTGGTCCACCCAGAGCGGCCTAAATGGATGGAGGATGGTCATTTCAGGTGATGAATTGAGATACATTCTATAGTGCAGTGATAAGAATCATGCGATTTTAACCCCAAAATCTCATGTTTAATATCCAATGCACTCACAATTTCTTCTTTTTAGTGTTGTTTTCATGCTATTACGAATATACCATTTTAGAAATTAACATTACAATTCATCTATTCGTATCCACGCTAACTGAACTGGCACAAAATTAAAACCATATCATTTCATAACGTTTTTTTTTATCTTTTTTTTACAATTTTTTCTTCTCCTCTCTCTCCCTTCCCCTCTTGTTGGCCGACCGCAGCAGCAGTGCCAACGCCATCGCCGCCCCACATCTCCAGCCTCTCACTGGGTCCAATGGCGAGCACCGGTGGCTGCAGCAAGGCCATGCTGGAGCGGCGGAAGGGCTAAACGCAAGCTTGTGTGAGCAGATCCAGCACCAAAGGTGGCGAGCTCAGCAAAAGTTAGCACAAAATTCGTATGCCGTATTTATAATGATATGGATCTAATTAACCCAAAAAAGGTTTGGAGGAACATCTCTCCATCCAAACCTCAGTTCAGGCGATGTATTGCCGTAATTTTGGCACATAAGTCCACCCCGCAAGTGCTTATAGATTTAGGGCCTATTCACTTTGATGTCATTTTCAACTTTATCAAATTTTGGTAAAGTTACTAAAAAAATAGCTACATTTAGTTTGCTGCCAAATTTTGGTAACTATATAAGAAATTCTGCCAAAATTTTGGTAAGTTTTTTTTCAGTGAACAGGCCCTTAGCCTGTTAACGTGCAAATTCAGCCTGTCAAAGTCTGTAAATTCAGGGCCAGTATGGTTTGAGGTCTAAATTAGCCTTGCCAATTTTTTGGCAACCTCAACAATAATTGTGTATGTTTGGATTGAAGCCAAATTTTGGCATGCCTATATAACATAGGCCAAGCCAAATTAGTTTAATTTGGCTTCAATCCAAACACATGTTGGCCTTACCAGGCCAACATTGGTCACAAACCAAACTGGCCCTCAGTCTGTGAATGCGTGCCATTTCGGCCTTTGTGTATGAGTACGAGTCACCAATTACGGGCCCAATTAATGAATGGCCCATTCGTGGGCTGAGTATACATGGGCCATGTAGTGGGTCCAAACTGTCCATGTAGAGATAGTAGGCCGAATTTCCAAGGCCGACCTTCTGTACGCCGAAAGTTTTTTGGTCCTGTTCTTCAGTAATGGGCCTCTTTTGCGTAAATCGGTAATGGGCTACAAGTTGAGCCTAATCTCGCGGGCCCAATTGTCCCTAGACTGGAAGTGGCCCAATTCTCTCTCTGTTTTTTTTTCATTCGTTTCTCTATAGCTATTTTGATTGAGAGCAAAGTACAAAACGACAAATGTGACGTTTCCTGACGGTGAGAGTTCATGGTTCAGAATATCCGCAGGATAACCGGAAAAGGATAAGGGCCAAGACCATTTCTGTGCCGTCCGATTTACTAATGCACGGCACAGATACGTTTTTATTTTGGTGGTGGGGTCAGCTATCGACACCAACCGGTGAAGCCCACAGGCCGCTAATCCGGTAGGTCGTTTGTCCCCTCTAGAAAGCTCCAAGTCACCTCTTCCATTTTTGCCATGCATATCATCAAGAATTTACAAACTTTACCATTGCACACTCTTGTTTATAACAGCTAGGGTTACAAAAGAAACACTTAAAATCAGACTGGAAACGCACCTAACAAAAATTTCCACAAACACACTTGTAAGACTATCATAACACCTGTAACAGGGAAGTGACAGTTCCTTTACACTTCTAAAGCAAAAGGAATGGTGAAAACAACTTGGTGTTATTGTTGTAGCTCGTGTACCCATCCAACTATGTGATTAGTTACGTATAAACGGTACATATTCATATTCTTTTTCACAAGTGCATTATTATTTAGCACATATGTTAGATATGATATTACATAATTGTAACAGTAGAAATTAATGTAAAACATCTATTCATGGAATATACCACGAGTATACCACTACTTTACCTTTAAAAAGAATGGTTGCCTTAAAAGAATGGTTTGTCTCTTCTTTTTCTTTTCATCTATTTCTTATTACTAGTATTCCGTAACAAAGTTCAAATAACATCGTCTTACTTATCGGTCAACGTCACAAAAATACATATCTAAATCATCAGAAAAATAATATAACCTTATGATATCAACATTCTCAATACCGCTTCTCTCTTTTACCAGTAACAATAATAAAAAGTATCACAAAGAAATCCTAGATAAGCCCTCAAAAGATTGCTTGGTGGTTTAATTAATTGAAAGTCTCGTATTCATCATATCTTTTAATAGTACATTGAATGGAACAAAATATTCAAATTAATTGATTTAATAGTTTTCTGAAAATTTCATCGAAATGACCTTCCACCTATAAAATATGTTGTACTATTATAATTTAGTAGATAAAATGTATAAATATTAGGTTGAGAAAAACGAGAGATATTACATGAATATTCAATCCACTAATACTTTTAATAAAACTACTTATTAATATACACTATGTTAAAATCTATTATCACTAATCATATTTCTATAATTAATTTTTCAGAAAACCTAGACAACGGTATGATACCGTTGGAACAGGATATCCTTCTACGATACAGTACCTGATACCTGATACTTGTTGTGGTATCAGCTGCATGGTACTCGATACCTGTTTCCCGGTACCCGTGATATCTAGGACATGGTACCTGTGATATGTCTATCCCGTTGCAATGGGATCTCGTTTTGTAGCAGGTCTCTTAATTTTTAGAAAACTTTTATAGTCTATACTTTAGTACAATGGGTGCCCTCAACGGAATAAACCGCTATACCACCATGATGCAAATAGGGGTAGGCATTCGGTCTAACCGAAAATTTCGGTCTCGGTCTTCGGTCTTTCGGTTTTTTCGGTCTTTGAAAAGTGAAGACCGAATTTCAGTAAAAAATGTCAGGACCGACAAATTCGGTATCGGTCTTTTCGGTCTCGGTCTCGGTCCTGACCGAAATTCAACAATATTTTCATATATGCAAAGAAACAATGGAAATTTTCAACACAAAAATCACAAAAAAAAATCGTAAGCACTTATGAGTAAAGACTCTTAATAGGTTGCATGCCTAGAAGAAGTAGGATGTGAAAATTAGAGTTTAATTCTATTAAATATAGTGGATTGTATGTTGCATTTAGACATTTTTTGGTAATTCGGTCTTTTCGGTCTATTCGGTTACCCGAGGAGACTAACCGAATTGACCGAACAAAATTCGGTCTTTCACTACCTAGGACCGAATTGATGACCGAATTTCTCAGTCTCGGTCTCAGTCTTTTCAGTTCGGTCTTTTTCTGCCCACCCCTATATGCAATGGCCCGTAAAGTCCACGGCGGTTCTACCAGGAGGGGCATTCCGGTAATTCCATTTTTCGCATTTCGGTGGACTGCTAATCCCGTAATCCGTGTCTATAAAAGGATAAGCCCCCACTTCCCCTCGAAGAAGCAAGCAAGCGCCCACAGAAGCAACAAGGCGACTTGCTTCGTACTGCTCGCCCCCCCGCTCCTTCTCCCCCCAATCTCTCCTCTCCTCCGCCGCCGCTTGCCGGAGCTCGCGCCGCCGCGCTCCCTCCGCCCCCGCCTCGCCATGGCGTTGCAGGGGAAGAAGCTCATCAATGACCCGAACGGTACAGGCCTCCACGCCCATTTCCCCCCGCTTTTTTCTCCGTTGATTTCCGCGAGTTTTTTTTTCTGCCTCGATTCCTAGGGTTTATTCGCTCCCGATGTTCTCGGGGGGTTGGATTGGTTGAACTTTTTTTTTTGTTTTTGCAGATGTGGTGACGGAGTTCATCGAGGGGCTGGTGGAGACGTACCCGGGCCTGCAGTACTTGGACGGGTTCCCTCAGGTGATGGTTTTTTTTAGGGGAATTTGGTTTCGATTCTGTTTGGTTTGGCGACCATTTTGCGATGAATCATCTCTCGAGTGTGTGTGTGTGCAGATTAAGGTTGTTCTTCGTGCTGATGTCGTACAGGGCGCCTATGATAAGGTCGCGGTTATCTCAGGTGTGGGGAGCTGTGTTTTTCGTTTTTAATCTGTATGTGTCTGTTTCGTTGGGAATTGTGTTTTTTGTTATAGGACTGCCTCCTTTTTGCTGGTTATGAATTGACACGATTGGATCTAAGTTCATAGCTGTCCTGTTTATACCTTGCATCATAAAATTGGAGGGGATGATTGGTTTCCATGGAAATCAAGATTTTTCCTCGCTAATTCATGACTTAGTCTTTGCTTCCACACAATGTACCTCAAATTGGAATATTATAACAAAGTTAGTTTACTCCAGCATTGTTTTCTGTACATTTTCATAACAGTCTAGTCAATAACTATTTACTTCAATATTTTTTTTCTTGCATCCAAAAGCAAAGCATGGTGCAATGCAATCAGATCCGCATATTTTGTAGATGTTCTCCTTGAACTGCCAATGAATCTGGCGATCACTGATCAGGATGGCAATTTCAGTTTTGAATTTGAGAACAATTAGGGCTTTGCATGCAGTCAACTGATTGAGATTGGCAATCTTAAAATTTGTACATTGGGCATGTTTTTGTTGGAATGAATGAAACATGAGTATACAGCAATATATTGCACATAATGAAGGTGCATTGTATGCCACGGTATTGTGATATAAAAGACATGCTTCTTGCCCATGTGTATACAATACACCATGTCTCCCACCAGAATGCTCATTTTGTCATTATGAAGTCTGTATGCACTTCTTTTTTCTGGTTATGCGCTGTATTGTTTAGCTCATTCTAACATTTTTTTTTCCGAAAAATGTGGCACTTTTATGTTTGTTATGACCGTATAGTATAATCAGATCTGATGTATGCTCTATTCTTGTTGTGCGACTCTAGAAGTCTCAATACCCCAGTGGATCAGTTATTTTTCTTACTATTTGGTAAGAAGTGGAAGTGAGACTAGGGGTTGAAGTGGCAGTTCTGTCAGGTTTGTTATGGTATCATCTATCATGATACAATGACATGGAAGTGCTTTTTTTGTTTCCGGCATTGATAGGAAGTATAACAATTTAACAAATATGCATCTCAGTCTGCTATTACTCTAGCCAGCTGTTGTTGCCCTCCTTGCAATCGCTGACACTGAATTTCAATTTACACTTACATACAAAACACAATTACTCCTGCATTCAAAATCACCCTGTGAGCATAGCCATAAGATTGACATTATGGCATCTCACTAAAGCATTTCAATGTTGTTGATAGGTGGTGGAAGTGGCCATGAGCCAACCCATGCTGGATTTGTTGGGCCAGGAATGTTGACAGCTGCCGTTTCTGGAGATGTTTTCACTTCTCCGCCCGTTGATTCTATTTTAGCTGTATGATCTTTCAGTTAAAGTAAAAGTGTAAGCTGCTTTTACTGCTGAGATTACCATAGCTTACATGTTTCAGCTGCATGTTTTCATTGTAGGCTATTCGAGCTGTAACTGGTCCCATGGGGTGCCTTCTAATAGTAAAGGTACTCTGCAGCCTTTGTTCTAAAAGATCATTCCTGAGATGATAGGTAGCACTTAAGGCCTTGCAATGTTGTATCATCTGATGCTTTGAAGTTGAACAATGTTCTTTTGATTAGCACATACTGCTTTCACCAGCTGTTATCTCGTGAGTAATGTCTTCACACACACACACACACACACACACAACGGATAGATGGAGAGGAGGATTGTTTCCTCAAAATAATCTATGAACTCCTTTTTTTTTAAAAAAAAAAATGAAGACGCGACATATTAAATTGTTCTGCGGATGGCGTGCTAAATCTCTTACGTTGTACATTCTGGAAACAGTAGCTACGGGTGAGTGGGTTGTAGAGTAGACACGATTTGGTTAAAACAAGCTTTGTATGTGTTGAGTGTTGTGGGGCTAATTCCAAGTTGCCGATTAGTCATTTTTTAAAAGAATAAATATATATTTATATATAATTGTTTGAATGTTATTTCATGAATACTACTTGATCTTTTGGTAATTGGGTGAAAATTTCCAGGTTCTATCATCTTGCTCCTTTTCACGGTGCATTGCAGCTTTGTTTTTTTATTGCTCATTTCTCTGTTCTTAAAATTTCTATTTTTTGTTCCCCACCCAAGAAATAAAAGTTTCCTGTGTTATCCAGAGAAAAAATGGAGGGCCACCAGATTTGGAATATAATCTGATAGAGAAATCCTACGCTATATTTGTTTTTATGCTGTTGGTAACCTGTTCTCCACTAGTTTGATGAAAAAAAGGGAGAAAACTGGAGAACAGTAATTTTGGATATTGATGCTGCTTAGCGCTGCTGTTTTGTCAATATTTCAACCTGCATTTCTGTTTCTCCAGTGCTGATTTGTCATAATTTTCTATTTGAGCCATGCCAATCGCTTCTTTGTTATGCTTCATTCCTTTTCACACCTTTGACCTTTGATTGTTGAACGTTTGCAGAACTACACTGGTGATAGACTCAATTTTGGACTAGCTGCTGAGCAGGCAAAATCTGAAGGCTATAAGATGGAGGTTGATGAACACTTGACATCTTGCTAATTTGGTGTACTTCTGTATGGCAAGTCAAGTTCAAATTACCTTCTAATTAATATTTGTCCACCAACTGTAGATGGTTATTGTTGGAGACGATTGTGCCCTCCCTCCACCTCGAGGAATAGCTGGTAGAAGAGGTTTAGCAGGGACTATCCTTGTGCACAAGGTATTTTAGTGTTGCTATTATTTTCTCAATCTTATTCAGTGCTTGCATGCTCCACTTTGGAACTTACCAAGCAAAGCTGACCAGAGAAAATCCCGCTCATTTTGATTGATCTTCCACTTGTTCATGCCAGATGCTATTTTCTGATTTTCATCTAGCCTTACCCCCAGGCTGCACCATGCTTATTTAAACAAACACATGTAACTTTTTTAAGTTAGTTGCTAGTCTGCCAGATACAGAAATTCATTTTCTGTTCTCAATAGTACGTCAATGAACTGTAGATCTCTTCTGTATTGTGCTCATGGTAAAATTATCTGATGGAACCATCCTTTTCCAGCTTGCACTTAGAACATTTATGATATGTGTACATATTAATTAATTAGGTTGTTTCTTACTACCTCCGTCCCAAAATAAGTGCAGCCGTGGATATCCGTGCCCAACGTTTGACTGTCCGTCTTATTTGAAAAATTTGTGAAAAAATTAAAAATATTTAGTCACACATAAAGTACTATTCATGTTTTATCATCTAATAGCAATAAAAATACTAATCCTAAAAAATTTTTCAAATAAGACGAACGGTCAAACGTTGAACGTGAATAGTGCAAAACTTCACTTATTTTGGGACGGAGGGAGTACAAGGTATATACGCATGCTGAACAAAAAAAACTTTGTCCTTGTGGTCTATCAACAAGTTCTGGGCTTAACTTGAATGAATCAATCCTTTGTTGCACTTATTTCTTGTTGTCCTCTAAGTCTGAAGTTTGTTTGGATTTTACAGGTTGCTGGGGCTGCTGCAGATGCTGGCTTATCTCTTGCAGAAGTTGCTGCAGAAGCAAAACATGCATCTGAGGTTGTTGGTACAATGGGAGTTGCACTTTCTGTTTGCACATTGCCTGGTCAGGTGACATCTGATCGCTTGGGTCCTAAGCAAATGGAGCTTGGCCTTGGAATTGTAAGATTAAACCTTGTCAGTTATTATTCTCATTAAGCACAGAAATAATTGTCATTACTTGAATTTAGTTTACTTATTAGTTTTTGTGCCTTTGTATCTGATCATTTCCATGCTGAGTGCTGTAAATTTGCATGTTCCCCAAATATGAAACACGTTTTTTGTTCCGCAGCATGGAGAACCTGGTGTTGCTGTTGTTGAGCTCCAGCCCATTGATGTAGTAGTAGAACATGTTCTTAAGCAGATATTGTCACAGGTATGTTTTTGATATGCTATTTTTTTTCTAGGCTTTTTATGTTTCTCCATTTCTCGTTCAGTTGAACCCGCAAGCATTTTAGTTACCATTAGCATCCGTTTTACTAATTTAATCCATTTTATTTGAGTACCTTGAATCCATGTTTTCCATTCTTCATAAAGGATGGTTTTTTTTTTTAGTTTAGCTTGAATAGCAAAGCTTGCAGTTGAAACCTCAAACATTTAAAGTTGTTAGCAGGATTTTTGTGGGTCATTTTGTCCATTTCATTTCAGTACCATGGATCCATATTTTCTGCTGTTCATGAAATCCATACATTTTTGTTTGCACTGTTTAGTTATAGATGCATTTTATTGTTTATGTGATGGCAATGCATCCTTCCAGGAAACTCAGTATCTTCCTATCACAAGAGGGAGCAATGTTGTCCTCCTAATCAATGGGTAACTAAAGATCTTAGAATTTTCGTTTCACCATATCTCAATGATTATCATATGGTTTGCTTACTTTATCAGCATTTAGTTTCACAGGGAAGGTAAAAAAAGCCTTTTACTTTTGGTATCTTGGTCCAACATTCTGACCTATGATGAGCAGTTGCCTTACACTGTAGTATTACCTGATCGTTTGATCCCATCTTTGAAATGCAGATTGGGTGCAACTCCTATCATGGAACTTATGATTGCAGCAAGAAAAGCAGTTCCTGAATTACAATTGGAGTATGGGATTGCTGTTGACAGAGTCTACACTGGCACACTTATGACTTCACTTGATATGGCTGGTCAGTTCTACCATTTATATCTCCATAAGATAATCAGAGCTTCTGTCAAGGGTGTATAAACATTTCTCAGCATAAATTAGTTGGGAACATGTCCAGTGAAAATGCATTAAATTATGATGATCTGTGATGGTTGCATCAATAAAAATAGTATGGATTTGTTTGACCAAATCTCACGAATCTTTTCTGGTTAACATATAACCTTGTTCTCCCTTCAACATGATGTTTATATATATACCTTTCTGTCGTCTATACACTATATAAGCTTAGAGTTATGGTTAATTTGCATTCTTATGCAAGTATCCTGTTTTGACTTGCAGGGTTCTCTATCACTATTATGAGATCAGATGAAAACATTTTGCAGCGACTTGATGCTCCAACTAAAGCTCCGGCTTGGCCTGTTGGATCTGAAGGTAATGTTCTTTCTGGCAGAAGTTTTTGCTTTTCATATGTGATTGTTAGTCTGTTTACCTGTATACAAGCCCAGAATAGTTTCCCTTATCACACGTTTTCTGCTGAATCATCAGATTTCTAAATTTATTGTTGATTCAGGAAATCGTCCACCAGCAAAAATTCCTGTTCCAGTACCACCATCACCATCAGGGAAGGATGATGAGGTAAAGTGAAATTCTTTTGAGCCTTTTCCATGCTGTCCTGCTGCCTATAAGTTCATTTGCACGGTAGTATGGAAGTATAAAAGAGCTGCATACTGCTGGTTCTTCATGGGCTAACTTGATTTCATACCCTGAGTTTACAGCAAAAAGGGGAAATATAAATAAATAAATTCTGAAATCATTTTCATTTATGAAAATAATAGCACGGTTAGTCAAAATATTAGTATTTGGATTTTTCAAACCATGCTGGCATATGCATGTCATCAGTCCATCGGTTACCACATAGAACCTCCTAATTACGATGATTTATCTGCAGATTCTCACTGAACCTCAGGAGTTAAGCAAGCAAGGGTGTATTCTGGAGGCTGCTATTGAAGCAGGGGCTAAAGAAATTATCAATATCAAGGATAACTTAAATGAATGGGATAGTAAAGTGGGTGATGGTGACTGTGGAACCACGGTGAGGCTAAGAATGGGTTGCCAATTTAACCTCTCATGATATAGCTATTTTAAGATAAAATATTTGTCTGTATTTTTCAGATGTATAGAGGTGCAACAACTATTCTTGAAGATCTGAAGAAGCGGTAAGTTAGAAGAATGCTATATTATTGTTGATTGTTTCCTGTTACCTACAGTATTTTAATGTTTTATTTTTGCTGAACATATGTATTACAAATGAACAATTCACTATAATTAAATAATTATAATACAAGCTTCTTTGATTTCTAATTCCTTTCCTTCAAACAATACATGAAAATCAGCAATTTGGTTGTAACTTTACCTGAGACAAGTTTATAACGTATTCGTAGTACTGCAAGCCAGCCAGTCTTCATCCCGATTTATATTTTTAAGTTGGGCATCTTTTCCCCTAGTTGCATGTACTAGTTGACCAATTTCTAGTGCATATTCGTCTTTGCCAGCTACCCAATGAATGATGCAGCTGGAACAATTAATGAGATTGGGTCAACAGTCCGGAGAGTGATGGGTGGAACAAGTGGAATCTTGTAAGAAATCTGTGCATGTCTACCTCTGTTTCACTATCGACCATTTAATTCACAGAAATGTAATCCTTCTTTTTATTATGTTTCAGGTATGACATACTTTGCAAAGCTGCATATGCAAGCTTAAAACAGAACACAAGTATTGGTGCAAATGAATGTAAGAGATTCACATCATGAGTGTAATGACATCTAAAATATTTGCGTGCTTGAAATAATTTTTGCTGCTTTTCTGCAGGGGCTGATGCTTTGGAGGCCTCTGTTGCTGCGGTTAGCAAATATGGTGGTGCTAGTGCAGGGTACCGCACAATGTTGGATGCTCTAATTCCTGCATGTACAGTTCTGAAACAGGTCCCTTCTTGAATCCACTTGCTCTTGGTATATCGTTTACCATTTCTAGTTTGATGAACTCATCGTGCTTAAACAGTCTCTCAAAGCCGGGGACGATCCTGTGACTGCCTTTATCGCGTCTTCTGAAGCAGCATCAGCTGGTGCTGAATCCACTAAACAGATGCAAGCGAAGGTATGCTCTTTAGCTCCATTCCACGACTACGTTTCTAGATTGCTACTGCTACTGCTAGATTGCTACACACTAGAGTGACTTCGGAGATTTCCTTCGATTATATTCCGTCCGAAAGTAACAAAATTCGCTTGCACATGCAGGCAGGACGGTCGTCATACATTGCACCCGACCTGGTGGCATCAGTTCCTGATCCAGGAGCAGTTGCTGCAGCAGCATGGTACCGTGCGGCGGCTCATGCAGTGAAGAGTAAGCTGCACGCCTCGGATAGCTAGGGTAGCGCATGGCATGCTATTATATATGTGCACGCTATGCCTCATTCATAGATCAAAAGTACGACTATACTGACTGACGGCGAAATTCTGGGGGCGTTTTCTCACCCACCCCTTCAGATTTGGTTTCCGCTTGTGCCTTTCTGCATGGGCCGAGAAATCGAGTTCCGTATTCTTTTGCCCTCACATCATACAAAAGAGCTCTTTTATTGAAGAGTTTGTAGACGATATTCCAAGCATGAAGTGAAGCTGTGCTTTTGCCTCTTCGATGCCATCTTTTCATGCGCTCGATGATACGACGATATGTTTTGCCTGAGATGCTTCTGCTATTTCGTTTTGATGACTGGTACGCAGTCAGTCAAGTCACACGGTATTCCAGCTTGAGCCTTGCAAGGGCGGCAAGTCGGCAGCTCTCCGGCGTGGAGCTGAGTGTGCTTGTCTGCTTGTTTGCTTGCAGGCAACCACATCGTTTCACCTCAATGCTTATTAGTGATAAAAGATAATTTGTCAATAAAGCTTTTATATGTGTTCTTAACTACTCCCTCCGTAGAGTTTTTGCTTGCAACGTTTGACCACTCGTCTTATTCAAAAATTTTTAAAATTATTTTTTATTTTATTTGTAACTTACTTTATTATCTACAGTACTTTATTGACAAAGCTTTTATATTAACTTTTTGTTTTCTATATTTGCAAAAAAAATTTGAATAAGCGAGTGGTCAAACGTTGCCAGCAAAAACTGAAAATCCCTTATATTGTGGGACGGAGAGAGTAGTTAATATCTATATCTAATGCTGAAAATAAATTATGATGAGAAAACAATGCTACTGGACCGGTGCACCCACCCAAGAAACGAAGAGCAAGAAAACAGGCTGAATTGATTTGGAACCAAATCTGGATTTTCCCCCCCTAATTTGGTGACGGCAATCACTGTAGCATTTCGTCATCCACAAGACCGACAATAGTGTCATCCGGTTTATCCACCGAGCACCGTTACACATACTAAATTTTTCTTACTAAATTTGTACTACCAATCATCTCAACCGTTTGATTCAAGTAGATGAAAGTTATAAAAAATCTAGTTGCACTCATAGCATGACATGTCAGTGTTAAGTAAAAATTTAGTAAGAAAAAGTTAGTACGTATAGACTTTTCCTTTATCCACCACCACAGTGTGTATTCAGGGGAGGGGTGGGATTCTTCACACAACCTGAATGCATACTCCACACGGCTAGAGATGTGTTCTCAATGCTAAAACGCCCCAGCAGACTATTAAACCGATATGATTGCACCATTTATTTTGGCTGCTTTAGAGGTATCTTGGTCCCTTCTTATCTAGTCAGCAAAAAACATTAATTTAATAGATGGAGTGTCCTTTGACAAATAACCATATTTACATAGTGCATTTCTCCTAAAGTAACTTCGTAGTCAGCAAAAAACATTAATTTAATAGATGGAGTGTCCTTTGACAAATAACCACATTTACATAATGCATTTCTCCTAAAGTAACTTCGCGCAGTGTACTACAGCTAAAACCGTGAAGTCACAATGTCATGTAGCAAAATTTGCCTATATAGTAAGTGCTAAGTGGTGGAGGGCCAACCAGAGTGGCCCACCTGGTTGGATTAGGCTTGCTTCCCGTACGACCAACAGAAATCATTAAGAAATTATGCTACTTATCCTCAAAAACATGGATCACTAGCTGGAAGATTAATTCCGCAGGTACCACATTTGAGAAGTTAAAGTCACCAACTAGATAGGAACCGTGTAAGAAACACCACCTATGCATGTAGTCTTAAATAGGAGTCTTATTACAGTGAGTCACACCTTCGGCCCTGTTCATTTCTTCTACAGCCATAGGATAAAAATTTGGATACTCGTGGCACGCTTTTCAAACTGCTAAACGGTATGTTTCGTGCGAAAATTTTCTATATGAAAGTTGCTCTAAAATATCATATTAATCCATTTTTCAAGTTTGTAGTAATTAAAACTCAATTAATCACATGTTATTACCACCTCGTTTTGCGTGAAAAACTTAATGTTTATCTTCATCTTCCTCTTGCTTCTCACTTTTCATCTTCTCATCTCTCTTTCTCTCTTCCCTTTGCTTTTCCCCACCAGTCACTGAGAGAGGAAGCGAGGCGTGGGCTGCCCAAGCGGCAACATGTCGGGCAGGGAATGAAGCGGCTGTGGGGCAGCACCTTAGGCCGAGACCGAGCCGCGGATGATGGCGCCACTGAGTTCGCCGGATCTGAAGTTGGAGGCGGCTGCGGTCGAGCTCGCGGGCTCCGAAACCCCACCGCGGCTCGGGCCTAAGCCACTAACGATCTTCGTCCCCCAGTCTCGAATCCGATGGTCGAGGTGAGCTCTGATGACGGCTGCGGCGTCGGCGAAGGCGAGCTTCGACAAGGTCTGTGGCGCATGTGCCTCTCCTCCCTTGTCTGCTTTTCTCCTGCCCGGTCCATACATCTCGCCGCCATCGGTGGGCGGATCCAGCGCCGGAGGGAGGATCGCAGGGGGTTGCCGCCACCATTGAGCTCCTCGACGGTGGTTGATGCAGGCTCCTTCAATCGGATCTAGCCGCTCCTTTCCCATTCTCCTCGCTACCTATCCTCCGATCCTCTCCCTTGCAGCTGGAGCAGGTGGCACGGGACACAAAGGTGTAGGCAGTAGGTCCAGACCTACGAAATCTAACGAAGAACTTATGACAATATTTGGCTCCGCGTTCTTTGTGAAGCAACAGAACTGGCAGACGGTGGAGTGGAATCTCTGACGTGGCTGGCTCGAGCTGAATGCCACATCAGTGCACTATGAAAGCCCTTAGCAGTGGAATCTCTGACATGGCTGGCTCGAGCTGAATGCCACGTCAGTGCATTGTGAAAGTCCTTAGCAAGTTAATAAAAGGCTAGCTAGACCACTTGCACTTCCATGGATGAGCATCTTATCACGTCTGGAATATATAGACGAAAGCAGTATTCACCACCTGACCAATTGACCTTGTTACTTCCTTCAACAAATTTGAGAAAAACAAATAGTATTCCCTCCGAGTCATGTTTATTTGACGTTACTAATAAGAAATAACACTACCAACGTCAAGTACACATCACCAGGGGGAGTAACTCTCTATATGTAACCAACCAACAGAAAAAAAAAACATCATATAATATGTACACCAGGCAACAGAAAAGCATCATATGATATTTACATCAGCTAACTTCTGTCACTGCAATTCCATTGTGATGTATATGCAAGCTAGCTACAAAATTGCTGCCTACACAATGGACCTACCCTACCTAACTGTATCAATCAATACCACCTTAGTAGAAGCAAGGATAACCGACCCAGCTTCTTGCCGCCAAACATCAATCCATCCACCATAGCTCCAACATCTATCCCTTCTCAACTAGGGCACAACCAAAAAAGAAGTGATGCCCTTCTTAGTGCACAGCCAAAAAATAAGTGATGGTGATGGTGCATGCATCTGGGGGGCATAGCACTATAGCAGGGACCATACATCAAATAGCATCAGCTGCTAATCAGAGTCTGACTCGATTGTTAATATCAACTTTTGTCTAACTGTACGATCCTGCTCCTGCCCAAGTGGTGGCATCTCTCCTCTCAAGCCATTCGCGCTCCTGACAACTGAGCCTGCATCACATATGGATTCAAATATTATGTCTTCCTACGCAGCACTATAGCCACGATTGTGAAATAATATATTAATATCCGACACGAACAAAACCTGGCATACTTCTATATTGAAGTGTGCATTTGCAAAGGTTGGTGTATATTTAATACTTTTTGCAGCGCATTGTTAGACTATTATTGAGGGAGAAAAACAAAAGAACTCATAAATCAGGAGCTGGTTAGTTCATTCATACCGTCTAAACCTGCCGTGCCATCTTCACAGTTTGTCCTTTTCTGAGAAGCATTTTTGCCATTAGTTAAACTATCTTGAGTGCTAATGATACTAAGATTTGTCAAATCCCCGGAGTGCCCATCATGGCATGTTTGATTCTGATCACCATCTTGATCACTCGACTGACAAGCTTGTAACGCACCATCATGCTCACATTCCAGTGTGTTTGATGCTGCTGTTCCACCCAAGTTAACCCCTAAAATTGGCTCGTGCAAAAATTGATGGTTGACAATGAAATTTTGCATTTCGCATTGATTGTCTGTCACCTGTGTGCCTGCAGCATCTTGAGAGCTCGAAGATTCCCAAAATGGCAGTTCCAGATCATCGAAACCGTCAAGAAATGAAGTCACATCTGGGCCGGCTCCTCTAGGTTGTTCCCCACAAATTCCTGAAGCTTCAGGTGGGTTGGGTGGGAATGCATTCCCATTGTCATGTGCTGAACTGAAATTAACATCACCAGGTGATAACACCATAACATTATCATCATCTGAGTCACTCAGAACTATTACATCCTGCTCTGTTGGTGCTGGAGGAAAATGTGCATCCATAGGAGAAGAATCAAGATCATAGATATTGCTGGTTAGTTGATCGAATTGCCCTGGTTCTGGATTATAGATTCCATTTTTGCTGTTCTCATCATCAGTGTTGCTTGCTGAAACAACACAGTTTTCATCTTCAATATATCCATTCTGACCATTGTTAGAATCCAATCTCTTGTTAATTTCCCACTGGCCATTGTTGTTTCTTCTGATTCCCAACTTAAGACGGCCACCTGTTTCTTCAGACAACGGTTCTTCTTTAATCTCTTGCTTTACAATTCTTATGTTGGGCTTGGACCTTGTATCTGTAGGCATACAGAGAGTGCCATCAGGTAAATGCCACTGTGCAAGACCCTTCAGTTCTGCTCCACCCTTGACTCTCCAGGAACCGTCAGGCTTGACATCAATTTCAGATACATCATCTCCACAACTTTGGACCTAGATGACAAAATACAACAAATCAGCAGATGGCATGATGGAATGGTGTAGATACGAACATGAAATTCATTTCCACTATAAACTCACCAAAGCAGTTATGCGGTTGAAGTAAGGATCAATGATTATGTTGTCCAAAGAGTAGTTTTTCAGGCAAATTGGGCACTGCCACTGCAAACAAGAAGAAACATAGTTTGGTTAGACAAGGAAAAAGAGAGAAACATGCTAACTGATGTGAGAAAGATAATCAAACCTTTCTTGAACGTTGATTAAGTTCCACAAAAGCTTCTAAATCAAAACAACCCATGTGAACGCAGGGTTTGAACCGGCCAGCTATCTTGATCCTTGAACCAGTCATCTGTCAAGATAAAAGGCATTTTCATGAGACATTATACAGATATCATAGGAGTACTTCATAGCTAACTTTGCATGAAGTAGTGTCAGCCATACTATGAATAAAACATTATATGGTTAGTAAAATAGGATCACAAAAACATCCAGGTTGAAAATTATAATGAACACATACAGATGATAATTCAAGCAAGAGTAAAGTTAAGACCTATAGTGTCAGGGGTGCAACATATATAGAAAAACTTTAGACTGCATATACGCCAACACTCCAATGAACAGGAATATCATTAAGGACCTAAAGCATTCTCAGAAATAGTCACAGTACTTACAGGGCATCGGAGATTCACAGAGACAGAATCAGCTACAACTTCAATATCACTGTCACTGTCAGCATTATCTGCCTCGGTTCCACCACCAACACAGCGACGCACACGAGCAAGGGCATTATCAAAGTTCTCACCATCTTGTTCCTTTGGCACCAAAGATAGGACCTGTATGCTATGAAAATTTAGAGGACCTTTGATAAATAAAACAGGGTTCCTAAATCTCAAGAGTTGCCATGTTCCTCCCAGGTACCAGCTTGTGTTGTAGATGCTGAGAGAATCGACCGAGTTCTGGCCATATCCAACAAGCTACATATGTTTTAAGTATTGTTTGGAATTTTTCATCACATAAAATAGATATACGAATGGATAAGCATACAGAGGTAAAAAGAAAAAGGAAGGAAATGAGCTAAAACACATCAAGCATTTGTTGTGAAAAAGGGAGGTATCAAGATCAGATGACCAAGAAATATCCCAACTGTATGCTGATCCAGATTCCAGAACAACCTTTTTCTGCTAAAAATGTATTTCTGAATAATATTTTGATTAACAATGGCTGTGCACTTACAAGAAGCAGTTACCTGTTCTACAGATCTCCTCTTGGCAATCCTGACTCCCAAACAGAATGTGCGAGAGTCACTTCTAGATAGGACAATCTTATTAGACCCTTCTCTCACATATGCTGTTAACTGGATACAGAAAAATGGGCAGGGAGGATTAAATATCCAAACAGAATAGCTAGTAGTTGACAGAGATGATGTATATAATATCTCAGATGAATAATTGAATAAGAGAATAGCATGCTTTATGAGAATAAGATGCTTACAACTGGACCATCGTCTCTACCATTCACCCCTAACTGTTGTGTGGGTTGCCTGTTGACAACCCTAATAGGAATACCTGAAGAAAAGAAAACCAATTGCCAACATGAACAGTTCAGATTTATGATTGAACATTTCAACTACTATTCGGTACAGATGACCATTTATCACGGCATGTTTAAGATAACGTATGAAGTGACAAGAGATCAGATATAGCTAAAAGGATGTAAACTTGCAAGGTGCTACATTTCTAAATTGCCGAAATAAAGGAATATGCAAGTGCATGAAAACATAGATGCAAAAAGATGTGCATGCACAAATCACCCACAATAAAGTAAAACGAGGAGCAAAACAACTGGTAATGCAACAAAATATGAGCTGAAGATGAAGTTTGGTTTTTAATGCAGTAACAGGCACCATCATCCACCTAGCTTGGGCAAATAGGCTCAATTGTACCACAGAAAACATAAGCTCAAGACATCCTAACAGCAAACACTGATTAGCCAAGAGATTATGAGGCCCTTCAACCAAGTTCAAGGCAGAAAACACACCGTCCAAAAATTCAACAAGCTGTAAAAGAACTGCTGATAACAAAGCAGCGTATTAAACAATGTATGTTCCACGACACTGTTCTGTTAGTCTAGCATGGATTATACAAACAAAACTAGTGCAATGAGTTTGAGGACGTGATTCTCTAACTGAATAAACCGTTCTCTATGAACCCTATTATAGAATATACATTGTTACGTACAGTAAGCTCAGGCATATACCATTTGCAATGAGTTTGAGGACATGATTCTTTAACTGAATAAACCGTTTTCTATTAACCCTGTTATAGAATATGCATTGCTGCACAGAAAACTCAGGCATATACCATTAATTTGAATATCAGAATGTAAAGGCCACTGCATCCTGAAAGGTACGCTATCATTGAATAGGATACACCAAACCTGCATGAAAATAAAGAATGCAACAGAAAATCAAGGCCATAATTGGATACATATTGGTCAAACAACTCAAATATTCTCTAGCATAAAATCAATAAGAAAGCATAATAACCATAGTTTATACTCTATACTGAGATGTCTTTGCAAAGGTTCGATTTTACAGATCTTAATAAGTTATGGCTCAAAATGATTAGGAATGGTCATCGTGAACAAAATTAATGATGGTTCATTGGAACAGGGAGTTAACCTGGAGGTCATATTCATCTTTCTGAAGCATCTCCCAATTAGCTCTTGATAGCGGAAAGGTCTTCTCGAAATACTGTACAGCATATGACCTGGACATAAGCATGAATCACAAACAAAAAAGAGGGGAAAAAAGGAAGTGGAGAACAATGTAGGATCCATCCTGCCCACTTGCCCCCAGATCGACCCTTCTATTCCACATGTGACAATACCAACATTTTGGGAACCAACATTAAATAATGTTCTTTGGTGACAAAATAATAGATAACTCACCCATCAGATGCTACTTTACAGGGAGTTATTGAGACTGGAAGTACAGGATGATTAACAGTAACCCAGAAACTGCAAGTTAAAGAAGGAAATCATGTTAGAACAATATGCTATGATATCAAGACCAAATAGGAATTTGGTAAATTATGTACTCAGCCTAACAATGTCGTACAAGAAAACGCACATAACGGGAATAAAGAGAAATCATAGAGTTTTAAAGTTCACAGAAAAAATGGTTTTGCTCAGAAAAAAAATAGTTCTATAAATAAATAAATAAATAATGCCACAGAACTAAAAGAATAAGATGTTTGAGCTTGAACTACCATGAAGAACTTGATATACCACATCATTATGGCACAAGGAAGAAATTAAGCATGTGATCGCAGGACAATTGGGTGGTTCAGTAAGGATGAGTTGCTACATCAGAGAGTATAGAAGAACTTACGGGTCAGCTCGAGTGATTCGGCACATATCACAATAAAAGTGTGGTGGTAATTCTGGAGGAACACTGTCTGCAGGCTTCTCAGATATGATAACGCAGCCTACATGTTGCTGTGTATTGCATTGTGGACCTTCACACTGAAAAGGGGCAAACAAATTGTGGATAATAACACTAAACAGAAGCAAGCAACAGGAACTGTCACGAAAAAGATTACGAGATGCTACCAATTTTTGAAATAATGAAATAACACAACACTTAGGTGCTACATTTGGTATAACATTTCTGTTTTACATAAGACTCACGATGAATAAATGTGTAACCCAAAACAATTAGCTGTATTCAAGTTTCAGCACATAAGACTCATGATGGATAAATCATAAATGAATAGTAACCCAAATAATTCAGCATGATCAGTACAAGGTTTAGAAGAAATTTTACAGGTTCTGTTGGATTGGCTGGTGGAGGACAATTAGATATTGCATGATTATACTTGTAACTGTAATATGAATTTCTGAACAGTACCTTAATCATGGAATCATTGGCCATGGAATAACCACAGGGACAACGGACTTTGACATCCAACTGAGCAGAATCATCTGACTTCCTTTTAGGCTTTACAATGTGCCCCGAGTCAGTCTGATTTCTAGAGGCTGGAACAGCATTTGTGGAGCCATTCATTTTTCTGGAAGCAGTACACAAAGTTTATAATGCCTTGTAAATAGCTAATTGGATCATTGAAAAAGGTATATAAAGAAAGTAAGCTCACGCAAAAGTGTCATCAACTATTTTAGCCACAGTTTCTTTCCCAACCATCTTTTTGTTTGGCAAGCCATTCAATCTGGAGTCTGCAAGAACAAAATGAAATCATGACCTTTTAGTAGTCGACACCAGTAAAAAATATCAAAATTTCAAAAGCAACAGTGTAATGTACCTTGTTCTTGTTGATCAGACAATACTGCTATAATTTTGTCCACAAGTTCCTGTAAATGAAGCGAAAGCACAAGACCCAAATGGTCCATAAGTGAACAAATCCCATATGTGCAATACTAGAAGTCACATACAAGTTAATTTAATTGCAAAATATGTCTGGGCTATTGCCATGGAGGCCATTAAACCCAACTGAATCTCACATTTTCCCACAATACTAGTTACATGTCCATACATGGTAACGGGATTACAGGATCACCAGATTTTTTTTTAGACGATGTCTTTTTAAGGGTGGACCAGTTTTTTTAGGAAGTTCTTTTAAGAGAGGGAGCGATTTTACGTAGTTAAGAAAAGGAAAAGGAAGAATGGTAACTAGCGCCATTGGTGTTAATTAAGCGATGACTAGAAAGTAATTGTGTAATGAAAAAGATGAAGGAAGATGCAGTGAACAAACCTGTTTCCTTCCTTGCTTTGGAAGTCCAAGCTGATGCAGGACATCCTTTAGCTCTTTTATTCTAAAGTGATTCAACTTGTACTGCATGCAAAATGATGTTTAAACATAAAAAGGAGGCATAAGCTATTTGGGCTCACCAACATAAATAATCCATCCACCAAATGTGTTCCATATAGCAACGTTAGTAAGACAAAGTTGCCAAGCTATGGGAAACAGCACAAGTGAAAAAAGATTAATGTAGCATTGACAATAGATTTGTGAGCAACCTTTTGAACAAGAAATTAAGCATGCTGTCAAGTGGCTGCCCCAGTGCCTTGCATTCCAGCCGGAAATGCAAAAAAGATGGGTTCTTGATAAAAGAAAGATAGTGGTAACATGAAAAATGGGGGTAATCTAAGGCAACATGAAACTGATGAATTGTAAAGAAAGGAGCGGTATACGCAGATCGAGTTGGAAAATCTTAATGAATCGGGACGGATGGAAGAGGAGGGCTTTAGGTAGAAGCAAGAGACATGGCACCATCCATCCAGACCAACCGCAACCCCCCCCCCCCCCACCCCAAAAAAAAAAGGTGAGTAAATTTCATAAAACTACATATACTTTGCACGATCTATCACAAAACTACAGATTTAAGAACTTGTTTCACAAAACTATAGATTCAATGTCTTCGTTTATCACAAAACTGCAGGTACTTTGCACAATATATCACAAAACTACAGATTTAGGAACTTGTTTTACAAAACTACAGATTTAATATCTTCATTTATCACAAAACTACAAGTTTAGTATCTTCATTATCACAAATCTACAGGTTTTAGCATTATTAAAAAATGTAGTTTTGTGATAATGGAGACACTAAATATGTAGTTTTGTGATAAATAAAGACACTAAATGTGTAGCTCTGTGATAAACGAATACACTAAATCTATAGTTTTGTGAAACAAGTTCTTAAATCTGTAGTTTTGTAATAGATTGTACAAAATACCTGTAGCTTTGTGATAAACGGAGACACTGAATCTGTAGGTTTGTGAAACAAGCTCTTAAATTTGTAGTTTCGTGATAAATTATGCAAAATACCTGTAGTTTTGTGAAATTTACTCAAAAAAGATTAGATGGATTACGGTTACCTTGCAATCGGCGAGCAGCGGATCGTCGGCGGGGTCGAGCGCCATGGCTGGAAAATCCGATGGGGAATGAACTCACCGTCCTCCTTCCCGGCGAACCCTGGCTCGTCCCTGGAGGCCAGGACGCTTGCCCACGCGCTGGCTTCCGCGAACCTGAAGCGACGACCACCAACCTGGCGGCGGCGGCGGCGGCGGCGAGACGCCGCGTCAGGAGGGACGGCGCGGCGGGGCGGAGGGAGTGCGAGCGCGCGCGCGCGCGTGCGGCGGATTGCCGCGCTTTGGGGATCGCGAGCGGCAAGAACCGGAGCCAGAGGCAGAGCCAGCCAGGGGGGCGGCTGGAGTGATTTGGGGATCAACCAATTGCAATTGGTATGGGAGGATTAGGGTTTGGAGGAGTATTCTTGTTGGGCTTGGATGGGCCTAGGGGAGAATTGGGCTACTCCTTCCCTATAGTGGAGAGAAGTGCTCTTCAAGTTGGGAGTTCAGCATGTTGATTGTCCACCTCGTGAGCCCACCACCTTTAGCTCGAGCTGGCCCGACATGGCTAACCAGCTGAAATGATAGCTTTACTCGTTAGAAAAAATACGATGAATCGAATCGAGCTGGTGAAGAGCCGAGCGAGCTAATGAGTCATGAATTTTTTCGTTCAGCGTTAGGGAAGTAGGAGGGAGGCTGGAGACAAAGGCGCGGGGCTCTCCACAGCCAAAGCAGCGGGTAGGCAGACGAGCGTGGTGGTGCAACGCAGAGGCGAGGGGAGGAAGAGAGGAGGGAACAACAAGAGAGCGAGAGAGATACAGCCTAGTATACAGTTGTTAGGAGGAAAGAAACGATCAAAGAATTAATTGTGCCTCGTGTGTTGCGTGGCCGTTTGCAACCACTTTTGACTTCCCTCCCTACCATCTATATTTAGTCGAGTGTCCGTGCGTTACAATTTTTATTATTACAATGGAATAGTATGGAGTGAACTGATAATTATTAGGGTGATAATTAATAAGCACTAGGTACCAGTTAAAATTAAAAGGCACATTTTCAATATGCCATCCAGTCAATAGGAATAAAATGAGAGATTGTTCTTGTGATGCAAGGAGCATATTTAGAAAATTGCTTTATAGCCCTTTACTGTATGTCAAGAGCAATATATTGTCATCGTTTGTAAAGCATATCATGGAGAAACATCAACCAAAATTTTGGAACAAATGACATAAATACATTTATAGGGTATTAGGGTTTATTGGGATTTATATTGCCACCTAGGGTTTGCTTGGAATAACCTATATATATATATATATATATATATATATATATATATATATATATATATATATATATATATATATATATATATATATATATATATATATATATATATATATATATATATATACGGCTGCACCTGTTACTTGTCTCAGGCTCTATACAGAGTGTAACGCCATGTTTTTCTTGTAACAGTCAAAAATAATTTAATAAAATCCTATGTTTTAAATTCCGGTTCTCTATATTTAGGATCGTGCCAAAGATCTTAATTAAATCATTTCTTGTTACCCTAAAATTTCGCTCCAAAAATATATCTAAAAAACATTGTATTCAAATTATGTCTTAAAACAATTCCAATAAATGGCTCAATAATTATCTACTTCACCGCATCAAAAATTTATCAAATTCAAAATCTCATCTCAATCCCCATTGGAAGCTTTTCACTTGAATTCACAAAAGCATTGAATACTTTGAACATCAAACTATTCACCCCTTTGTAAAGTCCATCATCTTCCCCCTATATTTTGAAATTCAAAGATCCAAACCCCATAAAAAAACATTCAATATCCTGTTTCAAACCCTTCCTAAATGTCAAGGTCTAAATTTGAATTCAATCTTCCTTTGAAATTCTTTGTACAAGTTATTCCAAAAAACCATCCTAAAATTTCAAAGTCAAGAAGTTCATCAGAAAACCCCCAAAATATCCTCCCTTGAATCCCTGCTGATATTTCTTATTCAAACATAACCCTCGTACTCAAATCTGGTGAAAAATATTCAAATCTCTCTCTTTCCCCTCGTCACAAAATCCCCTCAAAAATCAAGTTGAATTAAAAATATCAAATTCCCATTTTGATACCTTCCTTGGACTCCCTTTAATTTTCTTGGTTCAAATGTCAAACTCAAATCCTAATCCAAATTCCCTCTCAAATTCTTCCAAATTCCACCTCTGAAAATCTCAAGAAAATAACAAATGCAACTGCTCCTTTGGGCCCTCTTTCCTTTTCCTTCTCTCAGCCCAATCTCTCCTCTTCTTTTCTTTCCTCCCCTCACCTAGCAGGCCGGCCCACACAAATTTCCTCAGCTGGCCCATGACTTCTCTCCCTCCTTCGGCCCAACTACCGCACCTCACCGGCCCACGCAGTCCATCCCAGCTTGACCTATGGTCTCTAACCCATCTCATCGTCTCCAGCGGCCCTACTCACCGCTGAAGCTAAAACTGTTTGATTGGACTCTAGCTTCTACCCAACCCTCGCCAATCACCCTCCTTATCCAACCAGCCTATTTTCCATTTTAGACAGAGCTTAAAATGATGGGCTAGGCACTAGCTTCAATCATGTCCTAAGGTTGCGTTCGAGCCGGGCCATATAAGATGAGCTAATTGCAGCACATAAAAGTAGATTATTAATGTATGAATAATTAAATATTTGCTATTGTAGATTTAAAAATGGATTAATATTCATTTTATCAAAAACTTTTTTTACACAAAGTATTTATTTTAAAAAACATATTATTTAGCAATTCAGAAAACATACTCATGAAAGACAAGGAAGTAGCTGATCCGAACTGCCCAAAAGAACGCATCATAAGAATGCTCTGATTTGGCAATCATTTGAAACAGGACTTGCTAACTTATTGGTAATTTATTTGAATACTGCTTATCCACTAACTGTGCTAACCAAATTGGAACTGATTGGCTAATATATTTTGCTACTATATATGACTATGCATTGTGATCAATAGATGCTCCAGAGAACCACACTTGTCTTTGCCTTCGGTATAGCCAAAATCTGGAATTGGGACATGCCTTTTTCCATATAAATTCTCCATGTGGACTCTGTTTTATACTGTTTTCGACAATTGGGATCTACTCATATTATCGAAGTCCCATAACCCATATACCCATACTGAGTGCCGTTAATTCTATGGGCATGGCATTACTGTTCAATAATTCATAATTATTTTTAATTTATAATTAAGCTCTCCTCCAATTGCAATGCTGCTTCAACCGAATGATCTGGAGTAATTTCATTTTATGTGATTAGAAGGTAAACACAAAGGGCACTGCACTGATGCTTTTATTTTGTTTATGCAATATGCGTTAGATGGTTCTCAATCGGTTGGTCCGTTGGTTCGTCCATTCCTTTGAAGACTTGTGTTCACAACTTCCAGAGCTTGGCATTATCCAAACCAGATAGTTATCAATATCATGTCTACTTTTGATAGGATAATTAATAACAGGTTCAAAGTTCGAGCATACATTGTCAATTATTGTGTGCTCAACAAAGGAGGTCTAACTAACCTTGATTTGGTACTAACTATGCCCATGCACTTTTAGAGACAAAGGCATAGAGCCATACAATAAAATGTATAGGGGATAAAGAGTACGGTCGTTTTGTTTAAAACTACTTTGTTCGAAATAGTATTAGGTAATGGAACATTGCAAACTTTGTAACGGTCCAAGAAAATTAAAGCATCAGCTAAAAAGAAAGCAAGGGTTGGGAAGCAAAGATGGTTGGTGCCTTGAATTATTGTTGTAGGCCGGGTAAGGGACAGCCAATGCAGCCGCTTGCTGATTTGGGTTGTTCACATCTAATCTGGATAGTCTCAGCATCTTTCCTGCTCATAATTAATAGTTTCATTAGTTTCATATGATTAGCTACGTCGTACTTGTTCCCAAAAGAAAACAGAACTCCGTGCTAGGAGACGTGAATACACCTGATGAATGGTAGTGCTCAGATTTGGGAAACCTCTCACGTGAATGCTACTCATACATTGCACTGCTCCTACATTTTTATGACTTATCCAACACATTCTTCTCCCACTATTAACACATTTTATCGGTTGTTTCTGAAAAATAAACGTTTTGCTTGATACCCTGATACAATGAAAAAGTGAAACTTTCGAGAAAGAGTAATTTTACCATATTTAAAAAAGTACAAAGTGTAAAATTTGGTACCTCCATGTATTACCTCGAGATACCAAAAAATATTTAGTGTAAAATTTAGGTGATTGTGTTGCGTAACAAAATCTCATTTCTTCTAATATATTGACATGTAATTCTTTCGCGCGTTCAAAAAGATATAAATTTAGGTATCTAGAAGTACCCATAAAATTTCTCTTTGGGAAAACTAGCCCATACACACGCAACCGCACTGAGCAAACCTTTACTGAGCTTTATATCGGGGATCTTGAAAAGATGCTCGAGCGACTCGTCTTTTATCACCAAACCATTATGGTGTTGTCAAAACTTGAAAAGCTATGCTAGCTTTCTCTCTCGCGCTGGATATTTGATTATTTGGGTTTCGGCTCACTTTTAATTTCTTCCTGCCGTGTTGGCACCAATCAGCCAACTACCTGGTTGTTCCACGTCAACGCTCTCATATATCCTTTGCCACAGTGACAATTCGACAAATTGATTGGGCATGTACACGGACGACGATCCTGTGCAGTAGTACTATACCTTCTATCCACTATTAATTTATTTAATCAAACGGCCGTAAAATATTTTGAGATTCGAACCATATTTAGTTTCTGTTTCGCATATTCAGAAATTTGAGATTTACAGTTGTCATGTATACTTGTCAAGTAAAATTAAAATTAGTTTTGATACATCTTAGTGTCATGTATTTACTTTGAATTTTCAGAGATGTCATTAATAAGTCAAATTTAAAATAGAAATCATTGACATATTGGTCCATACTAATGTGCTAGAGTGTTATCATCTTTGTATACCACTATTTTTTTTTGCATGCGTGGTTAGATTGAATGGATAATTGTGGACACGAGTTCTTTTCTGTGGTCTATTAATAGGGAGGAGGAAATATACGTTTTGTTATATAACGCAAATAAAAAAATTAATGGTCTAGATTTTGAATTTGTTGTTAGGTTTAAGGAAGAGCACTTTAAAAGAGCTCGAGCGACTACCATTTCATATTAGGAGAAACAGGCTCAAGTTTTTTTTTTTTTTGGTACAGAAGCCGTAAAAGAGAAAAGAGAAGAAAAAAAACAACTTCGGGCCAAAACTACATACTCAAGTTTTTTTAGGTACAGTCTACAGTAGGAGCAATTGTTCGGGAATATGTATATGCATGGGAGCATATCATGGATGTCTAAACTCAACAATCTTTTTTTTAAGGCAAAATTGGTTATATAGCATCGAAAGTTCACGTTTTTGGTTTTATAGCACCGAAAGTTACCGGTTCACTTTAATAGCACCTAAAGTTCACCACGTTTCCATTTTTAACACTTCCGTCAATTCTCGATCGTTTTCCGTCCGTCTTGATCGTTATTGATCCAGTCACACACACGATATGACGTTTCTACCCCTTATAAGTACAAGTATAATGCATATCAATGAGGAGTAGAAATGTCATATCGTGTGTATGGCTGGATCAATAACGATCAAGACGGACGGAAAAATTGACGGAAGTGCTAAAAATGAGAACAGGGTGAACTTTTGGTGCTATTAAAGTGAACCGGTAACTTTCAGTGCTATAAAAACAAAAACGTGAACTTTTGATGCTATATAACCAATTTTGTCTTTTTTTTTCTCTGTCATGCCTTCTTACGTTTGTTCGACCTGCTTAACTGTCAATTTCATAATCAGCCAGCGAATTTATCTGGTATGGAAATTTTCTGTGCAATCTATCTGTTTTTTTTAGAATGTCAATTTATCTGTTAAGAGGTCATTTTCTCCTCATACATTTTCTCTCTCTGCTGGATGCAACCTTCACACACTCTCTTTTGAGCTTAAACTATGTGCCATTGTGCCCCTAGTTGATTTGGACTGTTAGAATGTTTGCATCATGTTTAGGTCCCACACAAGCAAGCATAGTTAAGTGTAAACCTGTTTAAGACAAAAATATGTATGCAACATATATTTGAATTAAAATTAGGAGCTAGGCTGGGGGTTAGGAACTTAGGATAGGATTTGGGACACACCAACCCATGGATGATTTGGAGCCAATGTATGCAACCACTGTGATGAGACAAAAGCATAGGAACACCACACCATGCAACTCCCCAACTCCTAATCATAACCATTAGGTGTGTGGTCGATTTTTGGTAGTAGTTGACCTCAAGATGCTTCTTCTCCCTTTCTTTTGCTAACCTAATGCAAAGCCCCAAAAACCCTAATGGAAAAGACTAATTAAACAGAACTAAACGAATCATCGAATGCTTTATCAATCAAAGTATATATGTGTATATATATTACTGTATTGTATATGGGAATATGAATTTGATCTCCGATACGATAGGCGTCTCTTTCCGACACCTTTTTTTAAAGATGGTCTCTTTCTCAATTAGATACGTTTTTCCCATGCATGAAATGAACGTTCCAACATCTTTCCGTTAGGCCGAACGGATCGAAAAGGGTTTCGAACCGATTGAAAATGAAAACCCTTGTTGCCATTCAATACTACACTGCTGATTTTACACTGATGTGCAAACCTATTTAATTGGTTTTTTTCGGTGCAAATGCATCGGTCATTCTCATTCCATCATTCGACTAATTTGTACTTTCTTTTCATCTATACATCTTCCTTTGCAGGCTCGTTCTTATAATAAAAAAATAAAAACGTTAATTAATTTCAGTGTCAATAACAATCCTGCATGACAGACTCGTGTGTGTCCTTTTGTCGTGCTAACTGCAGAGTTATTTAGACATGTAAGACAGACACAAAACCTGCAGCACAAGCAAGCATAAAACGAAAACCCCGGACTTATTAGCCAGGCTACTTCCTAATTCTCCTTTTCTTTTCTTTTCCTTTTTTTTTTGGCCTGGCCTACATGGAATTAATCATGCAGACGGCCATGGCTGGCCACACCTGTACCTTCTGTGTACCCGTGGCCACTGGCTTCTACTACTGACTCGCTGGCCCCACTCCCCCTCCCAACAGTGACTGCAAGTGGGCCCAGCCACACGAATCCTCCGACCTACTCCATATATACTGCTCTCTCCAACCAACAACACGTCTCCCGCTCCCGCCATCTTCCTCTTCACCGCGAAAAGAACCCCTCTCGACCTCGCAATCAAGCGTGCGCGCGCTCGCTCGCCATCCGCCATGGGAGAAGTCGCCGCGGAGCTCCTGTACGGCATGCCGGCGATGCGGCTTTCATGGCCGGGGCCCGACGGAATCAGCGGCGGCGGCGCCGAGGCCGCCGGCGGCTGCGGCGCCCTGCTCGCGGAGCTCAGGGTGAGGGTCGCCTCTCCTCGCCGGCGTCGAGCTGCGGGCGCGTACGCAAGCTGTGTGGTTTGGCTAGCTGACGGTGTGGAGGTTGGCTTTGGTTGCAGCAACTGTGGGGGGAGATAGGGAAGAGCAGGGAGGAGAGGGAGCGGACGGTGCGGGAGCTGGAGATGGAGTGCATGCGCGTGTACCGACGCAAGGTCGACGAGGCCACCGCCGAGCGGGCGTCGCTGCACCAGTCGCTCGCCGCCGGCGAGGGCGAGATCGCCGCGCTCACCGCCGCCCTCGGCGCCGACAGCAGCCCGCAGCTCAAGGTAACATTTGAACAGCCATATACTCTGTTTTAACATCACATACAAGCCGAAAATAATCAAAATGTTTACTTAGATTCAGTCTTTCAGAGCTTCACCCATGTCCATGTATGATTAGTGAGACTTTTTTCGGTGCTTGAGAAAGTACTTACCTCGAGATACCTGATATCCGAAAATATTAAGTTTTGGGGTAATTTTACCATTCTTGAGAAAATATCAAGAGATATTACATTTGTTGAAATTATAAGCACATAATGATTTAACTTATTCCATAAATAAATCATAACATTGCAGATGTAAACTAAATTGAATGCATCATTAGATCTACACATGTAAACTAAGCAATAAAACACGAACAGATCAAATATGCGCAACATGTCGAACACGTACCGAGGTGGCGGAAATACCAGTTGCTCGGCAGGAACTACTCGCGGTTGCAAGCGTCGACGAAGGTACGAAGCACGCGAGCGGAGAGGAAGGCGAGCCGTCGCGGACGAACAGGGAGCAGTCGCGCGAAGCGCTTCCCAAAAACCTTATTGCCGCCTTTTCCCGGTGCAGGACGTCGAAAGCAGAGGTCTCGGAGACCGGCTCTCCCGATCGCCAGTGCACGCCAGCGAGCGGGATGGAGTAGTCTACGAGCGACGGCGCAGTACAGAGTAGGAGGCAAACCCTAGATTAATTTCGCGTGTGTTGCGTGAAGGCGGCAGCTCAGTTTATATAAAGATAGATCGCCTGATCAGGGCGCCCGCGTAAACCGAACCGGATAATTCGCGCGTAACCTATCCGGACTCCATGCCGTTTTCACGTACCGGATTTTTCGGAATATTTCCAAAACAAAACAAATCCGAATTTCCCGCAGCAAAACAAAACTGTAAAAGGAGGCTGCATCTGCGCAAGGGTGAGGAGCCAATTTTGCGGACCGTTCGACACGTAACGTCGTGCACGCGCGCCGCCTGCCCCTGCCAGGCCAAGCAAGCACGCGCGTGTGTTTCCCCTCTTCTCTCCACTACACATGTTTCAAGTGGCTAGGAGGACATCATCCTTTTAAGGAGGTCCCCCTCTCCTAGAATAAGCAAAGTGGTACTAAACTCCATATACATGCCATCCCATGAGGTGGGCTTTTTTGATTTTCCAAAGAATTAATCTTCGAATGGGCCTTAGCTCATCTATTAATTCCAACAACATTTTCTAGCTTAAAAATTTGATACTTTCAGTAGTAAGTATCTCGAGGTACCAAAGTGTAAAATTTTAGGTACCTCGAGGTATTTCTCACGAACCGTAAAATTTCTCATTATATTGCCTGCATGAATAATTTTCAGTTTCTAAACTACAACCATTAATTGTCTAGTGTTCCAAAAATCAGTACAAGTAGTACTAGGTAGAGCACCCGTTGTAATCAACAAAGACATTCAGGTTAACAAGTACATTGTAATTACAGCTATCAATTTGGCAGCGGAAATCATTTGTTTGGTGAAGTTAGCTTCTACCTGGATTACTAATTTCAGGCTGGTATACTATTGTGGTGTTTCCTTTAGGTGAACAAATGGACCATGTCGCTGAACGACCGGGTGTCAGCAGCAACAAACCTGCTGGAAGAGCTGAGGGCAATGAAAGCAGAACGGAGCAAACAGTTCACTGCCATCCGATCAGAAATCGACAAGATATCAACAGAAATCTCAGGGAGGAGCTACGGCTATGACAATTCCCCAAGAGCCAGTGAGTTCGATGAACATGATCTGACCATCAGGAGGCTCAACGAGTACAGAGCACGCCTGTCGAGTCTTCAGAAAGAGAAGGTACTGTAGCTCATCCTATTTTTTACAACACACGCCTCTGAAACTTCAGAATTTCAGTACTCTTTTCTTTTTATTTGGTTGTAACTGATCTGAGGTATTTAGATGCAAAGAAACCATAACCAATGTCCTTTTCAAAAAGGCCATCAGGTTGATTTTCAGGAGTAGGACAGGTACTAATTGAAATAATGCGTTTTAATCATGTTTCATCCATATATGAGTATGACAGACCTGCCAACAACTAGTTAGTAGGAAATCAGTTTAGGCCTTGTTCTGTATTTTCATGCCGTTGTGTTGGTTCACTTGTCCATTCAAATCTAGCCATTATTGCAGTGATTTGAAAAGCTAGCGAACATTCCGGGAGGATCTTATGATTCTGGAGTATGGACTGCCACGATTAAACCCAGATATCCACGAGCCATTCTCAAACTTAGCTGACATTAATTAATTAATCATTAATATGTATGAGAAGTACTAGTATACTGATCACTGTCAGCATCAATCATCTTCGGCATCCCCTTTCACAATTAAAAGGAAAATCATCTGCGACATCTGCATTCGATAGTGACAATCTGACGGCATGATTCTGTCTGTGGCTGTGGCTGCAGTCTGACCGGCTTCACAGGGTTCTTGAGCACGTCACCGAGGTGCACTCCCTGTGCGACGTGCTCGGCGAGGACTTCATCGCCATCGTCAACGAGGTCCACCCGGGGCTGCACGAGACGGCGGATCCCGGCAAGCCCACCAGCATCAGCGACAGCACGCTGGCCAGCCTCTCCCAGGTCGTCGCGATGCTCACGTCGGAGAAGACCAAGCGAGCAGCCATGGTAGCTACTCCAGCTAGTAGCATCAGCCACTCTCATCCATGCTTTCTTGCTGCGATTTGGTTGATTTGCCAGACGGCCTGACACTGATCGGCACTTGTTCGTCGCAGCTGCGAGAGGCCGTGGTGCCACTGGTCGAGCTCTGGGACCTGATGGACTTGCCGGAGGAGGAGCGGCGGAGCTTCAGGAAGGCGACGGCCGTTCTGAGGCCGGCGAGGGAGGAGGCTCTGTCCTCCGGCGTGCTGTCCATCGCAACCATCAAGAAGGTACATTGCCATTGCTTGATTGACGCAGTATTTGCAGATTTGTATCTGCAGCGTCAGTACTGATCAGCTCACTGTCTCGCCTGCATTGTTCAGACGGAGGAGGAGGTCGAGAGGTTGACGAGGCTCAAGGCTGGCCGGATGAAGGAGCTCGTGCTCAAGAGGAGGTTGGAGCTGGAGAGCATCTGCAGGAGCATGCACGTCGAGCCTGACACCAGCACTGTGCCGGAGAAGTCCATCGCGTTGATTGATTCTGGTAAGAAGTTCAGAGTTCAGACCAGCTAGCTCTTTGTTCACTTACTGACGAGATGTATGTCAGATGGGAGATGATTTTTAACCATGTTTCTGTTGTTAATGTCATCTTGTTAGGCCTTGTGAATCCTTCTGAGCTCATGGCCAGCATCGACGAGCAGATCGCGAAGGCGAAGGAGGAGCAGCAGTCCAGGAAAGAAATCATGGACAAGATCAACAAGTGGCTGCTGGCGTGTGAGGAAGAGAAATGGCTCGAGGAGTACAATTTGGTAAGGCCAATTGCTACAAATGTGAATTGAATGCATTGACCAATATCTTCTTCGACCTGAAGATAGCTGAAAACAAGTGATCTGTGGTCTCAGGAAGAGAACAGATTCAATACTGGAAGAATAGCGCGTCTGAACCTGAAACGCGCCGAAAAGGCAAGGCTTATCATCAACAAGATTCCAGGTACATTTAAAAAAAACATCTCAATTAACCCCTTTCTTGAATCAGATATTTAACTGAGAAGATGTTTGGGGGTTGAAATAGTCCATTGATGATTATTAATCCACAGCAATGATCGACAACCTGATGAGTCGAACACTAGTCTGGGAGACCGAAAGAAACAAGCCTTTTCTGTATGACGGGGTAAGCTTTTCTCTCCACCCTAGTACACAAACATCAGGATTGACATATCATAGGCATAGGCACGTAGCAGCTGATGAAATTGTTTCATTTCTTGTCATGTGAAGGCTCGCTTGGTCGCCGTGTTGGAAGAGCACAAGCAAGCCAGGCTGAGGCAGGAAGAAGAGAGGAGGCGCCTCCGGGTAATTACAATCTTACTGGGCCTCTTTTCAATGGGCCAAATTCAGGCCCATACCCCTGTATAGGCTGAGAATTTGGACTATGAACTCCTTTCGATCTTTTATGAGCATTTAACAGTTTCGCGTGAATTTTTACCAAACAATTCTGCGTTTTATACGAACTCACTGGAATTAAAATTGCATTGATGCAGGAGCAGAAGAAGCTGCGCACTCTGTTCAGCGAGAAAGAGGCGATGCCTCACCTGAAAAGGCCCGGCAGCAGCTTCGGCAGGGCGACGGAGCCGTGCAACATGAGCCGGAAGAGGGTCGACGCCGCGCCGCCGTCGGTGCGCAGCAGCAGCGGGTCCAGCGGGAGCAGCGGCGGCGGCGCGGCTGATCCCTTCAGGCCGCGGTCGTCGGCGGCGGCCGGATCGGGCGCGGGGCACTGCGGCGAGTTCTTCAGGAGCGGCGGTGCGAGGCGGCTGTCGGCGGCGGCGCCGTTCAACTACGTCGCCGTGTCCAAGGGCGGCGGCGGCGGCGGCGGCTTGTCGTCGTCGATGATGTCATGAAGCGCGTAGCTAGGTGGGCCCGTGTAGATAACACGACACTAGCTAGCTGTCCTGAAACACATGCACTTTTATTCCCTTTTGTACCGCTCGGAAGCTTCTAGAAGGTTCGTTTGTGACGGCGGATTTGATTATTGGTTTATTTCAGAATGCTGTACCGGATACGGTTAGTACAACGTACGGTGTATATATATGCGCTATGTATAGTAATTGAAGTACTCTATGTGGGTAATGGAGAGAGGTGGTTATGTCCTTATCATATCTATCATAAAATGGGATCAATTAATTGCATCCTAGTTGGTGCGAAGGCCGGGGTTCCAATGGCCGTGATCACGGGCCACGGCACGCGCACCGCCCCATGGTGCTGAGGCGGATGGCATCCGCCTGCTTTGGACTCCCCTACGGCGAGGCATTTGGGTCATATGACCCCAATGATTTCTTACTAATCCTACTACTACTATACATTTGGTGTTGTAAATATGTTTTAATACCACTATATATAAAGAGCGGTATTATTTTTTGATATAATCTGCCGTGGCGATAGATTAGGATTTCCGTGGTAGGGTTATGGGGGAGAGGACTAGGCTTAGAGAGATGATCGTGGAAGTGACCTATCAGTGATGGGTAATATCGAGGAGGCAACGGTGCCATTGGCTGGGTCAGGAGACAGGGTTGACGATGGAGTAAACGTGCGTTGATCAATTAGGTTGGAGAAGGTCAAAGGCGGGAGGGGAGACTAGTGGAACCATCGGCCGCAAGAGGTGTGGGTGACACAAGGAGGTTGAGCTCACTAGTGTTGTTGAGAGATCACATAGAGTGGCAACATGGTCCTTTCATGCCTCATGTGCGGGCGGTGTTGTAATTGGGGACGACAAGGTGGAGAGGGAGATGGGTTGTCAGTAGTGGGCTAGTAGCATATTGTATGGTAGTCCGCATATACGACATGCATATTGTGAGTGTTTGTGAACTAGCATTTTTTGACGCGAAAAACACACACTGGCCTGGGAGATCTACTTAGCTCCAGTGCAGGTCCAAAGGTTGATGATATACGGACATTCCAGTCAGTTTGATCCTGCAACTGACAAGATATGTAAACAACAAATCAAATAGCCGATCCGCTGACAAGCCAATGGATTAATTAATTCCAGCCGATGCTGATACTAGTCGATTGCGATAGGGTTTTGAGCTATCGGCTATATGTCTAATGTAGATTCTGATACTTGAGTAAATAATGATATAAAGACAATCGACTGATGGTAATATAGTATCACAATAATATAATCCATTATAAACCAATCGATTGCGATAGTATTTTGAGCTATCGGCTATATGTCTAATGTAGATTCTGATACTTGAGTAAATAATGATATAAAGTCAATCGACTGATGGTAATATAGTATCACAGTAATATAATCCAGTATAAATCAATCGGCTAGCAGTATGATATAATAGAACAAGTATTGATCTGAAGGTTAAAGCGTACATCGACTGGAGATCCGATGTCATAAAATCCACAAGATTAGATAAATAATAAAGTCTTTGTTGTCATCGACTAAATCCAATCTATAAGCAATCCTTGTAAGCCGATGCAACCTCTAGATACCTCATCAGCTAAAACCCCGATGAAACCCTTATTGGCAGTTAAAAAGCATGCTAGGATTATGGTTCTAAGTACAACTTAGTAGATCAAATTTAACTGATGCAGCACTAAGTATGAAAAGAAACATAATATCTAGACAATCAAGCCATTAACTGATTTTCAAGATGGTAGATGTCTAAGCTAATCTAATCTAGCAAGGTAATTTAGCTGATACCGGCAGAAACTCTAAAGCGAGAAGCAACCGATAGAGCTAAATCGGTATGCTAAGACTAGATTAATAGAGACATATGATAAATTGGTAGGTAAAAATATCAACCGAACTAGAGCAATCCAAGAGGTCGAATGTACTGATGCAGCCTTAAACGACGCCAGTGTAGGACGCCAATGTACTGATGTAGCCAATACAATTACCAGGGCCGGCGGAACGTAGGACTTACCCCTTCGCCGGAGATTGAAAACCGATGCAGTCCCGCGTTGGGTGCCAAGTTCCGCCGTGATAAGTAAAACCTCAGTAAAGAGGGTGGCGATGCGCCGAGAGTATTTGTATTGATCGTGGAGATATCTTACAATAACCCCGGGTGTACATATTTATACCCATAGGGAGATAGTAGTCCTCGTAGGATAAGAAATTTTTTTTACTAAAGATAAAAGAAAAACATAACATTCTTATAGGACACTAAACACACTTTCCTAAAAATAAAAGGAAACTAACAAACTATTCCTAATTAATAGATAACTTGCCATGCTGCATTCTACTTAAACTCAGTTATTTCTGTATAAGTTTCCTTTAATAGATTAACTTTCTTAATCGAATATAGCATGAATCCGACTATTAGCAATGTGATAATCCGTTATTAATCCAGTTATCGAGCTCGAGTGGGCCAATAGTTGTAGCCAACTAGCCATCACGTGCGAAGGTGTTGGTCAGGGTCAACGTTTGCGCTGAAAACCGCAAAATTTGAACGTTTTGACCTGGACCCAGGGCATGTTCTGAGTCAGAATTCAAATTGTTTTCAGGAAATAAATTTTAAAGCAATCAAAATTTGATCGAATTTTGGCAAAAAACCGTCAGGCCAAATTTTGATGAAAACTGTCGCTCACAATGGCATGCGTCCTAACCCGACCCACAATGCCCACAAAAATAGATGTCATATGGGAGAAGCCACAACCAAAAAAATCTCATGGATAATATGATAAGAGTAGGCTTATAAATTCTATCATAATCAACATTCGACGTGTCGGACTTATATATAACCAACACGACGTCGTACTACTGCTCGGTGGCCATGTCGTGTGCGGAGCATGCGTGATGCTCCACATACGGAGGACGGGAGGAGGCCAGTGATTGCGGCTTTATTTGTTGCCACGCCAGGCACCAGTCCGCAGCCATATCGTATGTACACGGCGTGCGCGGGGGTGGTTGCCGGGGTGGTGGTACGCGTGACGGCTGCAAAAACAAACGCGACGATGACTGAGTGCGCGCGCTGGATTTTGCCCGCGCTCTCCCACGATATGATAAAGGGCGCGCGGCGGCCGCAGCAGCCGGCAGGGGCGTAGCGTAGGGCAGAACGCCCCGGGGAACACCGGAACGGCGCATTCGGGGGGTGCGGACTGCGGGGTCACTTGTGTGCGTTCAGAGACCTGGATGGCATAGCCAAACAAGTCCTCTACTACTAGCTATTTATAATTACGAGTAGTGTTGTAGCGGTCAAATATATACGTGTCGCCGTGTGTCATCCCCACCGAAATGGTGCGGCGCTGGCGCTGGTGGCCAGCCGGCGCGCGATCGATCGACATACACAGGCGGTGAGATGGTGGGTTTATTGGTGGTAAGCGCCTTTAGCTAGCTATCGTGTAGAATATCGATCGTGTGCTCTGCCGTGGCGAACGCTAGCTAGCGGAGTAGTAGTGAGCTGAGAGCCGCGATCGCAGGAGGCCACAGCCCACAAACCTGGCGCGCGATAATAATATTGGGCGCCGGCTGGGCGGCGCTTGCACTATGGAGCGTGCACGCGCATGGTGCTGTCGGCCACATATATTCTTCCATATTGTTTTTTTCTCTGGACAGGTAATGCACTAGCTAATGAGGGTGGAGGTACCTAATTTTAGGATATTTAATTTGGAGTTTAGACTGCTGCTAAATGTGGTGTATCATGCATGTATGCACTGAGAGATAAGGGCAAATGTAAAGTTGTAAACAGCATGCTGCAGGCAAAAATAACTTGGACAACAACTAAACGTAGTATTACACGATCGAGATATTATTCATTATTAGTGACCATTGACCCCCTGAAGCCGTGGAATGCATCCACGGCAAACTTACACACGTGCAAATGAAACGATCCGTGCATATAAGTACAAGACGACTAAAACCAACACTGCTAATTAATTACGCATGCCTGCTGTCTGCACGAGCTTTAGCATTTCTCCCGTACGTGTATATAAACGTATATGTGTATGCATGTCGATCTCTGGCTAATCGCGACGACGTCGACGGATGATCGAATTAATTAACTCAGGAGCAGTTGGCGCCGGCGGCGGAGGCGTTGCGGCCGCAGTAGTTGAGGACGAGGGGCACGTCGAGCGGCAGGTTGACGGGGATCCCCAGCACGCTGAGCCTGATGGCGGCGCAGAGGCACGCCGCGGCGTCGAGGTTCACGAGGCTCCCCAGCAGCGGGCAGCACTGCTGGCTCGCCGGCACGTTGATCTTCAGCTTCAGCAGCACCAGCACGTCGGCGCACACCTTCAGGTCGGCCAGCGCGCTCGTCGGGCACGGGTTCCCGCGCGTCGACGACGGCGGGCTCTGCTGCCCGCGCGCCACGCCGGCGTGCAGCGCCACCAGGTTCACGGCAAGGAAGATCGCGAGCAAACGACTCTTGGACGCCATCTTAATGTGTCGGATTGGATAGCTAGTGTGTGTGTGTAGCGATCTCTTCTCTTGTTGTGCGTTCTGTTGAGTGTGTATGTTTGTGTGCTTTGCCTGTCCTGTTTGTTGCTGGGATTATTGCGAGTATTTATAGATGCTTAACGATGCATGGTGGTGTGAGATTTTTTTGGGAACGTCTCATCGATCTCAGTTAGTGCGTGTGTGTACACAAAATTGGAGGCGACGGCAACGGTGTATGCAAACAACGATATCCATCCATCATACACCATGAGTTGCCCTTTTCATACAAGTCTATATCGATGTAGCTAGCGAGCCTTAAAAAAAAAATCAATCCAAAGCAAGAATCACGCGGCCCATGTATGTGTTGATTAGAAACCGGTCAAAAGCTTTACAACTCAACGAGCACTAAAATGTGCAGCCATGCATGCCAGAAGAGGGCCATGTATCTATATCCAATTTCATCCACAGCTTTATTTTCTGTTAGTGTTTGCAGGCATGCACGCCGCGTCGCTGCCACAGAAAACGTAACGCACGGTCCGTTCCGGAAGCAAAAACATTCTAGCCGACATCCTCCGGCCCGCGAGGCGCATGCAGCCGCGTAGTCGCCATTTGCTGGCTTGTCCGGGGGTTTCAAAAGGCGAATCGATTGCCACCCCACTCCACTGGTGGGATGGGATCGACCAAGCGCGACCAGGTAAAAACTCGCATGGAAAAGAAGTACGGAAAATTCGGCATGGGGTGATGGGGGCAATGAGAAATGGGAGCACCTTACACCTATACAACTTTTGAAAGTTAAGTTTTCTGAATAAAGAATTTTCAAATATAATATAGTGTAATTGTAGTGTAACTATATATACTTTATAACTTAGTATAGTTACATTTTAACTGGTATATAACACATATATAGGAAGTTAAAAGTAGGTACTAGCTTAGTTGATGTGGCACGTGCGTGTGAAGGTCAGTCAGGTCATGGGTTCATTCCCTCTAGCACTACACCACACCCCATCTGCATGAATTTTAAAGCAGATTCAACGATCCAAAATTTGAAAGTTTTGTCTCCAAAAGAAGATCCAAATATTCTTTTGCCCCCAAAAGACTGTTAGACAATTCAGTAGCAATTCCATGAGGCGGAAATTCGACAACACGTGGAATCGCCTTGCTTGGCCAAGTAATCCAGTGATCTAAAATTCAAAGTTTTCGTCCTAATAAATTATCGATAGTTCAATAGCAATTTCGTGAGGGCGAAATTTGAGAACCCGTAGAATCGCCTTGCCTGGCCGAGTCACCTGAGCTTATTTCTTTCCATGGCTTCGTGCTTAGATTTTGCAGCCAGAAATGCCCAGATGTATTAATATGGGCTATGGGCTGGGATAAGGTTTTGGTGTTTGAAACACGGGCTCGTCCTGGTAATATGACATTTGGGGCCCTTTCTATCGGATCAGAATGCTCTGCAATCGAAGTCACATGACTTTGTCACTGACATGTGGGCTCGATGATCCCTAGGCCGACATATCAGTGACAAAGGCACCGTGCATTTGACTGTAGAGGATCTCAATCCCTTTGTTTTTGGGCCTAGGCTTCGGTTAGAAAGAGATGGAGTGAACACGTCTCTTCATCTTCTTCGTCTCTTACGCCACCGGTGAATGCCCTCCTTTCCGCTGCCGCTGCCATCCTCAAGGTGCTGCCGCCGAGCTCGCCCGGGGATTGCTACAGCCGAGCTCCTTGGCCGCGCCGCCATTGAGCTCCCTCATAGCCTCATAGGCGGTGTGCCTCCGAGCTACCCTAGGCCGCCCTAGTCGGTCCCAAGCTTCTCCCGCTGCACGCATAGGCTCTTCTTTTCTCCAGGTTGGTCGATGCTATTGGATTTGGGTGCATTTCTCAAAAGCGTGCAACAAAACGTTATTTGGAATTGATTTGATCTGGTTTACTTTTTGATGATTCCTGTCTATCCAAACTCAGGCATCAATTTGGGGCCCTGTTTCATTTCCACATGGATTTGAATTCGAAACTGTTTATTGAGTTGTTTCCAATTTCCTACCTATTTTTACTTCTTGAGATCACTTGAAACTTTACTTTTTTTCATCCCAAAATAAATAAATCAAACCTAGTATACAACATATCTGAGTATAATGGATTTAGAATCCTTAGTTAATTTGTTTGCAAGCCCAATTAACTTGCTATTAAGTTTAAGAAAATCACTTGGAATTCAAGGTACAAGCCTTCATTACTTCCTATTTTTTGGAATACCAATCCATTGGCTTATGTATACACTGGCAGGCCCAGAGTCTAAGTTCGTGCGAGTAAAGAAAGAGAGGAAGATCACAACAAAACCACTCGATTGGACCCCCATGTCAGTGGGTGAAACACTCATTCCTCTGGAGGCGCAAGCATATGCTTCCAAAATTTTGAGCAGCTTTTGGGCCCCACGCTGGGTCCCACTGCCTCCACATCACCCTCCTCCGCTTCGCATTTCCTCTCCAAGTAGCAGTGAATCAGTCACTCGCAGCCGCGAACCCATTGCCTTCTTGAGAGCACCGCCATTGTCACACCCACACAGCTCCACCCATGGGAGAGAGCCGGCTCGAGAGGAAGGGAGGAGACTGTACATGGAGATGGCAGATCGTCTCACTGAGGAGCAGATCGAGCAGTTGAAGGAGGTGTTCACCTTCTTCGATAAGAACAACGACTTTTTGTGCTGCTGCTGTGTCGTTTCTCGAGAGCGCTATCGTGGTGGTCAGTTTCGAGTTCTTCTTCTTGGGGGGGTGGGGGGTGGGGAGCGGGGTGAGGAGGGGTGTTCTTGAGGTTGTTTCTGGAGCATTTTTCTTCGCTAGTACTAACCCTTTGCCTCATTGGAGCGTGTGCACTTGTTTTGTGTATGTTACGGTTGCTCTGTTTGATCGGTTAGCTTGTATTCGCTAGAATTGTTATGAGTGATGATGGTTGTTGCGTCTTCTTCCTGAATCAGTTTGTGATGTTTCTTTCCTCGAGATGGATGGAGTCATGTAAGTAGAGAATATCCGTCAAGTTTCTTTTTATGTATATACTGTTGATAGCTGTTAAATACCAAATCTACGCCGTCAATACCTACACAAATTTGAAAATATGAGACCTCCAACATAGTGGTAGGGTTCAATTCTAACAATTTCCACGAGTGTTAGTGTATATTTGGATGCAGGTGACAAACTACCAAACTTGAGATGATATATATAAAGAAGGGGAAGAATTACATTCATATCCAATACAATGGAGTCTTGGGCCCACAAACCCCCCAAAAATACATGTATTGGGCTCAACCGCCTTGCCAATGGACTAAGGACCCACATGTCAGGGCCCAAGAGTAAGAAGTGGGCCAGAGGGACCAACCAAGGGTCGCCCAACCCTAGGGGTCAGTCGACCTAGGCTTAGCCCAGCTGGTCCAAAAATTATACGGGTCAGTAATTACCGACCTCCTAAGACGGTTGTGACCATTTCTTGCGCTCCAACCGTCATTAGGACACATGGCAAGAAGAGGATGAAGATGCCCTTTGGATTACATTGAGCATCTCCACCCTTCCAAGCTTTCTCTCCCTATAAATACCCCTCTCCTCCTTCATTCACAATACACACCATGCTTGAGCTAAATTACAAGAGGCTCTTTATATCATTTATGTATACTTAGAATAGGGATAGAGTAAGGGAGAAATATTTAGAGTAAGGGAGAAATTTTAGAATTGTTAGTATTTTCCTCATCACTTTTGTAACTTGTCAATTACTTTGCTCTAATTGATATTATCTTGACCGAGTAATTGAAATTTACATTGTGAGGTATATTTCTTAGTTAGTTCCTATTTAGTATACTGGAATATTATTCACTAAAATAGTATTTACTTTAATGTTTGATCGGCATTAGAATAATATTTAATAGTGTAGACGTGGTGTCTATATTGTTGAATACCAGTATTTGCTGCGTATCTCATAGTTCGTTAGAGGTTGGTGTGGAGGTGGTGACAACCCTCGAGATCACTGTAGTCAACCTTGTCCGCGTACGGAGTAGAGCACGATCTCGTAGCAGCGAGCAGGCCAGTGCTGAAGTATTGCGATAGGATTAAAATTAATCTTTTTAAAGACCCTGTTCCTCACTAGAAAATCATCTCAACCCTTTGGCTATTTTAGCATGTGTCCTTGGATGATCATGTAGAAGAGTTAAGCACACATGTTCTTTGTGAAATTTGATACACTAAAATACTTCTAGGTGGAGTGCTACAATGATATATCCATGCGCTCAAGAATTTTATATGTGAAAGTAAGAAATACCAACATATGTTGAGCTAGCACTCAGATTAATCTTCTCAAGATCACCTATCCACCTCAACTAGAAGAATACATCCGATGTATTCAGATTATCTGGAAAGAAAATAATCTCAATTCTCACACAAGAATGTATAATGTGCTTCAGAACTTTTTGTACTAGTAAAGAACTAAGAGAAGTGTTGAGCTCGTTGGCCAAAGCCACACTGAAGCTAAACTGAAACTCTATTATTTAATAGATTATCTGAAAAGAAAATAACCTCAATTCTCACACAAGAATATGGTATAATGTGCTTTAGAACTTGTTATCTATTTATGTGTCATTACTAGTGAAGAACTGTTTAGCGCATTAGGCCAAAGCCACACTGAAGCTAAACTGAAGCTAGGAGGCTGATGCTGGGAACGAGGTTATTGATTTTCATGGCAGATAGTGGTTATTGATTTTCATGGCACACAGTTGGTTGAATGTATGGCTTATTCTTCTTCTCAAGTACTCCTCCTTGGCATAATCCTTTTTCCACAGTTTATATATATTATAGTAAATGCTTGCTTTTTGAATATGTTATGTATCACTTCTATCACGTGTGGTTTATATCAATTGCAAAATATCATTATGACAACATAGTTCTTTGTGTTGATGACATTTGTTGTAAAATTAAAAGTGCAATGCACACTAGCATATCAGATTCTTAATATGAAACGTTTGCATTTTCAGTTCAATATTCCACCCTCACAACCACAAGCATTATAGCAACATAGTATATGAACAATCAATTACTTTTCTTTGTATCCTCCTTCTAGCACTATGTTGCATTGTTATTCCTAAAATTGGAGAGTTAATCCGATGTGGTCCTTATATGCATTTTTGGCTAGTCCACATGTGGAAACTGTTGTTGTGTATAGTCTCTTTTAGGTAGCCTAATTTGCATATGTATCTGGTTTAAGAGGTTGTAGATTCTCTACTATGCTATATAAATATATGTTATATCAATAGTACTTAATTCCTTTGAGTTTAAAGAACATAAAATTTTATAATGGATACCTTGCTTAGTAATGGTTTTATTGCAACAAAATGCAATGTACTTGAATCAGTGGTAGGTTCTTTTTTTTTCTTTTTTGAAACTGCTCTGTGTTCTAAAATGCATAAACATTTAATGATTTCCTTTGCTTCCGAATAAGGTGTAACTTATAAGTTGGCATGACAAACTGCTATTACTTAGTCATGTCCTACACTAATTCCTTCTTGGCAATGTGGCAATGTTTCATTACTTGTGTTTGTGTGGTTTGAGTAATTCTTGGCAAACTGCTACTTATACCTATTCTAACTTCTAATTAATTTGATTTTTACACTTGACCCTGATTCAGAGGAACAACCGATGGAAGCATTCCAGCTGTTTGACGAGGATGGAGATGGGTACATTTCTGCCGCAGAGGTAGATTATGTTCTTATCAATTCTAATCACTCAAAGCACCTCTTCAATCGTTTGTGCTCTGTGCATCTCTTCAATGTTCTGCCCATCTTAGTCATCTTACTCCTCTCTAAACAAGAAACTCATGCAATTAGGACCATGTTTCTCTAAACACTGGTCACTATTTCCTTTTCAGCTCAGCTCCGAGAAGTGATGATCGGTCTTGACAAGGGGACAACAGATCAAGAAATCTGTGAGATGATCAAGGATATGACGACGGCCGTGCCAGCTACGAGGAGTTTAAGCGACTGATGACATGTGATTAGTGAAGAATTGATCATGTCTAGGATTCTTTTTTTTTTACTCTTCGCGACAAGATGATTCGAGAGGCAAGTTTTGGATGGTGATGGCCTCGTGAATTACAGTATGAGAAAATTCTTAGGATCACGCTAGGTAACTTGCCAATATTTGAAGTACAGTACCAAGGCCAAAATATCTTCGTTTAGTTAGCTTGCTTACATATCGTAGGTCTATTTGCTGATGCTAACTGCACATTCTGCTTGTAACTCTCTCTTCCGTCTTCGGTTCTACATGCACGGATGATGAATTATGACTATCGAGGAAGATAATATACACTCCCTCTATCTACTTTTGATAGTTATATTTCATCTTGACACACAGATCAAGGATAAATAATTCTACTTATCATTCATTTAAACATGCTACTAGTCATTCATCGTAAACAAGCAATTCATTAATATTTACATTTCTCGATGCTCATGTAGCCAATCTTGTGTGGAAGAATGGAGAGTCACACATTAAATCCGAAAAAGTTACTAAGATGATAGGTTGTTGGATTGAAATATAGCTATCAAAAATATTTTTTTTAGATTTAGAAATATGACTATCAAAAGTAGATAGAGGGAGTATTTAGCAACATAAATGGAAAATCATTACTTCGACTGAGATTTTGTAGTTGCTTCATGCTGGTTGTGTTGTATTCTGATGCAGAAACTGGGAATTGCAAATCTGACGCTACTAGGCTAGTGAAGGGTTGCTGGGAGTCGTCTGATGTGGATCGGACGGCTCATATCGCGGCAAACCAGCCATCAGATCCCCCGCATCGCTGCTGCTTGGTCGTAGCGTCGAACACCGTACAGCGAATCGCGGCGGCGGAATCACACATCGCCGCCTCTCGCACGCGCCGCCGCGATGCCGCCGCCGCCGCCGCCTTCGTTGGCCAGGCTCCACCAACGCCTCTCCCTCTCGCTCCTCCGGGGACGCTCCCCCCCCGCGGCGGCCGACGCCTTCCTCCGCCGCGGGCTCGCCTCGTCCGCCTCCTCCTCCTCTTCCGCCGCCGCCGCCGCGGCGGTGGCGGCGGCGGCGGCAGGCCGGGAGAAGAGCTCGAGGAGGACGCTAGCGTACCTGCTAGGCGTGGCCGCGGCGATGGTCGGCGCCTCCTACGCCGCCGTCCCGCTCTACCGCCGCTTCTGCCAGGCCACCGGCTATGGCGGCACCGTCCAGCGCCGCGAGGTCTGGTCTTCATTTCCCTAACTTGCCTCTATCTTTCTTGTTCTCAATCGTAATATGCTGAAATTAACACTGTGCTGGGACATCGATTAAGCTGTGCTTGATTTTGTGGATAGCGTCTGGTTCCATTATTGGCAGGTTTTAGTTTTACAATCTGCTGCTTGGCACTGTGATATGCTGAAATTGATGCGATTCATCAGCTATGTGGCCTTTGTCATGTGGAGACCGCCGTTCCAGTTCTTATAGATGCCATGGACACGAACGTGTTGTTGTATTGCCATGTGTAAATTATGAGTCTAGAAGATTGTAATCTATTGATAGATGGCACTTCCTCTCGCCGCCTCTCGCCTCTCGCACTCTGCATTCTATTAACAACTATGAATATCTGTGCTGGAATTTGTTAAAATGCCCATCAAAGGGTGATCTTACAAATGTGTTGGGAGTGGCATGAAATAGTTTTTGATTCATTTTTGGTGCTTGTATGGATAACTGGTCTAAGTAGACATTGCTGAAGCAGGGTTATTGTTGGACTCTATGAATTCTGTCAAAAAATAGTAATAAATTTTCTGGGTAGTGAATCATTCATTATTCATTACTGGTGCATTGAAAAAGTTCTGATAAATTTGGCATCTTTGTAACTACCTGATTCAAGTGAGTTTGAACCTGGAGTATTATTCCTTAACAATGTTTGGCTCTCTACAGAGTGTGGAGGAGAAGATCTCACGACATGCTCGAGACGGAACAACAACTTCAAGGTGACTCTTCCTATGCCCAGGGTCCAGTTTTTTCACTACTTGTCGTTTCCAGTTCCGAAAGGCAGTGCCATGGTGGTTTTTAAAATATACTTTCTATCTCTTGATAGAGCCTTGTTGCAATGTGAGCTCAAACTAGGCCTGTGTTGCCGATCTGTTGCCTGTTGTGTAAATTTTCCTTTACTGTTCTCTTACATGATCAGATGGCTTTTTGCCAATGTTTATGGTTCAGAAGTACCTTCATTTCAAATAGTGGGATGACATGAAACCACATGTGATGATAGATTTAGATGAAGTTTAACTTGGAATAGCCATACAGCCTTGCCAGCAATTGCATGTGTACAGCAAATTTGCTGTAATCATGGGCTAATATTTTGGAAAACCATTATCTTCATGTTTATATGATTGCAACTAATTACAAGAGTTTCGGGATAAATTTTTAAATGAATTTGTTGTTTCTTGTTTATCCAAATAATCTCGTGTGCTAAAATTTAGCTGTGATTCAGTTTTTTGATGACACTTTATTTTCTTTGCTGTTGAGACTAATGCAATTAATTTTATTTGCAGAGAGATAATTGTCCAATTTAATGCTGACGTTGCTGATGGAATGCCGTGGAAATTCATTCCAACACAGAGAGAAGTAAATGCTTTGCTTAAGAAACAATTTATAGCCCTTTCCGCAGCATGTTTATCCTCTACCTATTCCATTTGTAGGTGAAGGTTAAACCTGGTGAAAGTGCTCTTGCATTTTATACTGCTGAAAATCGTAGTTCAGCTCCAATAACTGGTGTATCCACATATAACGTAGCTCCTATGAAGGTATGTAATTCAGCACAACTTTTACACCCTTAAACTGCTGCCATGTCCTGGAAAGAAAGATTTGTGAGAGATGCAGAAGTGTCTCTGGATTCACAAAGCTACTGTAGGCCTTTAACTCTTAATCCTTTGTTAATTTTGTTAGCCTAAATTAGTGGAAATATGTTGGATGTAATCCTTTAACTTTTAATCCTATATTCTTTTTTGTTAAATATGTTAAGTTAAATAGCCCCAACTCTCAAGCATGATTTCTAGGAAGAAAATTTTTGAAACCATTAGCCATGATTAGACTTCCTCAACTGATAAGAGTTTGAAAACTGTGATCAGAAAATTGTAGAAAACATAACCTCTGCTGTGATATTCTTAGTCAAGGAGTGACTCAGGTGACTTCACAATATCATCCTATTTATGTTGCTAACTCAAATTATGCTGAGGTGTACAGCTAGGGCATTTAAGCTAACAGGAGGCAGACTCCTAATGTTTTGAGTTTACAACTCTTTTCTTTCATCCTGTAGGCTGCAATATATTTCAATAAGATACAATGTTTTTGCTTTGAGGAGCAAACACTTCTTCCAGGGGAGCAGATTGACATGCCGGTAAATTCAACTTGCATTCGATGAAATGCATGGCTAGTTAGTTATCTGGTGTTTGTCTACACTTATTCCAACTTTGTATGTGAACTTTTTTCTTCAGGTGTTCTTCTACATCGATCCTGAGTTTGAGACAGACCCCAAAATGGAAGGGGTGAACAATATTGTCCTTTCTTACACATTCTTTAAGGTGAACGACAGTTAATTGTATCGGTACCGTAAAGTAAGTGGTAACATTAGTTCTATTTAAACACCTTGCCAACGAGTAACACAAAAATTCCTTTCATGTAACACAAGTTAGGGTTTTGTTTAGTGTGTATTAATTGACATGTGTTTCTTGGAAATTTTGCAAATAAATATGTAAGAATTGTTCACAGAACAATCGAAATGGTGCATCTTGATTTGATTTGAAGTACCATGAGGATAAGAAATGGTCACCACAATCTGCTTGTGTGCGTGTTGACTATGGGCGAACAAAGGGAAATTATTAATTTTTTTACCGGATAAATTGGAGACGAGAACATACAAAAGGACGAGACCCAAAAAGTTAGTTAAGGCTGCGTTCGTTCACACGAGAAAGGGGAGATTGTATCTCGTTTTCCGCGTGCATGTTTTTTAAACTACTAAACAGTGTGTTTTTTAAAAAAAAATTCTATAGAAAAGTTGCTTTAAAAAATCATATTAGTCCATTTTTAAAGTTTAAAATAGTTAATACTCAATTAATCATGCGCTAATGGCTCACCTCGTTTTGCGTATCTTCCCAATCTTCTCAATTCCCTCTCCCTCAAACATAGCCTTAAGATGCCTGGAGAAAGAGTTTTGGACCGAAGCATGGCAAAGGCTAAACTGCGAGGAGTGTGGAACCAAGGCCTTGGGTTAAGCTATTGTATACCAAGCCTATAGCTAAAAAAGGTCATGAAGATCCTCTGAATTTTCTAGCAAAAATTAGATACAACCCAATAAGGATTGAGCCAGCTCGACGCTACCCTATCCTCTCTCTTTACTTCTACCTTCGTCTATTTGGACCTGATAAATAAACGCTTGTTTTTTATGCAACTTCATAAAAGAATATTTTGTCAAAAAAATCCTGCATTTGATTCTGGGTTTACCTAGGCAAACTTTGTGCGTTCTGGAGAGAGAAAGGGAAGAGATGAGCAAATTGTTTCGTATTGCTGGAACTGTTTTTAGATTGCTTTTTAGTCTCTCCTTTGTCTTCTCAGTTCTCACAGACTTCTGGGAACTACATGTAATGAGTTGAACACTGAGCTAGACTGGGTATACTTTCATCCAAAATCAACCATTTTTTTGTCCTATTTTGATAATAGAAAAAAGAGTGTAATCAGAACATTTGAATCGAACCGCATGAAAGAGCTCTTTCCCCCTATGAGAGTACAACGTGTTCTATGGTTCTCTATTTTTTTTCCTAGATAATATTTAAAATATTTAACATCTCCGGTGAGGATGGAGCCAAAAAATCTTCACACATAAGGCTAAGCTAATGAAGATTCCAATATTTTTCGCAAATTATGCACCATTCTTTATAAGATAATAGTGGGGATTATGGAGATAGGTATAAGGCTGTGTTCGTGCAAAACGGAACACGCATTATTACACGATTAATTAAGTATTAACTTTTTTTAAAAATAGATTAATATGATTTTTTAAAACAACTTTCATATAGGAATTTTTTGCAAAAAACATACCGTTTAGCAGTTTAAAAAAGCGTGCGCGCGGAAAACAAGATAGGCCTGTTTGGTTGTTGCCTAACATTGTCATAACTCAATTTGCCATAGGTGTGGCATGGCAAACAAAGTGTGGCCAACAATTTGTTGTCCACAAGTGTGGCAATGTTTGGCTAGAAAATGAGTATATGACATATAGGCCCATGAAACAAGAAAGTTGTGGCAACTGAAACAAGCAACTAAACGCTAAGCTAACAATTTGTGGCATGCCTAACATGTGGTGTGGCAATGTGTGGCACCAAACCAAACAGCCCCTTAAGCCAGGCCTAACTGCCCAATGCCTATTTCACACCTAATCTAGTCACATGACCAAAAAAAAAATTTGTGGTTCCAAAAAGGAGATGGCATAGAGTGATGGGACAAATCCTCAAATAAGATGACCGGCTGAATTAACATCTAAAAAACAAAGAATAGCTTATTTAATATATATTTCTGTACTATGTCATCCAAAGCAGGATAAAAGCAAAAATGGCTATTGGCTACCAGTTTCAAAAGTTAGCACCATTGTTGCACTCTTTGTTTTTTTTACCAACACAACCTTACTTTATCTGTGACAGCATCAAAGATCAACAGTGGAGTTAGCCGATAAAAAGATTAAAAGAATAAGGTTAAACATTTTTTTTGTACTCTGTGTGTATCACTGCCCTTTTTTTAGAAGGTATCTCTGAATTTTTGGAACACGTTTTGATGTTATATTTTAGACCACAGGGCGTAGGCCTCTACGCCCTCTAATACGCAGGGGATTTCAATTTTCAGCCCAGTATTGTCGTCTCCAACCATTTTATACTCTTCAATTATGGAACTATCATTTGCCATCTCTCGCCTACTACTTGTTCCACTCAAAATCGGATTGCAGAGGTAGGTCCCATCGTTTGGCTTATTTCCTAATAAGCCAAAACGGCTTATTAGGAAATAAAAATGAATTTGTACGTAAATTTTTTATAAATGTGTTCTTGTGACTTAAAAAGCCAATGTTGAAAAAGAAACTACGTTAAAAACATCTCAAAATTAAGCTTGAAAATTTAAATTTTTTCTTTTTCTTTAACTGATTAGGCCAACCAATGGGAGCAATAGAAAGAGAGAATTTGTGACGTGTGTCCGATCAAAAGCCGGTAGAAACCAGCTTTCAGTCAACAATATACGAAAACCAACTAAAACCGATCTGATTCCACGAACCACCGACGGTTTTAAACCGAGTAGTTTTCGCAAAACTTATCAGTTTTGTTAATCTTGCTTGTGAGTATGTCTGTATGGCACATACTCGATCGTGTAGGCTACAAATGCCAATCCTACATGTGAGGATAGATTATTTGTTGATAAAATAAGTCACAACAAAATAAATAATATTTAAAATAAAATAAATAATATTTATATAAATTTTATGAATAAGACGAATAGTAAAACGTTATGTGAATGGTCAACGGTATTATACATCTTGATTTTGAAATGGAGTGAGTACTTTAGTCCATTCAATCACAGCATGTATATATACATGTGAAATAAAGACTGAACTATGACTGACTTTATATATCCTCGATTATTCCTCCTTGCTCGTCCCTCTCCTCTCGTGACGGGGCTTGGCGCAACAGGCAGACGCATGTATGCTTGATTCTTGTACATTCTTAGGTAGACTTACAATTTTTGTATGTTATTAGTTGTTATCCATGTATTTATAATTTATAAGATAATGAAGCATATCTAATTGTGGCCCCCTTTTTAAATATCTATCTATGAACATAATCTCACTAGATATCCACCAAGTTGTCCGAGTCCAACGGGCATGGGCATGAATACTAATTTCTTCATATTAAAATTATGTGTGCCCAACGTAGAGGTAGTAATTTCCTTACTGGGTCATGGTCTTGGTGGGGAGCCACCCCTATATGGGCACAGGAAGAGGGAGAGACTGGGGGTAGGGGGAGGAGATTCTGGAATGCGGGTGAGCGGGGAGGGGGGTTCTAACTAACCCGCGGGTAACCTAGCGGGGTCTCGGTGTATGAGCTACATCTCTAAAAATAGCATATTCTAACAATATAAATTGGTAAATCCAATTAGCCCACTTAGGGAAGTAAGTAGCCCATATATAAACAAAACTCTGATTCCCAAATCCCTCACCCAACCCCACAAGCGTTGCAACGCCATACAGGAACGTAGCGCTAGCAAGGACAACGGCAACTGCTGCTCATCCGGGTCGTCTTGCCGCTTCTCATCACGCCACGACTCCTTGCTACTCATAAGTCATTAGCTCATAGCATAACTACCGAGCCGTCGTGCCTCGTTGTCTTCAGTCGTTGCCCCGCCACGTTGGTGTTCGTCGGTCGTGCCGCCTTCATCGTCGGATCTTCACACCCAACCATCGACCCATCTTCGTTTCCAGCTGTCGACGAGTCGTCGCCATCCTAAACCGTTGCCGCCTCTTCGTCGTACCCAAGCTGTTGTAGGCAACCGACTTTGTTAGTTCACCTTCACACTGTCGGGTCCCTGGCGGGGGCGGGGGCAGGTGCTGGTGACTAGTGATGAAAACGGACAGAAACCATCTTCATCATTTTCGTTTTTATTTTTTTTCAGAATCTGAATCAAAATCGAAAATCCCATATACGAAAACAAAATCAAATATTATCGAATACGGTTTCTGATGTATAGTAGCCATATCATATTCGTTTCCATTTCCAAGAATATGTTTGGAATCCAAAAACTTTCCGAACCGTTTTTATTCCTACTGGTGACATTTTCCACCTAGTTAACTCTACGGAACCGGGGCTAGGGGAGAATGGGATAGCAAAGACGTTCCTATCCAACCCGGTCTTCCCTCGCTCGGTTGCCACCCCTAGTAGGGCGAGAGATATCAGATTTTGGATTGAGTGAGAGATGCCGGATCTTGGCGTCGGGCGTGTCCTTTGTTCTTGCCCAAACTTGGATGATGTAGACCTTATTAAGAAAACAGGAATTAAAACTGTTTATGGGTGGTTCTAGTTCTAGATATGTCACTGTCACCCTAGACACGGCTTTATCGCGTTGCGTGGGATGCACTAGGCCATGGTTCTGCTCCCTGTTGGCTTGCGAGAAGTTGCACTCTAGGCGCTAGTCCGGCCAGGCGCGTCCATGTGCGAGGCCCATCATCCGCCATGTTCCTGGAGGAGGAAGTATCGACCAGCCTATCACCGTTCACCACCATCCATCCACAAGCCGACTACAGAAGTACAGAACGCGAGATCACCCCGAATCTTACGGTCCTCGCCGCTGCCGCTGCACGTGGACTCCGCAGCCGCACCCGCACCCGCACGTCGCGCCAAGCGCGGCCCGCGAGACCGAATCCGCCGTACCGATCGCGCGCGCTAGCTGCTGCACCCTGCCCGGATGCGTGGTGCGGAGGAGGAGCCGCGGTTTTTGTGAACGTTGGATGCGTTGGGGTTTTCCGCGATCCCACCGTGCCGCGCTCCACCACCGTTTCGCCCTACCCAGCGGGGACCGAGCCGTGCTGCGCCCCGCGGATCGGAGACACGGGCAACCAGAAGCAAAGCAAGCGCCGCCGCGAGGGCGAGGCGGGCGGGGCGGCAAAAGCAAGCGGCTCGGCGGCTTTTGCAGCCTTGCGCGACCTGCACGGTTTTGGAAGTTTGGACGATGCGCGTGTCGCGAGGTGGAAAACCGGGAGAGGTGTATTATTAGGGCAGTGCTAACCCATAATAATAGATATGGTTTTCATAAACTCTATATCATTAAGAAAATAGTACTAGACACTACTCTTCTAATGCAAACACCACTATTCCATACTTTAATTTAATGCTGCTTATCTCACATGATGTTTTAGATGTTGTGTAGAAACCATGTCTCATGCAAGACATGGTTTCCTTCTCTTTTCTCATTTATTCACTTACCACATCATTTTTTTTCTAGGTGGCAACTTATTTAATGCTATGGACACCATTCTAGTCATTGGATTAGAAATGCCCTTAACGAGCTATAAATATATTTTAATAAAATAAAAGATGAGAGAGATGAGCAGCGGGCTACAAATATGTAGCTAACTCTACGACACAAAATATATATATATATATGAGATAATATATTAATAATTGACTATTATATCGGCTATAAATGAATTGTAGCTGTACTGTTAAACTTGCTCTAAAGTTGAATTCGGGCGGTCAAGCTGCGGATTGCATGCGGATCTGTGTGAGCGAAGACAAAGACAAGTCGAAAAGGTTTGCGTACAGCGAGCGAGGTGCAGTGCACTGCGCTTCGCGACGGTTCGAGAGATAGAGAGAGAGAGAGTGAGCTGATGTAGTGATGTGACGCATAAGCATATTCGGGTGGTGACTAGCGAGCAGGAAGGGGGTCGACGTGTCCAGCTTTGAACGATTTGTTAGATTAGGGTGAGTTTAACTCACGTTAAAATTAAAAGTTTGGTTAAAATTAGAATAATGTGACGAAAAAATTAAAAGTTTGTGTGTGTAGGAAAATTTTAATAGAATAGAAAAATTAAAAGTTTGAAGAAAAATTTTACAACTAAACATGGCCTTAATGAGATGTTTATATAAAGATTAAAAATATCCGCAGAATATTGGACACTGTACGATAATGTTCGTGGGCATGTCGGCCATATTTCAGTCAAAACTGAACTTGCCTTGTATGGGTATGGGGGTGTTTAGATCCCATCCCAAAATGTTTCACCATACATATATATTAAAAATAACTAATTGTATAGATTGGGACTAATTTGTGAGACAAATCTTTTAAGTTTAATTACTTCATTATTTGACAATGTGGAGCTACAGTAAACATTTACTAATGATAGATTAATTAGGCTTAATAAATTAATCTCGCGGTTTATTTACGGATTTTATAATTAGTTCTTTTTATTAATACCCGAACAACCTATACGACAGCCTATATAATACTCGATGTCCCACGCTAAAACTTTATACCCTATATCTAAACACGTGCTATGTGCAACATTGCAGGTAATCATTAAGCGTTTAAATCAAAAGATCCACATGATGAAGTCAAATCTCTTAACAATGCTGCAATCTTGAGCTGAGTAGACAAATTTAACTTTCTTATTTGCAACAGTATATTGAGGATTCCAAGCTTCTTTGGTGTAATCTTTTAGTAGGGGATCTCTCGCGAAGATCCTTCAGTACAAATGTTTAATGTAAGCTAGTAGTAGCTATATAGTACTCCTGTATAGTGGTAAACCTAAACAAAATATAGGTAGCATCACCTCATATAAAGGGTTGTTGGGGATGAAAGGGACTAATCATAAAAACATAAGTTAGGGATTTATGTTTTTTGATCCTATCCCAAACACCATCTAAGTGCCACAGGACTGAATGAATAATAAGCCAATCATTACCATCCAATAATAATAATAATTCGTCATTATTTTAGGAAACAGTCTACTCTACATTTGAAAAAAAAATAATACCTTACAAATTTTAGGTTGTTGGATTGCCTTAAAAATTTATGTAAATCCTCGCAAACCTTGATACTCTTCTTTTATTTTTTTTCTTCCCAGCCACCGCACAATACGTACGCGCTCAACTTTCCAATGTCTTCGTGCCTCTGTCTCCTGCATCAGAGCACCATCTCAATGCACCGCCACCTAACCTCGACACTAACGCCGATAGCGAGGACCCTTAGCAGGCCTCCACCCCCTCCCCATTCATCCCTCCTTCCTCAAGATGGCAGCGACAACGGTGTCCCAGCCCCACCGTCAGATTCACCACCGCCTTTTAATCATAACATTAGTTTGCCCCGTTGCCGACATTGATCTATTGTCTCCTCTATCCCTGCGGCTCTACCGCCATCACTAATGTCTACCACCCATTGCCAAGCCTCCACCTTCCGCGATCATCCCTCTAAACCGGATGATATTTTTCCTCCTGCCTGTTCCCTTATCCTCACCTTAACCCAAGACTCTAAATGGTCGGAGTCGTCGTCGCTGATTATTGGAGTTCATCAAGACCGCTGGAGTTAGAGGAGAAGCATGTTGGCGTACAAATTGTGAAGCATATCTAAAGACTAAAAATTTGCCAAGATATTGTTTCTATTTTTCTGTGGAACGTTGTTTATCAATTCTGTTTTTTTTTCAAGGATTATCCTCGTGTACCGGTCGAGCCGCATGATTTCATATATAGTAAAATACATGATGTAATCATGCCTTTTACTGTCTTACAATAGCATCTAGACAAAGGTTTGAGTTTGCGATCCCGTTATAATTTAATAAAGCACATACTAATTACTCTATTCAACCAAGTAACTTCACTGCAGCAGCTTGCTGCAACTGATCACACGCCCGGTATATCGTATGCAGTTAGACTCAGATTAGCTCGTTTCATAATGGACCCACCATACATATATATAGCACAAATAATTGAGTCGTATAATATGCGATTACACAAATTAACTCGAGATATTCTGCTTCGATCAACTGTAAGTTAAATCCAGTGACCCAGCTGGTACTCTGCCTGACTGCTTTGTACATACAGTGTATAATCTGTAGGTGGGCCTGGTATCCGTAGTGCGCAATGAGATTTACACATTTTAGAACATAATTTTAGAATTGATTTAGAGATATTTTGCTTTAGCCAACTTAGTAAAATTCTATTTTTTTAATCACGTGTCTTCGGTTCATAACTAATATATATAATAAGCTGCAGCCGTAAAAATGCCATCCAAATCTACCTATGATTTATACACTGCTTATTCCATTCTATCAGTAAATTAAATACCAAACATATGCATGTATTATTGTATTGAGTAATGCATTGGTACTCAAGTAATTTTAGGTTGGTTATTTGTGCTCGCCAGCTGCTAATTTATCTGCACTTTACCGCTTGTTGTAGTGCACTGAACATTAATTGGAAAGAAGTTTGACTGCTTAATTACATATCTAATGCCTTAAATAATAGGATATAGAAAATAAAACACATATAAATATGAATATTCCCTCCGCTCAGATGATTATATATAAGATATGATTGGAATTTTAAAACTTTGACCATAAATTATGTTGCCTATCCCTTTTAGTATAGTCATAATGCAGTTTTTTTATAGGCACCAATCTCTGTTTATGGTGAAATCGTCAATCTCAAAATATATAAATCGGCCTTTCGAAGACATTCATGTGGGTGGCCTTTCCCTTTCGAAGGCATTCATGTGGGTTTCGAAGGTATTCATAGGGGTATGTTTATATGAGTGAATGTGTACGGGACGTGAGGTGTTTGTACCGTGGTTTTCTAAAAATGATACAGAATTATTGTCAAAAGTTTAAAAGTTTGACAAAAATGTTGTTCGAAAAATCGAGTATTGAGGAAGTATAACACATTCAATGCAAATGTGGAATGCGTCTTTATTTCCGATGCTACTTTCTAGAAACAGCCTTTTAATTTTCTTTAGTAGTAGAAAATCATAGTGAAACCCAAATAAAATTAATTTCTCTACGCGGGAATAGAGATAAAGTTCAGTGCTAGTACATCACAAACTTTGGTGGTTACAAAAAAATGAAAGCGCGAACTTCCAATAGAATTAACAGAAGCAGTTTTCCAAAACTTTATGCCCATCTTGATTCTTGGCGTGCTATAAATTCATGCTTGCTTGATGTCGAATAAAAGAATAACAAAAGAAGCATGCCCTTCGTATGTACTACGTACTTCCTCAGTACAATGCATCTCTTTTGAGTAGTGAGCTTATGCAAGATATACAGGGAAATAAGAGGAGAAATTATGAAGCATCTCCTTTGAGTGTTACAACAAAATCGATTGACCAATGAATGATCATAATAACACACAATTAATTAGTGGCACCGTTAAAACAATCAATCTCATCAGCAAGAATCAACTCAGGGAAGCAAAAAATAAAAGAAATTAGCAAAAAAAAAGAGAGAGTTAATTAAATTGTGAATTATCCCACCCTAGCAATGCAATTGCAAATTTGCAATGCTGCCTGCATTACGTAAGTACGTGGCTCCTACATGCACATCTCGCTCCCCCTCACCTCCTCGTCGTCCTCGCCGTCGCCGCCCATCGCCGGCGACAAGCCCACCCCGACGTCGCCGCCGCCCCTGGTCGTCGACGACGACGTCTGGGCGCCTCCACCGGCGCCGGGGCCGCCGCTGCCGCCGCCGCCGCCGCCGCCGCCGGCCTTGTGGTTGTGCATCCACACCTTGAAGACCTGCCGGTTGACGCCGATCTCCCGGCAGAAGCGCGCCACCTCGTCGTCCCCGGGCGCGCGGCCGGGCTCCCGCTTCGGCATCCGCCACCCGAGCCGCTCCGCGAACCGCAGCATCCGCGCCTTCTGCTCCTCCGTGAACTTGGTCCGCGTCCGCCGCCTCCCCCCGGAGCCGCCGCCGCCGTCGACGCCGCCGCCGCCGCCCACCGCTCCTCCCATCGCCGCCATGTGCATGTATCCCGGCGGCCCGCCTCCACCGGGGGCCGGCAGCATTGGCGCGACGCCGACGCCGGCGCCTCCCGCCCCTCCGGCGGCGGCGGTGGCGCGGCCGTCGAGGAAGTCCTTCCGGTGGAAGTTGCGGTGGCAGCCGCACGCCGCGCAGAGCAGGCCCGCCGGGTGGCCGTCGTCGGGGGTGTACTCGCAGCAGCCGTCGTTCGCGTAGGTCCCCAGCTTCGCCGCGTGGTTGCGCATGCACTCCCTGTACACCTCCCGCGGCCGCTCCTGCTGCTGCTCCATTGCTGCTTCTTCCTCCTCCTCTAGTCCTCTCTATCTCGATCTGTCTCCGCCTCTCTCTGATCTACTTCTACTGCAGCTGCGATGTGGCGCGGTGAGCAGCAGCAGCTGGGCGCATGCAACGCGGTGCTTCGCTTTGCTAGGGTCTATGTGAGCGAGACGCCGAGAGCTATCGATGGCTAGCTAGCTGTGACTTTTTTGTGGGAGCTGGGTTGCATTGCACTTGCACACATGCGCGTATGGCTATCAGCGCCATGAGTAGCGGCAGCACTAGTAGAGCTGTAGTATCAAATGTATCTCATGATGTGTGGGGATGAAACGGGAGAGGGTGTTTGTTGTGGCTGGCCAGTTGGGAGCACGTCGATAAAAAAAAAAAGTTTGCTTTGCTTGCGATCTTCGCAGTTCTGGATTTGCTACGGACAGCACAGGCAGGGGCAGCTCACTGTTTGACTTCTACGGGGCTCTAATTGTTTTGAACAGAATCTTTTGAAGGTTTGGGTAGTCCATCATGTTTTGTTTGTATTAGAGATCTAGTACACTCTTTATAAGTTTTGGTTTAATTGGATGGGACGACGACTTGTTAATATCGTTACAGACTTACAGTGACAGGGCTCATTTGGTAGCAGAAGATCAATATAACGATTCTAACATTAAAATTTCTAAGTGAACGAGGGATGTGTTGAATTTCTAATAGAGTATAAGTAGAAAAGCCTCATGGGTTGTCCTAATAAAAAAACACAATTTAAATTTTCAAATTTAATTTCGAAGTTTAGTTTAAGATATTTTCAACGTAGTTTCTTTTTAGCATTGAATTTTAAATCGTTAATAACACACATATAAAAGTTTTACCTGTAAATTAGTTTTTATTTTCTAATAAACCTCATTAGAATATGTGAGCAATCGATGAGGCTGTAAAACAACATGAAAGAATATTTGAACCTTAATCTTCTTATAGCATAGAATTATTTATTTTTTGTTACGTGCTTTTGGCTTTACGATAATTGGGCAAAAAAAAAATATGCCTTGAATCAAATCAAATATTACCAAACTAACCCTTTTACCAAGCACTCCCGATTATGTAAATATCAGTAGTTCTATAACAATTCGAACGTTCCACCGTTGTGTTACTATAATTTGTTTGTGGGGGAGTGGGGACCTTAACTTGCCGTTTCCGGATACATCCTTTCTGCCTTGGTCATACGCCCCCATGTACCCGGAATGGCTACAAAACGGTGTTCATTATGTTATCCTGCCCGAGCTCACCGATCGAGATGATACTGATTAGGAGGAAAATTAATCAACTAATCAGCATCGGAAATGGGGTTGTGAGACCATGGCATTCATGCAACTATGCAAAGAGATATAGTAAAATGGAGCCAGCTTGTTCCCGGTGACGTACTAACGTGATTTCTTTCGTCTTAACAAAGTACTATAGTCCATTATTGCATAGTAGAAAATAGGAGTATTCTAGTGTAGGGATACAGAAACATGTGGTACTTGTAGGCGCTAAATCCACTTGTCGACGTGGATGCTCTATGTTTCTCCCGCGTGCCAGTGAATAATTTAGCTACAAAAAAAACGCTAGCGATCCAATGAGACCCACTCCGTTTTGCCGTTGGGCTAGCTTAGCTTGTTTTTTTTTTCTTAATCTTTGGCTCTTTTGGTTTCTTCCCAAAAGGGTATCAACTAGGAGGAGGAGGAACTCGGTGGTCCTCGCTCTCGCTGCCGCTGCATGCTGCAATATACAAATAATAATGATTGTATTAACAAAGATATCTGGTGACAAAAATCTAGTCGAAAACCCAGACGATTAGCTCGTGGTTAACGAACTATGGCCGCGTTTAGTTGTTTTAGAAAAGAAAAACGTATAAAGACACACATTTGAAGTATTAAATGTAGACTTATAACAAAATAAATTACAGATTCCGCACGTGAACTGCGAGACGAATCTGTTAAGCCTAATTAATCCATCATTAGCAAATATTTACTGTAGCACCACATTGTCAAATTATGACGTAATTAGGCTCAAAAGATCCGTCTAACAATTTACATGCAAACTGTGCAATTGATTTTTTTATCCACATTTAATACTTTATGTATGTATCTAAATATTTGAAATATTTGGTGTGATGGAAAAGTTGAAAGTATTATGTTTTGGAACCTGAGAAATCTTGTGGTTTTCAACCGCGACGGTGTTTGCCGTATGGGTGGTATTCGTGAGCAGCGAATGCGTCCAAGGCGGAGGCGACAACGAGCAGCAAACAGCGCGCGGCCACCGTCGTCAAACTGATGACGCGCGCCCCCTGAAATCCCTGCGATGAAATCCCTTTTCGCTGCCCATATCTGAACCCCATGCCCGTGCCTGCTGCTGCAACCTTGCACGCGCGGTGCTCCCCTCCCTCCTCCCCTCTCCCATCTGCATGCGCGCGCGCGCGGCTGGAAGCTTGGATGGATTAGCGGTAGCACATGGTGTCGCGCCGGCGTGTCCCTGGCTGGCCCGCGGCGCGCGGTGCGTGCGACCAAACCCACACGCGCCCCCGGCCCGCGCGGCATGGGATGGGAGGAGCCAGCCAGCGCCCAGCGACACGCAACGTGCGGTGGGAGGAGGCAGATCTTCGCCTCGCCCGCTCGGGAGGGAGAACGGACTGATGCTCCGGAACTGATCAACCATTCACAACCGTCTCGCTCGTCGTGGGGATAAAGATTTGCAAAAGCTTACGGTTATCTTAGTTATCATGTATGATAATTTTCTTAATTATTAAGTATACTATGATAACTATATGATTTTCACGGTAACCAATCATATGGTTACTATGATAACCGTTAAACCGTGAAGGACGATAACCGTACCTAAAACGGATTAATAAACTATGCTATTATTATAGTAACTATTAAATCTTGGAGCGACGGTAACCATAACCGTACCTAAGACGGTTTAATAAACTATGGTATTATTATGGTAACTATTAAGTCAGTGACGGTAACAACACCTAAAACTATTTGGAAAACTCTCGTTGGAATCTAGGAGCAGCACGGTAAAATATTTTGCCACGAAGCGGCTTTGTCTGATCCGGATGGTGAATTGGTGGTGGTAAAAGCAGGCATCGGCAGCGGCAGCAGGTGAGCTTTTCGCGAGGTGGAAAGACGTGCTGCTGATTGATGAACCGGCCGGCGACCTGCAGCGGCAGCTGGTGAGCTAGTGCGACCGCCTTTCGCCGCGGATGCCCTTTGAGTTTTGACTCGGATGGGAAGGGAGGCAGGTACTAGTACTAGCTCGGTGTTGACCGCTGGTGACAAACATGAGCCACATGGGAAGTGGTTAGTACTAGCTCTAGCTCGGAGAAGTACAAAGGGCTTGTTTGGTGAGGCATCTATAAATCGGGTGCAGACTATTATTTCATCAAGTAAATCGAATATGTTTTACTAAGTAGATAAAAATATTTTAGTCTTTTAAAAAAACTGAAACACAACTAGATCACCTCATAGAACATTTTGCTACAACATATAAAACAAACAGTTTTCAAGAAATCAGATGTTGTTTTAATCTATATAAAAACAATGTTTTAGCAAATTGCGAAATAATGTTTCAATTCACTGTAACATTTGATTTTACATAGTGAAACATCACGAGTACACTAGCTAAAATATTGTCGGTGGAAAAAAATAAAAATGGATTCCCTTAATTAATAGAGTGTTTCCGTAATATACAGGTAATCTGTTGCAAAGGTGACTGTGGTGGGGGCGCTTGGTGGGGGGCGGCTCACGAGCATGGGAGACGCGGCAGAGCGCGGGAGGCGTGGGCACCCAACTTTCTCTGCTGCGATCGGGCACGGCGCGTAGGATTTTCCCTTGTTTGTTTGCATTGCAGCCATGTTAAACTATTGGCAATGTTAAATTATGGACAAGTTTTTGCCAATATTAATATTTTGATAATATTTGTGTGCTATTGATGAGTATCGATAGTAAATCAAACATTACTAAAATTACTGTTTAAAATACTAATATTTTTGGTATGGCAAGTTTTTTCTTCAAACCAAATCAGCCCAAAATGACTGCTACTGTTCTAGCGTGTCAAACTGTGAAGCGTTCACTATCAGTCACAGATTCCAGTACTAGAAGTACCAAGTACCAACAAGATGGATGGAAATGGGGTAGAAATCGTGGCCGACGGATCACGCATTCATGCACACGCAGCTGGAAGGTTGGAGGGTAATAGTTCTAAACAGGGCACCTTTTGGAAACGAAATTGTTGACGGTAGGGACTTTTGTCTGCTTGATCTAAAGCTTAAACCGCTAAGACGTGACTTTGCAACCATCTAAACAGGGCATTTCGCGTCCTTCAACTGTTCTACTAATTATCTATCTAGTGCCTTCTTTTCTTTCAGACTATGATAACACATGTTTTCTTCCCCTCTTAGTTTCTGGATAATATTGTTTTTTTAGAGCATAACTAATAAATATTGTTGTGATGTGGTACCTCTATATGTGGACAAATTATTCTATAGAATAGGTGGGATCACAACAGCACGTTACTACAGATGCTTGCTCAAATTTAAAAGGAATTAACAGACCCTGTGTCGTTTTAAGAGAACCTAATTAAGAGAGATAATTAAGGATCCTCTTCTAAAGAACATAATCAAGATTTAAGCGAGAATGCGAGATACACTGAACGTGTGTTGCTCCTTGGCCCATGCATCTCCTGTGTGTATCGCCAGGAGGAGGCAGCAAGACGTGACAAGGGAAGCACGTTCTTGCTTGCACGCACACACAGCCAGCCTTTAAAGTTAGTAGCTTCACGTGGTCCGATGTAAGAACGTACGTCGTTTTGGGCAGCGACACGTTCTTTAAAACACACTTTAACTTCTTTTTACTATAAAAATATTTATTGAAAAGTGATATATGTATACTTTTATGAAAATATTTTTCAAGACAAATTTATTCATATAATTTTTATATTTTCAAACTCAACAACTTGAGAGTCATTCATGATTTATATTTTTAAGGGTTGACTTAAACATTATCTTCCATGACTTCTCTACGAGTATAGGGGAGTACACGGGAGATCTCATCTCGATACGTTGCACCACCTCTGTGGCTTCTTCGGAATGTCATCGTGGTTAGCAGTTGCCGCATCCTGCACACACACGCATGCATGCATCTCGTATTAACCTGCAAAAACTCGGATTTGTCAACGTAAGATTGCTGACCAGAGAGAGGTCATGTCTGAGATTCAGAGATCTCAAAATTAATTAATTGGCCCCTTTGTTTGGCTCGAGTTGAGCTGGGATCGACATCATATGCGTCGATACTCTTATAAATACAGCTGCGTGTAGGATTACATGGTTAGATATTGTCGACATTGCTGGAGGAATTGAGCAATGCTTGTTTATACCGGTTTGATGTTCTTGTAGCCTCGCAAGGGCACAGTCCTTGTCACGAATATTTAGACTATTTTTAACCCAAAAACTATTTATTAGTTTCTACATTTATCCTGTCATACAGGTATTATGGTATTATGTATAGAAAGTATATATCCAATGGACTTCTCTATTTTTATTCACATATTTTTCTTATTTTCATTCCTGCTTCTGGTGTAGAAATGGGTTCTTACATAAGAAATGATTTTTCATCTTTTCATCTCTATGCTCCTTAACTCTCTTGTTACATTTGATTTTTCTTATGTAACAGTGGATTTAAAGCTATGGGTACTAGATGACATGTAGGGTCAGGGATGGCCTTAGAGGATGGACAAATTGTCAGTAATATTTCTATTATTTTCTCTATTTTAAAATATAAATACTTAATTGTAGAGTGTTCCACGTAATATTACTATAAAACTATGCCAATTATGTCGGTGGATAGGAGGTGAGGGTTGTGGAGATGCGATGTATTTAGGATCTTTGTCACCACGAAATGTTAGAAATATCTATCTTTTGGAATACAGGGAGTGTATCGTTTTTAAAATGTACTTCTACCACTCTACTTGGAATTTTTACAATTTGGTCATTTTTAAAAACTTATTTCACAATAGACCCTTGTAAAAACTTATCCTATAATTTTTTTTTTGCACGTCAGAGTCGCTAGTGCCGTGATCCAATGAGACGGCACCAACATTTCTGGTGTTGTCCCCTGCCATCGTGGTGGGCCGACGCTGACGTGGCAGGGGGAGCGTGCCAATAAAATACTTCTACCACTCTCTAATGTATTCTAATTTATTCATATAAACTATAGATATTTATACGACGATACATAGAATTGAATATTATCTGAAAGAGTTCTATAGTTTGTTGAGGAAAAATCTCGTAAATTCTAAAAATTAGTTAAACAACTTGATGTCATAGTAATTACTAGTGACTAATGTAAAAAAAATTACTAAATAATAATATTAATATGTCACGATTACTACTACTTCCTCCATTTCATATTATAAGTCATTTTAATTTTTTACAAAGTCAAACTTAGTTAAGTTCGACCAAGTTTATATAAAAATTATTAACATCTACAACATTAAATTAGTTTCATTAAAATAAACATTTAATATATTATGATAGTATGTTAATTTTTATTTAAAAATATTTATCTATTTGATTAAAAATATTAGTTTAAATAACATTTATGTAAAAAGGAGTAAAACGATTTAAAAAGGTTAGAAAAGATATAAATATCTCATATTTCCAGGTGGCCAAGTATCAGTGCTTAATTATGCCTAAGAATCGTGATGGGTGCCTCAAGGATATTTCCCCGTCCACACCATGTCGAAATTTTGATGCCTATGTAAGAAATGAAATTACCCTCGCCATTTTGATGCCTATGTCGTGTGTGGTTTATCCTCAGTAGGGGTGAAAACAGTAATAAATATTCACGGCTGACCGACGTTCGTTTCCGACTTCTACCAGCCGAGCCATATAGAAATGGTAATCGATCGAAACGGAAATAGAAATGGTAAACAAATGGAAATCATTTTGCTATTATAACGATTGTTTCAGTATTCTTGTGAAAATTACTGTTTATTTATAATATAATAATTATCGTAATTCTAAATATGTTGATATTTATTAGGTATGTCTCTACTTTGACCCACAGTTTAGGGACTGATTAACTCTTCAATCAAATCCCTAACTTGAGTGTGTGGCTAAATGAAGTTAATTTATAATTGATATAGTATAAGTTCAAATTTATTTATACGTATCAAGTTAAAAATATGTTTATATAGTTTAACATTTTTATTGAGGACAGCTAGCGCACGGGATACCTGCAAGACTAAAGTCACGGGATAATTAACACTCGATAAATTAATATATCTTTCCAATCGTGTCACATGTTGTCCACACGATTCCTCGTTACTTTCCCCTACCGGATCCTCCTCGGTCTCACGCGCCTCCGCGCGCGATACCTCATCGGCGGAGCGCCGCCGCGGTTAGCCGGAGCAGCAATGCCCTCTTCCTCCAAGATCCTCTTTGGTATCGTGCTCCCCACGTCTTGAACCAATGCTTAGCGATGCCGAGAGTGACATCGGTTGCGGCAATAGTAGGGAACAAGGATCGAGTCGAGGGGAAGGGAGAAGAGTAGTAGGGAACAAGGATTGAGCCGAGGGGAAGGGAGAAGAGGAGAGAAGGCGTGTGGTGCGTGATACCTCGTAGCCAGCTATGATACCTGATATCTCGCAACCAATCATGATATCTGATACCTCGTAGCCAACCATGATACCTCGCAGCTAACCATGATACTTGATACCTCGCACCTCGCAGGTATCAGGTATCAGGTTTGATACTTATGGGCACCAGCCATGATACCATAGTTACTAAGTATGGTACCTATAGTTATTAAGTCTGATACCAGATGTACTAGATATGGTACCTACGAGGTACCGACTGTAAATAATACATCGCGCGACATACCTGCACACACTCTAGCAATGAGCATGATGGCTCACCATCACGTTGCCGCCAATGAAAGCTCCAAATCCAGAAGCTTCATTGGTCACTCCCCTCCATCACCACCAGCAACGCGCTTAGAATAAGGAGGCCGAGAAGCTCACGCTGGTTAGCATACTTCCCGACAACCTCCCTCCTTACTGGTTGTCTCCTTCTGCCATGGGAGCTAGATCTAATGGGTGCCTATGCCTCAAAAGCATGAGACGGAGGATGAGGCAATAGGACCTTGTAACCAACGTGCACTCGGGGTAGATCCAACAGTAAGGGTGAAGGGGAGTGGATCCGTTTTCGAGGGACTGCTTTGATGCCGCTATGCCTGCATAGATGAGCTCTCTACAACATAGAGGAGGAGGGAGAGAGAAAAAGGAGGACTACATAGGAGAAGCGGAGGAGAAAGACGCAAAATCAGAGAGAGAAGGCGAATAGATAAGAACGAAGCTTTACCCACTTATTCTATTTTCACGTGATACCGTTGACTATTTTTCTCTTTTTTATTTGTCGTCGGTTTCCGATTTGTACGGACATTCTTCAGTTTTCGGTCTCTGATTTTTGTTTTTATTTCCAGAATTTACCATTTTCGATTTCGCTTGGGGGAAAAATATGGATGTGAAAATGATTTTGGTTTCTTTCAGCCCGTTTTATCCGGTAGCCCTAAGTTAAGATATGAGTGACCCCCCTCCTCGTCAGTCGTCACTCTGCCCTTGCGCGCCGCCTCCGCCTCCGCCGACGCCGATCCCCATCTATCCCGCGAGCGAGCACGCCGCCGTCGTTCGTCCTGCCGCATCCTGGTGAGCGCATCCTCCGCCACCGCCGATCCCCATCCATCGCGCGAGCAGGGTCGCCGCCGTCGCTCGTCCTGCTGCTTCCGCCGCATCCGTCCTCTTTCCCATCTCTCTCTCTCGCACTCTACCCACGCCGGCCTTTTTCTCGAACTTGCGTTAACCCTAGCTTCTGTTCTAGAAATTTGCCTTAACCTTAATACTAATGACAGTTTGATGGCTCCCAAAAAGGTTTGGGGGTTCAACTGAACCCCCCCATGTCCTATGTTAGATCCGCCACTGGTAATTTGTAATCAGCAAGTCGCCGGTCAGTGGTCGGACTGATGGAGGAGGGAGTTGCATTTCTTGGAAACCATTTTCAGGGAAGGTTGAGATTGAGCTTGGATGTCTTGAAACTGTGTGCTTATAAAGAGAAAGACCGATATATCGCATATCATCATCAGACATTTCACATAAGTTACATATACACTTCTGATTTCTGTAACCTTCACCAAATTGAGGTCAATATATATACTACATATAGCTAGTGACTTGCCTTCAGGAAAAAAAAAAAGAGCTAGGCATGCTTACATATAGGTAGTACAGTATATATTTTAGTAATGAATATCGGCATATTGCTCCCAAAAGTATCTAACATTCAGACATCAATTCAGGCAGCAAAGCCTGCAGGAACTTAATCATGTGTAAATTATGTAAAACAGATTTTGTAGGAAGCTGGAAAAAGGATGCAAATTCGTTGAGCCTGAAATGTTATAATAAGTAGGGTAATTATATGCGCATCTACATTTTCTTCTCATTTCATTTCATTTCTTTCTGTGGGCATATTGGGGCAGGGCTTGGGTCGGCGGTGGTGACCCAGAGGCGAGGCGGAGGCTCGGAGGCGGCGTGCATCGGAGGCGAGGTCCACGACCAAGCGGTGGCGGCGTCTTGCTGCGTCCCCGCCCTCGGTGGCACGGTGCGGAGGTGCTGGCGTCCTGAGAAGAGGTGACATTCTTCCTGTTATGAATTTTGCACTTGAATTTGCGTGGGTTTGGTGATCACGCATGATAGTATGTACTGTGTTGAATAATGCTTTGTGAACTGGAGAGGGAAGTTATAATTAATTTTCTATATTTTTGGTTGATATGTAAATAGAAAGTATATGTAGATGTTGCTTACTATTATAAATAGAATTGTCTGTGGCGATTACTGCTTTTATAAATTGATAACTTGCATTGGTTTGCTTATTAGTGTGCTAAGTTTTGAATCCCTTGCTAATTTCTCATGTTGGGAAATCATGCTCTTCTGTTTAAACGCTACCGTTTCAGGATGGGGGTTACTCTTACTTTGATCTGGGCCTTCAGTAATACTATGTGCTTTCTCTATATTTTGTTATCATTTGTGTAAGGCATAATGCCAGTCTACGGGTTGATACACTAAGGCTTTATAACGCCATCCAACTGTTCTACAAAAATCATTGCATGCTGCTGTTTTTTTACTAGCATCTATTTACCTTCATTGGGTAACAGTTTGGTCTTGATATCATTATCGCGTGACTGATAGAAAAGCTAGGCTACCTTTGGCCTCTTAATCTACTCTCTCATATAGTTTACTTCTGATCAGGTCCAATCGCTGGTAACTAGACACGCTCCTGTTGGTCACCGGATCTTGTTGAGCAGGTGCATCCACTGCAATGATTGCCCTCAGCTCATACTCCTCTCTGGCCTCCTTGTGGTCATGGGTCCTGGAACATATTGCACCATGCAAGCTCCTCTGTTGAAGGACAATGGAAGAATAACTGGATCACTTTGCAGTTGAAGGGCTGTAACCACAGCACTTCAGTACTAAAACTCGCACTACTGAGCACCTGTAGCTCTGAGCTGGTTAGTCCATCTTTAATCCATAGCATATTTGGATAGTGTATACAATCTTTAGAAATTGTCCATGTTCACACCATACCTAGACTATTAATTTGCTATGTTAGTGGAGGCTCTAAATTATTTGGAGCTCAATGCCATACCACAATGGTAAGTGCTTTAACATGTATGAAATTGTTGTTTGAATGACAATTAGACACAAAATTTGCCAGACTTAAAAGCAGATGAGATATGTGGTTTTGCCTTTTCATAGTTTGATTCTACAATATGATGCCTTATTTCCATGCAATTAGAATCTGACTAACATCGTATGATTATTAACCACCTTGAGAAAACCTAGATCTGTGTATTCTTATCTTTGCCAATGTTATATTCTCAGACAGCAAAAGCCATTGGAGGTTTCCTTGATGACACCTAGTTGTTTCATAAATTTATTTAGTTGCACCCTGAAGCCTCCAATAGCTATGAGCAATAATTTAAAAGTAGTATCTCTTTTATTTATGCAATTAGCCAGTTCATCTTATTTTTCCAGTGAGCATTTTGCTTATTTTGGTTACCAAAGAGACTTCTGCTGTTCCATTTTTTTCCAGAGTATATGACCTCATTTTTGAAACAGACTTCCTGGTTAATGTGTGGGTCGGCACTGTTGAAAAGTTTTTGTGATGGACAATGCCTCGAGTGAAGATAATTTGTTGAGGGACAATCTTGTTGATCTTAATGATGATTATACTGAAAATCAGATGGCATTTGATGTCAACAGTGAACCAGTTGACATGAATAATACTTCCAGCAAAGCGAATCTGGAAAATAGTGAACCTTTTGTTGGGATGGAGTTTGAATCAGAAGAGGCTGCAAAGGTGTTCTACATGGCTTATGCTAGTCGAGTAGGTTTCTCTGTGCGCATTAGCAAGTCCCGACGCTCAAGGAATGATGAGTCTATTATCATGCGCCGTTTTGTGTGTTCAAAGGAAGGTTTCCACCACAAGAAGCAAACTGACACTGGCAAGAGAAAGAGAAAGCGTGCAATAATAAGGGAGGGTTGCCATGCGATGATCGAGGTTAGTCAGAAATATTATGGGCGGTGGGTTGTGATCAAGCTCATCAAGGAACACAATCATGCTGTTGCAGCTCCAAGCATAGTGAGATACGTTGCGCCTGAAGAATATGCACAACTAGAACCTTTTGCAGGAATGGAATTCCCTTCTTATGAATCTGCCCAAACATTCTACTATGCGTATGCTAGCCGTATGGGCTTTGATGTACGTATCAGATTATCCCGCCGTTCACCAAAGGATGAGACATTTGTAATGCGGCGCTTTGTTTGCACAAGGGAGGGGGCTACACCGTGCGAAGAAAATGAGAACAGGAGAAAGAGAAACCGGGGTGTTCCAAGGGAAGGTTGCCAAGCGATGTTTGAGATAGTGAAGAAGGATCAAGATAAATGGGTTGTTTCGAAGCTTTTCTTGGCACATACACATGAGCTGGCCAATGTACCAAACAAGGTGCACTACATTCAGTCAAACAGTGAGGTAGTTGTTCTTGCAAAAAGTAGTGTTCTTCGAGAGAATTCAATTGCTCCAACCTTGAATTCACCTCTAGCAGACCTAGGGAGGAATTTTGAAAAGCAGGCGACAAATGATCAAGAAATAAGAGAACCACGCCGTAATGCATTTGGGTTGGATGATACGCAAAAGCTTCTTGGATACTTCAAGCGGCTGAATGCCGAGAATCCCACATTTTCATATGCATTTCAAGTCGAGAAAAATGATTGCTTAACCCATGCCTTCTGGGCTGATGCCAAAGCAAGAACATCGTATTACTATTTTGGAGATGCCGTAACACTCGAGACATCTTTTGTTGAGAATAATGACCTTTTGCCATTAGTTATGTTTTCTGGTGTCAATCATCACTTGCAACGTGAAATGTTTGGTTGTGCATTATTAACTGATTTCACAGAGGCTTCCTACATTTGGCTCTTTCAGAACTGGATTGCAGCAATGGGTTCACACCATCCTACGTCACTAACAACGGTTTATAATGAAGCAATTGGTTCAGCAATAGCAAAAATATTTCCACAAACGCACCATCTGTATTTTACTGCAGACATATTAAAGAGATCCAAGGACATTTTGGCTGACATATATTTTAGGCATGTTTCTTTTGAAAGAGAATTTTATGTGTGCATCAATGAGCCTGAAACAATTGAAATGTTTGAGTTAAGTTGGAAGAAAGTCCTTGATAAGTATGACTTGCATGACAACTCATGGCTCCAGTCTCTGTACAGAATTCGGCAAAAATGGGTTCCTGTATATTTCAAAGGTGTATTTACTGCTGATCTTTCAGCATCTCAGAGACCTGAAAGCTTGAGAAACATCTTTGAGAAGTACTTCAACAGAAGAACAGCTTTACCAGTTTTCATTTCATTGTTTGAGCATCTGATGGCCGGTTGGTCAGAAAGAGAAGCTGTGGAGGATCTGGCCACATCTTTTACCAGACCTGTCCTAAGAACCCCCTCAAACATGATGAAACAAGTGTCAGAAATATACACAACAACTGTGTTCAACATTCTTGAGGAAGAATTCATTGGATCTTTAGGCTATTATATCTCTAGTCTTGACAATGATGGGTTGATTGCTGTGTATAGTGTCACAAAGGAGGATACTGAAGCCACATGCAGAGTCAGGTATGATACTTCTGGCAATATAGCTAAGTGCAGCTGCTGCAAGTTTGAGAGTTGTGGTATCTTGTGCCGGCATATACTAAGAGTATTCTTGGCCCTTGATGTACGCACCATACCAGATGTATACATATTGAAACGGTGGACAAAAGAAGCAAAGAATGGCTTTGTGTTGGACGAATGCTTGCGGTACAGTGAGCTTCACCGTGATGCCCTTAGATATGCAAGGGAAGGATCAACGTCTGGGGAAGTTTTTACCTTTGCACAACAAACTCTTCAGGTTGCTTTTGCTGAGGTGGTTCAAATGAAACAGGAAACTTTTAGCCAATGTACAATCCGATGAACTTTGATGCTATACAGATTGAGTAAAAGATAACTCTTCCAGTGCCGCCCTGGTTATCTTGTCGATGAAATTTTGCATGAACTTCCTGCTTCTAAGTAACATATGTGTTCTAGAAAAGGTTAAAATGTGCTTTTGTAGATGTAAAAATGATTTCAGAGAGAGCCTCGATTTGCTGCCGCTTCGTTCCTTAACCTCATATCTATACCCTTTTACCGCTCAAGTAGCAAGCAAGATTTCCAGATAATATGAACAGTTAGTATAGTATACTCTATATAGCCTGGTCTGATAATATATAAACAGCCAGCCTGGTGATTGGTGTAACAATTTGTGATGACATCTGCATAACTTGAAAGATGGAAATACATAAAGTAATTTTAAAACAAAGGTCATGTACAGATTTTAAAATCTTGTCAAGTCAAAACGTACAGAAGGCGAGGAAAAAGAGTGATTTACTATAAGCATGATCATCCTTTTTTTTCTTTCATTTTCTAACAAAATTGAAGTGCTGACACACAACGCGCACACAAACCATAGAAAGCTTGCACTCCTCTTCCACTGTGTTGTGTACACAAACCATAGAAAGCTTTACATTCCTCTTCCATTGAAACTTAAAAAATTGGCAGGATCATGTTCTTTAACAGAATGCCACATTTTACCTTGGAGATAAACAGAATTGTGCTCTTTCTACACGCTAACATGTTGAACTGAAAACACTTGGTTGAAGACAGGCAGCCAAGCCACGAACCCACGAACATAGGACCCCCACTGTACCAAATATTCTTGTGTAAAGAAACAAAAGCTTCTCTGATCCACATGGTTCCATTTCCCCTCTCAATTTGTTTAAGGAAAAGTGAAAAGATTATCACTTCTACAGGGGATGTCTAAGCTGCGCCGTACAACTTTTAAGCGGCAAAGCGTGCTCGTGTGCTGCTAAAGCCTGACGATGAGAATATATCTGATGCTGTGATGCATCTTGCATCATGCTGGCACAATAGCCAAGAAAGAAAAGTATCAGAAGTGTGTGTGACATGTCATTAAAATATCGAACAGCAAAGGCAAAGTGGAAGTTACGTGATGTCGAACATCACAATACAAACTCCCATGCACTAGATCACTGATGCACAAGACAGAAGAAAAGAACATTCATGCGAAAATACTGGGATGATAACTTCGATGTTATTCATTTCATAGAATAATCGCAACTCAAAAACAACCAGAACACGTATTTTTTCTGGTACCCTCATCAGGCATCTGATTAAATTTGAATAAACCGAACATATGTGTCCAAAATCACAAGTGAGAACCACAGGTAGCAATAGGTATTACAGTCTTTGAATAGAAGAAAATGATAACAGATAGGCCGGTTGAAAACTTTGTCCACGCTAATGAAGAAACAGCAACAAAAAGAGAGAAACAAGCAGGAGGACGGCGATAACAGCTCCTCTTGGCTTAGCATTCTTGGGTCCGAAGAATTAGAAGCATTTCCTGTGCACAATGGATGGGCCAGACTCGTCGTACTCAGCCTTGGCAATCCACATCTGCAACGGCAAGCAACATTGTAAGCAAATTGATCAAGTTCATGAGGTAAACACACTACATTGCTGCATTTGTATATTTACCTGCTGGAATGTGCTGAGAGATGCCAAGATGGATCCTCCAATCCAGACACTGTACTTCCTTTCAGGAGGGGCGACCACCTTGATCTTCATGCTGCTAGGAGCCAAGGCAGTGATCTCCTTGCTCATCCTGTCAGCAATGCCAGGGAACATAGTGGTACCACCACTGAGAACGATGTTGCCATATAGATCCTTCCTAATATCCACGTCGCACTTCATGATGGAGTTGTATGTAGTCTCATGGATACCCGCAGCTTCCATTCCTATGAAGGAAGGCTGGAAGAGGACCTCAGGGCAGCGGAAACGCTCAGCACCAATGGTGATAACCTGTCCATCAGGAAGCTCGTAGCTCTTCTCCACGGAGGAGCTGGTCTTGGCAGTCTCCATTTCCTGGTCATAGTCCAGGGCGATGTAGGAAAGCTTCTCCTTCATGTCCCTCACAATTTCCCGCTCGGCCGTTGTGGTGAATGAGTAACCACGCTCCGTCAGGATCTTCATGAGGTAATCAGTGAGATCACGCCCAGCAAGGTCGAGACGAAGGATAGCATGGGGGAGAGCATATCCTTCATAGATGGGGACAGTGTGGCTGACACCATCACCAGAGTCCAACACAATACCTGGGAAAAGGAAATTCAGTTATTCACAACTGTAGCACATCAAAATGTCAAAGCACTCCATGCCAACAGAATTAGGATGTTCAAACATGATTCCATTTATGAGAACTGCCTATGATTTTATTTTGAAAGCTATTATATAGTCTTGCTGTATGACAATTGAAGATTGCAGAACTAAATCTCATCTACATGTGAATGTCAAAATTAAAATTCATCCTCACAGCCTTTTAGTTCAGTGTCGAATGTGCTCACCTGTGGTACGACCACTGGCATACAGAGAGAGGACGGCCTGGATGGCGACGTACATAGCAGGGGTGTTGAAGGTCTCAAACATGATCTGGGTCATCTTCTCACGATTGGCCTTGGGGTTGAGAGGAGCCTCGGTGAGGAGGACGGGGTGCTCCTCCGGGGCCACACGGAGCTCGTTGTAGAAGGTGTGATGCCAGATCTTCTCCATATCATCCCAGTTGCTGACGATACCATGCTCGATGGGGTACTTGAGGGTCAAGATACCCCTCTTGGACTGCGCCTCGTCGCCGACGTAGGCGTCCTTCTGGCCCATTCCGACCATGACACCGGTGTGGCGAGGGCGGCCGACAATGCTGGGGAAGACAGCCCTGGGCGCATCATCTCCGGCGAACCCAGCCTGACACAAACCACCTCAGTTTTGCTACCAAGAAATGCAGCATTTCGGTAAACGGAAACCACCCTGAGATCCAAACAGCTTACCTTGACCATACCAGTTCCATTATCGCAGACGAGGGGCTGGATATCCTCGGCGTCAGCCATCTTATGCTAGCTACTATTCGTCGATAAATCTCCTTAGCTGTATGTAGACCATTTCTTTGACATGATAAATTGGATGTAGATGGAAAAAAGATTTGAGGGTGGTCCAAAGTGACAATAATAAAATTACTCGTTCTAAAGTGAAACATTGGTTGAAGGGTGGTCCAAAGTAAAATTTACTCTTTATTTTTTAAAGCGAACTTTGTGTAAGGCGATGTTTTTTACTCCCTAAACTTCGCTGGTTATGTACACCATTGTTGACATAGAGGCTAGGTTTTAATCGCTTATTTAAAAAAAATATTGTGTCAATATGATGTGTAGTTCAAATTTAAGACGTGAATAACATCTGTGGTGATGTGGCGAGAGGTGAGTGCACAATAAGTGAAGACTTGAATAGTTTACTATAGTTCCTACAAACCAGAATTTAGTAACTGCACACCGTTGACGATCCTTAAATATTGAATCAGGAAGTCAATTTTCGTTTAAAAGCAAATAAAATGAAACACCAGACATAGTGATAGGGTTTATTACTGACCATTTCTATAAAGTGTAATGAAATATTTGTATGCATATGATTATGTATGAAAATACATCCAACAAGGAAGAAACATATCTCTAGCCAATCAGACGCGATCACACGGATTCATTGGCCCACCTATAAGAGGAAAATCGACGCAATTCACCGATTATACATGCCAAGGTTCACATGACAATGACTCGGGCAAAAAAGATAGTGAAAGGCGGCTGAGGGATATCGGCCGAACCACTCTTACACGCTATCATCTCTACTTTTCACGTGGAGGATGCTCATTAAATGTTTAAGACGATGTGGTGAATCGACCTCAGTAACCATTATTAACCGTCTATAAATAGTGTGATCTTTCACTCTCTCAAGGTACACAACTCAAATGGAGATCTCTCACATTCATTCGAGGTATCTCTCTCCCGTAGCAACACACGAGCTTTCATATAGTTTTTTAAACACATTACAACCACATTAACCCTAAGACTCAAGAGGCACACATAACACATGATCAAAGGTGACATAGGAAAATTTTGATGCGATAACTATTCTACAAAATCTGCTGTAATAACTGTGCTCAAGAAGAATAAGACATATGATACGACAAGGGAACTTATATGGAGATGGTAAGTATGTGAGGAGTAAGTAGGAGGAAAAATTCTCCATGGTGGAGTAGTTGTTTTCTAAGACGTGACATGCTTTAGCAGCTAAGCACAACATTACATTGAGTGCTTTCAGTTATGTGTCATCTGTGAGGAAACGAAATTTGCTGAGCTGCAAACAAACTGTTAAACTATTACTAGCAACCTTACCATTGAGTATTTTTTTTTACTTGAAAATTGTTTCGAATAAACAGCAATGTCCCACTGCCACAAACAGAAATCGTGAAAGAATATCACAGTCGCCCGGCTCAGTTCGTTTCAGCAAATCGGGTGAGATTTTTTACAGCACGAAAAGTGATTGATTAATTAATTAATTATTAATAACTACTAAAACTTGAAATATAAATTTATTTTATTTATTAAAATTTTGTTTTTTCGAACGGTCAAGCATTTTCTGACGATTTATATATAAAAAAAGTACCCCATTTTAAAGAGTAAACGGGACCAAACCTTACAACTCATTGTGAATTAGAGAAAACCAGACGAAAACCACAACTATCACACAACACCATCAGCTAATCTAAGTTACCACAATAACTAGAACAGGACATCCGACCTCAACACCCTTACAACCAATAAAAGCCGCTAACAAGTCACAAGCTGGACGAATATATAGCTCCCACACACTAACATAATTGAAAACTTGTATCTTACCCAAACCGTTGTTTAATAGTTTTAAAAAATATCTACTTGAAAAATAAGAAAGTAAGGGGTTATTTAGATTAATATCATTTTAAATCATAGCTTTTTTGTAAAATTGTTAAGTATGTGTATCTATGTAGTTTTTTTTACCAAATCCTGGTAGTAAATGCATAAGAAATCATGCTAAAACTTGTAATATTGCATCGCCCTATGGTTTATTTTGGCTAGCACTAAGTATATTTATATGTACGCACTAGTAGACTATGGCCTTATTTAGTTTTCAAAAACATCACATCGAATCTTTGGACACATACATGGAGTATTAAATATAGATAAATTAAAAAAATAATTGTATAGTTAGGGGGGAAATCGCAAGACGAATCTTTTGAGCCTAATTAGTCTATGATTAGTCATAAGTGTTACAGTAACCCACATGTGCTAATGACGGATTAATTAGACTCAAAAGATTCATCTCATGGTTTCCAGACGAGTTATAAAATTAATTTTTTATTCGTATCTGAAAACCACTTTCGACATCCAATCAAACGTCCGATGTTACATCTAAAAATTTCTTTTTTGCGAACTTAAACAGGCCTATAATAGGTAGGTAACCGATCGCAACGTTTCATGACGGAGACAGGAATCGTGAGAAAGAATTCCAAAGCGATCGAAGTTTGCAGACTTGCCGTTCAGTCACAGCAAAAGAAGCCAAAAACTTGATCAAATTTCTGAGCAACTCCGCCACTCTTCTCCTCCGATGGCCACCGCCGCGCGGCTCCTCCCCAAGATCCAGTCCCCCGCCTCCCCGGCCGTCGCGGAGGCGCGGAGGCGCCGCCCCTCCAGTCTCCGATTAGGTGAGTGGGTGGGTTCGCGCTTAAGCTGATCTTTCTTGTCCTGATCGGCCGCCGGCGGCCGGCCAGGCATCCTCATAGATTATCTTGCTCGCGCCCGCAATGAATGGGATCGGCGGATCGCATGCAGGGGAACTGCTTGGGCGGGCATCCCATCCTACCTACCGAAAAATTCTACTACTCGGTAGTGATGGTGAAAGATTGATTTTGTGTGTGTTTCCTGTTTAATACAGTAGACTAGGAACTTGTACAGTTGTACTGTTGCCCTAACCATCTATTCGTCCAAGATAGCCATGTGCAGATTCTTATGTAGGGAGCTGTAATTGTTAAGTATGTTGAATGGTGTATCAGGAATGGAAATGAGCCTAGAATGTGCAGTGTTGCTTTCATGTTTGTTCTGTATATTTCAGAAACTTCAGAGGCTATTTTAACTGTCTTTTCTCCTTTGCAGGAGTTACTAGTGGACCCGCAAGAACTCTGAAGCAAAAGCTTGTTGCTAAGAGTGCTGTTTCTGTGGTGGAAGGTGAAAACGCATTTGATGGAGTAAAGCAAGATACTAGACCAATCATAGTTATAGATAACTACGATAGCTTCACGTATAATTTATGCCAGGTAAAGGGAACTTACTCATTGCATTACCACTAAATGAGCCTTTCTCTCAAAAGTATGATAACTCTGCCAATAGACCATTTTATTGTTCTTGCCATGTTCCTCGTAAAGACCGTTTTATCTTCAGTGAGTTTATTTAGAAATGACTTAATTGGGTATCTTTGACTTCTTCAGTTATAATCCTTGGTAACACCTTTATTTAGTGTTTGAACCATGCAAATGATTAACAAAACGAGAATATCCTGTTTGATGTTTCATAAAATCCAAAGTGCTTGATGGATAATTGTAGCTTCACAGAGAAATATATCTAATTGGCTTTTCTAGCAGAATAAACCATTGTCTTTGTTGATTAATCACATCAACAAACAAAGGACACGTTGTAAATCAATTTGTAGTATGGCATAGCATACATCAATCTTAGTTCTATGGCGCATCAAACAAACTCGGTTTCATGGAAATCAGAAAACAACTCTAGACCATGCTAAAAGGATAAATTACTGACTGAATGATACGAACCTGGAGTTTATTCCTCAAGCAAATATTCATCTATAATTTCCAAGTCAGTTCTATAACTTTAATACATGTCCTAATTAAGTTCCTTTTGAGCGGTCAGAAACCAAGTGTATTATCTTTATTGCTAATGCAGGTCTTTTGCATTTCATTACTTCTTTCTAATAAATTAGAATGGAAAAATTTAGGATTCCAGATTCAGAACGGAAGATATTGTAGAAGAAAATAAAAATAAATTAGGATTGAAGATCTTGACCTGCCTAAATCAACAGAAACTAAGGATCACAAACCTGCCATCAATTAATAATGTTATATGTGAATGTAAAAATGATATCCGACTTGCAAAATATGCAAAAAGAAACTCATTAGAATCTAAATGAATAGGCTGTTACATATTAGCATAATAAATGACTTCAGCTGGATTGCAGTGAACATTATAGAATTTCTCTGTTTGCAGTACATGGGTGAGGTGGGAGCTAACTTTGAGGTGTACCGCAATGATGATATCACCGTGGAAGAAATTAAGAAGTTAGTAAACATCCTTGTTACTTGTTAGTCCAAATTCGCACACTAATTTTCTGATTTCTATCAAGAAAATCACCTGCAGCATTTTGCTTGTTCCACAGGATTTCTCCTAGAGGAATACTCATCTCCCCTGGCCCTGGTCAGCATTTCTATTTGCTGTTTGCAATTCCATTCATAGCATATGAGATAATATAGTGCTCAATGTAATTACACTCTGTTGCATGGCAAGCCTAAGATTTTCCTCCTTTTTCTTTTGAAAGTGCAGGCACACCTCAAGATTCAGGAATATCATTGCAAACAGTTCAAGATCTTGGACCTTCTACACCTTTGTTTGGGGTTTGCATGGGTTTGCAGTGTATTGGGGAGGCATTTGGAGGTTCGTACATGCAGAAGTTCTTCATTTAAGTACTGCATTTAGACTTAACCCTTTCTTCCTGTTGCTTCATGAAAATCTGCTGCACATTTGTAGGGAAGGTTGTTCGTTCTCCTTATGGAGTTGTGCATGGGAAAGGATCCCTTGTTCACTATGAGGAGAAACTTGATGGAACACTGTTTTCTGGTCTCCCAAAGTAAGAACCCCTATGATACAGTTGACATCTGTTTGGGTTTAATTGTCAGATTGTGCTGTCCATATAACCTTAATCATCTTGAACCCTGTTCATAACTAATGCTGAGCCATGTTTATTTCCAGAGTGTTATGCAAAACTCAAGAAATACTTAGTCTACTTAGCTGATTCATGTGACCAATTTATATTCTTATGTTAATGTTGAGTAGTAGTAGCTACTATCTTGAAAAAGTAAATTTTCGTTTTGTAACTTCAACTAATTGTCCTGTAGCCCATTCCAAGCGGGAAGATACCACAGCCTTGTAATTGAGAAGGATAGCTTCCCACATGATGCCCTGGAAATTACTGCTTGGACAGACGATGGGCTGATCATGGCTGCTCGCCACAGGAAGTACAAACATATACAGGTTCACTTCCACGCGATATACTTTTAACAATTTCATTCAAATCATCACCTCAATTGGGATGTAATCCGGTCAAACATATTATATGAATAAATGCAAAATATTTCTTCTGACGTCATGTATTTCATTTCCATTATAGTCTCCTACAATAGCAAAAAATGGCTGTTAAATGGGAGTCTTTAGCGCCTTGAATCATGTCATGCTAGGAACTTGTGTTCTTGATATCTTGATTTTCTTTTCATGTTCATAAGCATTCCTGCATATGTTTCTTTGGTGTTCATTTTTTGGGTGGTATTCAATATGCAAAATATGTTGGTAGCCAAGGGAAACAAATTAGATGTCCTTGAGCACTGGCTTAAATAGGGATGAATTTATATAAGCTGATTGAATTTAGCATGTAAGCAGGCAAAAACAAGCAGACTACTGCTTACAGACTTTTATCATTATCATTAACTAAAACTGCATAAACTCCAAGATGGTTACCATTGATCATAATTTGCTTGTTCACATTTTTGCCGATGCTTTTGCATACATTCTCAGGTCGAAAATCAAGCAATATGTTTGTTTTTGATACGTTGCATCTTTGCCTCCTAAACTTGTAATGCAGGGTGTGCAGTTCCATCCAGAGAGCATCATAACAACAGAAGGGAGGCTCATGGTCAAGAATTTCATCAAGATTATTGAAGGCTACGAGGCCTTGAATTGCTTACCGTGATCCATTTGAGTCGAGGTTCTGGTACATGTATTGATTGATACGGCTATCACAGGATGTAAATCATATTAAATAGTCCTAAAAAACATCTTCAATGAAAATTACACTGCAAAGCTGTACGATCAACTCTGTATACGTCTTGGTTTTCTGTCGGACATGCAAACTTCTACGTCCTATATTATCAGTTGTTCAGTTTGTATCTCAGGCTCACATTTTTATTCAAGTTGAAATTTATTTGTAGTTACCATGGAATAATAACTCTCACAAAAATCAGGCTGCTCGTCCAAGATCTGCAGCAGACTTGCATTGTTCAGCGTGGCAGGAATATGAAATTGGCATCAGCCTAGCTACTAATCATCCACTTTATCATATTTTTACTGCTTATTGAACAAAAGAAAGCAGTATGACAGGGCCAAACAAATCTTGGTAAAGTTTGAACTAGAGCTAGCTAGGATTCCTCATTCAATTTCCAGACATCAAGTCATAAAACATTATACATCACCCAAGGCCCAAGCAGCCCAAGTGTTACCAGGAACTAACAGCTGCACATTAGGCTAAAAAAATATCCATTTTACATTGAAGCTATATGCCCGAAAACTGTGTAAAAATCATAGATCTCTGCGATCTGCATAGAGCCAGGAGAAATTCGTTTTGCAAAGAGTCTTCATTGAAACCCATACACTTCGGACCAAATATACACACTAATCTCCACTATCTGGGATGAAACTTTGTAGGATCAACTAGTTGGCCACAAAATGGTACCTGGTGTCCACAAAGCTCTCAACATCCCAAAGGAAGGATCCAAAAGTAACAGCCTCTAAGATCAGCCTTCTCAACCCTGCGAAACTTATCCTGACATGTTCATCCTTGGAAGAATCGACTGTGCCTTCAGGTGTGATTACAATCTCTGGTTTACCAAATAGTGCCTCAGTGTGCTTCTCGATGATGCCAAATGCCTCCTTGGACCTGATTGTTGCGTAACTTTGTAGGGTCTCTGAATCAAATGACATGACATACGATCTAAGACGGCATGGCTTAACAGATTGGCTAGGTCCGCCTGCACTGAAGTTAGGGGAAGTCCATGATGCCATCTCTGGATGTGAAGTAGAAGTCTGGGGTGAGGGCCTTGAGTCCGTTGTCATAACTTGGTTGAGCTTGTCTTCCTCTTCTGATCCCCAAGGGAGGGTCTTCATTGACTTCTCGAGCTGAAATCTCTGATCGACTCTCTTAAGGAAGTAACCATACATCACAGAAGCAGCATACACCTGACCAACTCGGAGTTTACTTATGGCCGCAACAGTGGCATCAGCTTGCCGCTGCCCCAGGATGAGAGCGAGGTGGTTCTCGATCATTTCATATGCCTCCTGTGAATGCATCTTCTCAAGTTTCCCTTCCACAGATTCTGCCCACTGATCAACTCTTCCAGAAGAACTGATAGAGTGGGAAAGAGCTGGAACCAAAGAAACACCAGCTTCAACAAACTTCTGGACAACAAGTGCATAGAGTATCTCCTCCAAAGCCCTCTTGCGCTCCTTTTCCTTGACCTCAGCAATCCGCCTATATTCCAGAAAAGAAAAGGGGGAAATTTTAGCCAAAATTGCAGGATATTATAAGAACAACTTGAGATATAACTCTCACAGTCCCGTCGCACTATGACAAAGCTCAGATTTCCTATCTAACTCAAGCCCTCCTTTTCCTTTTGAAATGAACCCAGTAAACTCCAACCATGAAAACTAGGAATATTGTTACTCCGAAAGCAATTTTAAACTGCAGTATATGGACTTTGATAGCTCCATCCTAATAAAAAAAGCCAGTACAGTTTAACCCTCAATCTATGTTCTTAATTCTTTATATGCTATTTAAACCTGCTTATGTTTAAACACACCGTTAAGTGTCCATGAGCTACAATATTTATCACTGCTGGAGGCAGCATATCGGCTGGCCTAGACAGCTTGATAGTTGTACAATTACTATGTAACAGTCTGTATAACTCGGGCACTTAATATGCAAGGGGATAGCTTAGAATAATCAATTTTACCAAATCTTATCTTGATTACGGCTAGACCTACAGGAAATGACAAGGAAGCCACCATTGCAAAGGAACAAACAAACAAACAAAAGAAAGAAGTGTATACCTGTACAGCACGATGTCGCCGTCCGACGGCGCGGGCTTGTCGCCGCCGTTGTCCTTGGCGGCGTCGCGGTCGGTCTGGAGCTGCTCGAGCTGCTGCTCGGCGGCGGCGGGAAGCAGGTGCGGGTGCGTGGCCAGGATCTGCGAGAGGAACTGCCCCACCGGCGACTCCATCTGGAGCGGCGCGATCGACGACGACGGCGGCGGCGGCAGCGACTCCGGCCCCGACGGCGACCACGACGCCGCCCTCACGACGACGCCTCGCCTTCTGCAGGTGAGCTGCTGCCGTCCAAGACCCTGAAGAAATCAATCCATGTCAAACATATCCAAAAACGAGCAACCCATGTCAAGAAATCAATCCATTTCTGCCTTCAAACACCCCCCAGAATTGAACTCCACAAAACACGGCAAAAAAAAAGAAAAAAAAAGAAATCGAGTCAACAACCCAACACATCAAGATCTGATTTCTCAACTAGAACAGCGCACAAGAATTCGTCGCCACCAAGAACCCAAAGCAATTAACCACAAACCACTACCCACACAGCGCCACACCTCACCGGGATTCACTCCTTACCTTGACGGCGGCGACACCGCGCCTCCGGGCGAAGGGGAGCGAGGTAGCACCGGGAGTCCCAGGCCGCCGCGAGGGCGCGGCGGCGGCGGGCGGCGACAAGAGCGCCGCGGCGGCTGCTGCTGCTGCCTCCATCGGGGAACAACCGACGCGCCGGGATGCCGGGTCGAATTCGAGGGTTTTTCGCGGAAATTGGGGATCCTTCTGCTGCCGCGGCGGTGGTTGGTTGGTTGGGTTGGGCAATCGAGGTCTCTGATGCATATATAGCGAAGCCGCCGCGCTCGCTCGCGGCGGTCAGACTGGCCCAAGTACGCAACACGAGTCGCCGTGCTCTCCACTTCTTTCTTTCTCGTGGTAGAAACGGGAGGCCGAACTAAAAAAAATGTTTTTTTCTTCTTTCTCATTATTTTTTTTCATTAGAAAAAAATAGTTGCTTGCTGGTCTTCTGTGGAAAGAGATGGATTTTTTTTCTTTTCGGATGAGAGGAGAAGGATGGTTTTTTTTTTAAAAAAAATCTTGGGTGGTGAGAGATGAATTGCAACGGAGTCTGGAAAGGTCTAGAAGACGCAGTTGTCACGGGAGGTTTTCTTCTTCTCTTCTTTTTCGTTAGAACCAGCTGGTTGATAAAGAAATGGAGCTGCAGGCCTGCAGCTACTAACATTCTTTAATGTGAAACTGGGAATAATCAGTTAGTAGTTTACGGGTATATGCTAGCTCTCGGCATTAACATAGTCAACATTGCTGAAGAAGTAAATTATTAAAAAATGTTTATAATTGATGAATAAATTATAGGGACTCATGCTTAGTACACATCATGCTATTACAACCAAATAGAAAACCGTGAAGTCAGGAATTTGTTGTGTTGACATTAAGCAACTCGTGAACAAGACTTTAGGATGGAACTATGGTGGTAACGGCATAGGGCGGGTAGGGATGGTAGATTTATTTATTCAGAGAAAAAAATATATGTTTGTATTTATTTTAAGGATTCGTTAGACTTCCGCCCAATAATCAATTGTCTAAAACTAAAAGTGCACATTGTTAAGTCTAAAATTACATTGCTATGCAACATGTATTTTTAAGTTCATTCTACTGTAAGGTTTTACTTTATTTTTATTTATGATTTAAAATTTTCATGTAATTTGTATATTTTTATGAGCTATAAGTTTGCTTCGATCATGCAATTTTGTAAAATTTGCATATCAAAATAACTTATTGTTTTATCTTTTATATATAGAAGAGACTTTGTTTAGACAAGTATAACAAAGGAGCGATAAGAGAGTCGCTAGATTATTACTATCATCTAAGGAATAAGAAAAGTACGTACCTAGAATTTTTGAAAAATTCATATGCCTGAAATCCATGCACTCCTTTTATTCTACTCTACTATAAAGGTACTCAAACACTTCTATCATCGAATGTATTTTTGATAGTCATATGTTCAAATTTGTAAAATCTATTTTTGATAGGCATATTTTAATCCAACAACATATCCTTTTAATGACTTTCTCGAATTTAATGCGTGACTCTCTATTCTTCCGCACATAATTAGCTACATGGGCATTGAGAAATGTAAATATTAATGAATCGTTTGTTTACGAGGAATGACTAGTAGCATGTTTAAATTGATAATAAGTATAATTATTTATCCTTATTCTGTGTGCCAAGATGAAATATGACTATCAAAAGTAGATGGAGTGAGTATACAAATATACTTAAATCTATATCGCGAAAAATCTCTAATTAGTAGCTAATACGTGGGATTTTTTTTCTTATTTCACACTCATCCTACACGTCCAGGCCGGCCAAGACAAAAAAAGGATGCGCGCCTCTCGAGTCCGTCCGAAGAGATCTCCACCACCCGGAGTGACGCCCGCCTCCACGTCGCCTCCGATCTCCACCCAACTCGATTTGCCTTCCTCCGGCGGCGACGCGACCTGGCCGCTCCACAGCCTCACAAAACTAGCTCCCCACCGATCCCCATCCCCCGCACCCGCCTCTCGATCTCTCTCTATCTCCATCCGGCAACGACAGGATCGCCGAACTGGAATGAAAGATCTTTTTCCACCGCGCTCGCTCGTGCGCCGTGTCGTGTCCCCGTCTCCTCCCTGTACGTGGCTGGCGTTGGTGAGCTCGATCGGCCGGCCCGGTGATTCCTCTCTTGACGTAGTACGCTGCCGGCGGTACGATTGCATGCAGGAGGCTGTGAGCTGTGGCCGGTCGTGCGGCCGGGGGCATCGTGAGGCAGGCATCGCGGCACGAGCGCGGCGTGCGCTCGTGTGCGCATGTCCGCCGGCCGGCCGGCCGCTGGGAAGTTGGGCTGTTGCCGGAAGAGATTAGTGGTGATCCGTCGTTAATTTGGGCGATTTTTCATGCGTTTGAGCTTTTCTTTTCCTTTTTCGCTTGCATCTGAATGTGGACGGATCGTGTACTCACATGACCGCGCGAGTGGCGCGACCGACCGACCTCATCTATCTGGGATAGTCAAGAAATACAAGCATATATATAGTTTTTTTAAGAAAAATAAAAGAGAGCGTAGAACAAAGTAGTCTGAGCCATACTTTATATTTATAAGTTTTTCGAGAAACGTAATTTTATATGTGTGAAGCGAATAAAGGTGTGTTTAGTTCACGCTAAAATTGGAAGTTTCATTGAAATTGGAACGATGTGACGGAAAAATTGGAAGTATGTGTGTAAAAAAATTTTGATGTGATGAAAAAGTTGAAAGTTTAAAGAAAAAGTTAGGAACTAAACCAGGCCTAATTGGTGATAATAATTAGCTAAAAAAACAATGATAAGATGGTATCAGTTTGCTGGAGGACTGGAATTTGATTGGATGGATGGGTGGGCCTAGTTCATCTTGACTGAAGGATCCCATATTCCCATTGGCCATTCTATCCTAATGGAATCACGGGTTATAATTTGTGGCGGATGGATTGCACGTTTGCACGTATTATAGTCTTGACCGATAGAAACGACACCTCTTTCAGGGCTTATTCATTTCATAGAATTTCAAGTCAAATGAATAGAAAAAATAAAGAATTAGGATGTCACATACACTCCATTTCTTAAAGATTTTTTTTCAAAAGGTCTCACCTGATGGTAAGAATCATATGGAATTAGCTTGTAATACTACAACCCTTATGAATTTGGTAGGATTTCTATGAAACGAATGATGCATACAGGAAAAAAAATTCTAAGGATTCAATTCCTACAATAATCCTATGAAAATTCTCTAAACTGAATGAGTCCTTAGTAGCAAGGCGACTCATGTTGGGTACGCCAATGCGCGATTAATCGCTAGAAGTCATAGATGCGCGGTCGGGAAAAAGCCCACTTGCATGTCACAATTGCGCGAGCGCTCAGCTCACGTGCGGGTGAAGCCACGGGCAAGGATATAATAAGTAGCTAACCAGCAAGATCAAAATAAGTCACCTAACAAATGAGTTCACAATTTAACCACTTACACCCTTTGGGTGTGTTTGGGTAATGGGAAATGAGGGTGGGATTGGGATTGGTAAATGATTGAAATGTTATGATTAAATGAAAGAGGGAGAATGAATGGTTAGAATTTAAAAATGTCTTTTGGTGGGTGGAAAATCATTTCCATGTTCCATTAGCCAAACATTGCCTTTGTCCGGTCTTGTTGAGCCTTGAGGCTAGCTTGGTTGGGTAAGCTTGGCATGGCTTCACTGTGCCCATCACAAGAAAAATAAAATACCAACTAAAAGGAAAAAAATCTCTAAAAAATTATGTGCATAAACTTTATACATAGAAATATATATATATATATATATGGTAAGACTATTCTACACTCAGGGTATAGAATTGGAGCGCTCGCTCCCCCTCCCAGGAGGGGGCTCGCTCCTCCTCTCCCCTTTTTTTCTCCCGATCCCACCTCCACCCCTTCCCTTTTTTGAGAGAGAAAAAAATAAAGGAAACATTTGCCTTCAATGGGAATAGAACTCAAGACCTTCAACTCAAATTACCACATGGCACTAACCAATAGACTATTTCTCAGTTGTGATAGAGTTTTCTTAGTAAAAACTTATCTTCTTATATATCACGAAATATAGTAGCGCGTCCGGTTACTACAAATATATAGGTTCTTATTACGGCCAAGTGACTAGTATTGCTGGGTTAAAGCCTCACATACTAACCATATACTTGTTACTGCACAAAACTAGAAGTGTTACTACACGGTAGGTGCATGTTACCACTTTCAAGTAGCTATGTTACTGCACGACAATTGTAGTTTTACTATGTTATTTTGACGAGATGAAGATCGAATAGGTGGGCTATATGTAAAGTCTGTAGGTGGCTTTGAGCGATGTCTGATTGATGTAGGAGCGTTTTGAATAATTTTATACATTTGGTAAAAACCATGTTACTGCATGTATATGCCCCTTCTACTGCAAGGTACACATTCTGTTACTGCACGTGGAGGGTTAAAGTTCAAAGTGCCAATCTTTGAAAAGCAATATCTCACAAGATATATATTATTTTTTAAAATCGTTCCCACCATGATGCTATAGTGTTACTGTATGTAGAGGGTTAAACTTCAAAATGCATCTACGTACTCCCCTCTTCAAGAAACCGTTCTTCCTCCCTCTTCTCAAGAAAACCGGTTTCCTCCCACCAATATAGCGTTACTGTATGTGTAAGATGTGACAGTAATATTGTGGTGAATTACAGTAAATCAGGAACTGAAACAAAAATATATAGGTTAAAAGTCTTAGATGCTAACCATATACTTGTTACTGCACAAAAGTAAAAGTGTTACTGCACGGAAGGTACACGTTACCACGTGTTTATGCAGTAACACTACCCAAAAAATACAGTAAAACGCAGTGTAGTAACATCGTGATGTGATTGTAGTAACGTACAACAGATAAGTAGTAACAAGTAATAGTATAGTATTACTATTTGTGGAGAGACAAATTGAAAAAAAGTCAAGCTTTGAAGAACAATATCTCCCAAGTGATGTAAGTTTTTTTAAAACCATTTTCACCATAATGCTAGAAAAAAAGAGCTTATCAAAAGTAGATCCGTCATGACTATATTTCAACTATATTTTAACGTTGTTACTGCACGTAAGACACAGCGTTACTGCACAGTGGTCGTCGTGTTACTGCACCGTCCTGGGACGAGAGCTGAGAAGAGATGGGTGGTGGGGGGAGTTAGTAGGCGGGTTTGACCGGTGGGAGGGGCCTTTGACCGAGGTGGGAGGTGGTATAGAATAGTTTATATATATATATATATATATATGTATACTTTGTCCACATTATATATAAACTTACGTATACAAAGTTTATTGTCTAATTCATATTA